TTTTTTTTTACATAAAAAGAACAGAACACGGAGTCTGCTTTCAAAGTCCTCGGTTCTACGAGAAGAAGAAGGAAGAACACGTGACGTGAGGTGACCAAGCGAGGTGCGTTTTTCAAATGCAACCTATTCCTTCGTATCGCCAAAGTACCTTTTCTCTTTTCTTTTTCTTTCTTTCCCTTCGTTCCACAAACACTTTGCAATCTGTGTTTCGTTTTTCTTTTTCTTTCGTTTTCTCCTCCGCACGCGATTATTCACAAAACGTCTCGCTTCCCCTGAAGTTCGCGTAGAATTAACGTAGAGAGGCAAATAAATATAATAAATACAGGAGAAAAGCGTAAATACAAAGCTTTGGGAAAATCGCGAAACGCTCTGTGTTGCGAGTGAACCGGAAGTGGTTGGATCACCTTTGTTCCTTTTGCCAGGCACGGTCGGTCGGCAGAGAGGAAGAAGTTTAAAAAAGAGAAAAGAAGAACAGAAAGAAAGAAATGCAGAAATACAGATCTGAGAATGGTACTTCGCTTCGCTTCGTTGCTTTTTTTTTTTTTTTTCTTTCTTTCCTCCTATCGACAGCTTCGTTCAACAGCGCTTACACGAGCTTCGAATTCTTTGGCTAAAAGTCTCACGTGAATCCAGTTGATCTCATGATTCAACTTTTTCTAATCGGCTATCACGTGAATATTCGTGCGTCAGAGATAGATGCTCCTCAGATAGAGGTTGATTTCTTTTGAATGTACATCAAGGAGACGCCTGCATCGTGTTTTTCTTTTTCTTTTTTTTTCAAATTCATGAATATTAATATCTCTCGTCGTACGATCAATACGTTAGTCGTTCGCTGAAACGTGACATTATATAATTGACACTCAATGAATTCCGTAATTTAGAAAAATTGACCAACTCTTGCGCTGGAATGACGTTGAGAATTTGTTTGCTCCAATTTGTCACAGTCTTTAAGTATATTTGAATATAACCCCGGCAGAATGAATAATAAATTTTATTACTCCTTGGTATAATTTCTGTCTGGTGATTTATTATTCCAGCAGCGAGAGTTTCAAAGAGAAAGTTTTTAGAGAATTATTGGTTTGGTCGCTCGTTATGGTCCGCGAATTAGCTGCCAGCGCAAGGAGTCGAAATAGAAATAAATGTACAAAACGCACAACGACGAAAACAAAAATCTAGTTTACTAGACTACAGGTAGCGTGATTTAAGCAATGATTAAGAGAAGAGATTAAATAGCAGATATTTCAAAAGTTTAAAGTTTCGGATCAATGATAACACGAATAACGTGTGAAATGTTTGCAGTGAAACTCTCGTACCTCCTGCCGTTTCATCAATCAGGCTAATCAGGCGATTGATCACGATTCGATAGGATTGACAAGGATATTTCGTATTGTTAAAATCTGATTCTAATCGTGTTGTTAATGATCCCTTTGACTTATTGTACAGATCGTTAATGGTCCAATTGTCTAATTGTCTAATTGTCACGTGGCAACATCTACATCATTTAATCTCGCTTCGTTTCATCGTAAGGGCATTGTACGATCGTCGTGCATCATTAGAAGAAGAGAAAGAAGATATCGAATTGTAAAAATAAGTCTGCCAATAATTGTTACTACCCTCGTTCATATTTTTAGTGATTGACTCAGTCAGTGTCTATTATTTGCAGTGGTGTTCGATAAACGTGGATTTTATCGTGAGTATGAAACTGTATACATGTATATAATATTATGTATTTCATGTACTACGTGTATATCATAATTTTTTCCGATAATTTCAACCCGATTTAATATATTAATAAATTTAAGTAATGAATTTCTATTTCAAAACAATGAAATTTCTATTTAAATAATAAATATTAATAATATATTAATAATATATAATATTATATTAATAATATTAATATTTATTACTAATTTATTAATAATTATAATATATTAATAAATTTAAGTAATGAATTTCTATTTAAAAACAATAAAATTTCTATTTAAGTAATAAATATTAATAATATTAATATAATAATATATTAATAAATTTAAGTAATGAATTTCTATTTAAAAACAATAAAATTTCTATTTAAGTAATAAATATTAATAATATTAATATAATAATATATTAATAAATTTAAGTAATGAATTTCTATTTAAAAACAATAAAATTTCTATTTAAGTAATAAATATTAATAATATTTAATTTCTATTTAAGTAATAAATATTAATATATTATTAATATATTATTATATATTTTATTAATAGTAATAAAATATATTATTATATAATTTATTAATAATAATAATATATTAATAAATTTAAGTAATGAATTTCTATTTCAAAACAATAAAATTTCTATTTAAGCAATAAATTTCTATTTCAAAAAAATAAAAAAGTTTTATATTTTACTAAAAATTTTACTAGAAATTTTATCTAAAATATAAAAAAATTTTATATTTTACTAACAAAATTTTTGCTTTTTCCAGTCGTGTCCTCCAATAGGTAATGAATATCTGTGCATTAAAGAGACACTAAAGTGTGTGTGTGTGTGTGTGTGTGTGTTTCTAGTACATCAAAATACAGATATTGAAACTTGTGTATATTTAAAGCATTTTATGTACGTGTCTCTTTGCATCTCTGGTACATTCAAAATCTCAACCTCTATATAATCGCGTGTATATACAGTCTCTTATGATCCACGCTGCGTTGCTGATTTAACAGTTAGAACTGGAATGCCGTAAACGGGAAGTCGTGCAAGCTCCGTTGGGACGAACGAAGAAACGCGCGGTTGGAAAAAGACCTCAGGGCACGTTGCGTGTCGTCTCTTGTCATGCTGTTCGACCACGTGCGAGTCGCATCGATTAGAGGTGATCCACGTTAATAAATAGAATAAATAACACTACCGCTACATCTACTAATCTACCGCTACGTCCACCGCTACACAACCAGGCGTTTTCAAAGTGAGTTTTCAAAAGAAGCAAGTTTTCCAAAAAAAAAAAAAAAAAAAAAAAGAAAAAGAAAAAGAAAACCGGAAGCAACAAGTAGCCAGAGTCAAGAGAGAAGGAAATCTTCGTCAATCAAGAGATTTATCATCTGTCCAACCAAGATTGGCCAAGATTTCTTCGAACGTTGATGATGCCTTTACTTTTGCGTGTGTTTTTATGGTAGTTTCGGAAATGTAAATAGTTATGCGTCGAACAGCAAATGGTGAATGGAAGCCTCTCGAATCGGAGCTTTGTTCTTTCACACAAACGTGTACGCAGGCTCTAGGATTTCAGGTCGGCTTTTGCTAGATCGTTCTTCTCCCTTTTCGGAGATTCAATTAAATTAAATGAAAATAATAAATTAAACGTGAGTAAAACGTGGGTGTCACGGTGACATTAAAATCTTTGGATCGGTGTCTCGGATTTCCACGAGCGAAATGTCCCAACTTTGCAATTGTACAGAATTTCCACGAATTTTTGTAATCTCTTTTCTTCGTCGTTCGTTTAGGAGATATATTTCGTACACGATAATTTATATTTCTTCTCGAAATAGAATGTTTTCCCCCCGCATAGAATGGAAATTATATTCGCATAATTATAAAATTATGCCAGTCACTTGTGTCAGTTGACGTTTTCAGAGAGAAGAAAAAAGAATCGAAGATTGTCCCCCCCCCCCCAAAAAAAAAAAATTCCATGTTGAAATTACAAAAATTCCTAAATACGAGACACAACATTTCCGCAGACGTTTTTTTCCTTTCTCCTATGACATGAAGACGTTAATAAAGTTATTAAGCCTAACTTCAAAAGCAAAAGCCTGACCTATCCAAAGATCCATAGAAAGAGAACTTTTTTTCGCGATCGACGCGAACAGCCGAGCGATAATCAAACGAATCGAGCGCGTGATCGTGATGAGGAATCGTCGTGCGTGACTTGCCACTCGTTTCCCTCCTCCCTTGGTTAAGCAACAGCTTTCGAGGAAGGGGTTGTAGCACGCGTGCGAGATTTACGCGCGTGTTTACGCCCGGTATTGTGTTTCTTGCTCTTTCCCTTGAACTCACGTGCTTGCCTGGCGCCAGCGATGTCAGTGATGCTGTCCACGTCGTCCTCGTCGTCCTCATCATCCTCGTCCTCGTCCTCGTCGTCGTCGTCGTCGTCGTCATCCTCGGTGTACACCAGATCGACATCGTCGTCGTCGTCATCGTCATCGTCGTCGTCGTCCTCGGTGTCTGCCTCGTTGGTCGACACGGCGGCGACTTGAACGGGATTCGACACGGATTCCGCACCTTCGAGCCCGGTCTCGTGAATACCGGAGACCGCTTGACCCTCGCCCACGGCGTTCCCTTCGTCTTCCTCGGCAGCCGTCGAGTCGTTCTCGACAGCGGTGCTCTCCGCGATCGTTTCAGCCGCGTGCTCTGTTTCTTGCGCGGCGGCATTCAAATCGGCTTCAACAGCCGCTGGAAGCGCGGACGAAGGAGGTGGCGCCGCCGCTGATATTGCGGCTGGCGCCGCAGGCTCCACAGGGGTGGCTTCGTCCTCGTCGTCGTCGTCGTCCTCTTCACCTGAAATTTATGGTTCATCGATGATAAAAACTGACGTTTCTTTTTTTCTTTTTTTTTTTTTTTTTTTTTTTTGTTCTAAACCGACAAGATTGTTGGTGTATTGATTGTATTGACAATGCCAGCAAATCGACAAGTCACGAATTATACAATCTGACAATTTTTTTATAATTTTCTGTGTAATAATTCTATAATAAGTATTTCTATAAAATAATAGTTCTATATAAATATTAATTCTATATATAAGTATTTCTATAATTTTTTTTGTACAATAATAATTTATAATCTGCAATTTTAATAACTCGTATGATTTGTATAATAATTATGCAATAATCTGACAATTTTTTCATAATTTTCTGTGTAATAATAATTCTATAATAAATATTTCTATAAAATAATAATTCTATATAAATATTAATTCTTTAATAAGTATTTCTATAATTTTTTGTATAATAATAATTTATAATCTGTAATTTTAATAAATCTTGTGATTTGTATAATAATAATTTATAATCTGTAATTTTAATAACTCTTGTGATTTGTATAATAATATTTTATAATCTGTAATTTTAATAACTCTTATGATTTGTATAATAATTATGCAATCTGACAATTTTTCTATAATTTTCTATAATTTTCTGTGTAATAATTCTATAATAAATATTTCTATATAAATATTAATTCTATAATAAGTATTTCTATAATTTTTTGTGTAATAATAATTTATAATTTGTAATTTTAATAACTCTCATGATTTGTATAATAATAATTTATAATCTGTAATTTCAATAACTCTTATGATTTGTACAATAATTTTTTATAATCTGTAATTTCTTTATAATTTCTGCAATTCTGCTTTAATGCCAGATTATACAGAAAGAGTTGTCGTTGCAACTTGTGGCTAATGAAAGTTCATTTAATTTCATCTTGTCTTTTCCTCAATTTGAGACACTTCGACATGTACAATGTGCACGAAGCACAAAAAAAAAAAAGAAAATCAAACAGTTCAAAATGTTATTTTTGAAAATTGACGAAACACTATGTAGGACGTTTTCGACTAAAAAATGTCTATCCCTCGACCAATTACAACGAAAACTAGCAAGTGGATCGATGAATAAGATTAGAAGTGCATTATATAAAATAATTGAAGTATCATCAACTATGGTGGAAGTAAGTATCTCTAATGATCCTGTTTCTGTAAAATGCAGACAGTTACAGTTCATCTTTTCATATCTAGGTCGATGTAAAAGAAGTAGCGCGTAGAAATTCTTTTCGAACTGGGATCGCCGTCGATTTATGTTAATTTGGGCGAGTTTGAAGTATCTTGTACCGTTACAGCTACGTGAACGCACCGGAATTTCCGTCGAACGTATCGCTAAACCCAAAGTTTTAACGGCTGGCAGAAATTCTTCTTATTTCTCCGATTCAACGGAATTTTTATTGATCGATCCTTGATAACGATTGGAGGAAAGCAAAAGTCGCTAAATGAACCGACGAACTTGAACCCTCGATTGAAAATAAAATTCAATTATGAATTTCTCGCTCGTTTTCATCAATTCTCACTCTTTTCGTTCAACATTGAGAAAATAAATTCAACAAAGTCTTTCATGGTTACTTATGGATCTTAAGAAGAGAATTTAATAGAATTTAATAGAACGTTATCTTTCCTTTCATTTTTTTCTTGTCCTTTTTTTCCAATTTCAATAACAAGAAATCTGTATATTCAATTTATTTTAAATTACTGTTGAACAGTTAGGAAGACACTGTTAAATTTCTTTGCAGGACTTCGAAGAACTATTTTATATTATATTATTATATTTTATTATATTATATTTTATATTTAATATAATATAATATAATAATTATATTTTATTATATTTTATTTTATATTTAATATAATATAATATAATATTTAATTCATTACATATTCAATGACTGAGCATTTTAATATTATAAATTATCATCCTTTCAGATTTCACTGTACTTTCATAATATAATATAATATAACTATTATATTTTATTATATTTTATTTTATATTATATTATTATTGTATATATTATTTATATACAGGTAAAGGATAATAATATCTAATTCGTTACATATTCAACGACTGAGCATTTTAAAATTATGAATTATCATCCTTTCAGATTTCACTGTACTTTCATAATATAATATAATATAACTATTATATTTTATTATATTTTATTTTATATTATATTATTATTGTGTATATTATTTATATACAGGTAAAGGATAATAATATCTAATTCATTACATATTCAACGACTGAGCATTTTAATATTATGAATTATCATCCTTTCAGATTTCACTGTACTTTCATAATATAATATAATATAACTATTATATTTTATTATATTTTATTTTATATTATATTATTATTGTGTATATTATTTATATACAGGTAAAGGATAATAATATCTAATTCATTACATATTCAACGACTGAGCATTTTAATATTATGAATTATCATCCTTTCAGATTTCACTGGACTTTCATAATATAATATAATATAATTATTATATTTTATTTTATATTATATTATATTATTATTGTACATATTCAACGACTGAGCATTTTAATATTACGAATTATCATCCTTTCAGATTTCACTTTTTTGAAAGTTATTTACAACAAACGGAGGAAAGAAAAAATGGCGACACATTACCTAATATATCCTCGATGAAACGTTCCAAATAATCGGAATCATCGTCGTCGTCGTCATCGTCGTCGTCGTCGTCGTCATCGTCGTCATCGTCGTCGTCGCCTGGAATTTCAAAGTCGACGTCGTCGTCGTCGTCATCGTCGTCGTCGTCGTCGTCGTCCTCGGCGGTTGCTGCTGGCGGTTGTGCAGCTTGTCTACCAGCCGCCAGGACATTCTGATGCGACGTTTTCTCCGTGGAAATTTTTGGCACCGGCGTTGCGAGCGTCCCGATTGCCAGGCAGCACAACACTGCCAAAGCTATCATCAGCTTCATGGTTCTGGAAAACAGAGAGAAGAACTTTTCGAACGATTCCTTCCACTGCGAAGTTGTAGTGCTTCTAAAACATTTTTTTTTTTTTTTACACTTATTTAATTGTTCTGCTGATAATTGCTGTGCTTCAAATAACTTTAAACTAACATTCAACTATAATTAAATTACAGTTAAATTATACTTTTCGAATATAATTAAACTATGATAATTTTGAATTAACTTTGAACTATACTTTTAAATAATTCGCACGATTAGAAAACTATCAAAACTTTAACTTTCTTCTTTTTTTTTTTTTTTGATTAGGAAAATTGCTTCGAACGATAGTGTGAAAATTCGAGGTCACGTTCGAATTGTAAGTTGCTCCCTGTTGCTTGATAAAGTTGATAAACCTATCTTTACTTTTGACATGAGAATTTATGAATTTGACGGATTTATGGAAAAATTGGGAAAAGAAGGAAATATTGAACTCGTCGAGTCAAGGAAATAAAGAATTTCGCTGTTCAACTCCATTTCTCGTAGGAGTTGACAATTAACGTTGCACGTTATACGAAGATGTTATTAATTGAATTGTAGCATAACAATGAGAGAGGAATGTAACCGCGAGAAACCACAGTTTTCCCAAGATCATGAAAGAGTTTCATTTGACACTGGAGTTATTCTGAGGTCCCAAGGTTGGTGACATCAGGATTCACATGCAGTCGTATTCTCATGGCTAACGGTAGGCAAATAAACGTTATTTGGCCATCGTCCAAATCACGCATCTTTTTTTTATAAACAAATAAACAAGGAAACCAAAAGAACATGAGATTGTATGTTAAATCAGAAAATTCAGACCTAATGTAAATTCAGACCTTAAAGAATATATTCTCCAAGAATGAAAAACAAGGATACAAATACAAAAAGAAAAAGTGTAAAGAAACGAAGTTCATCAAAAATGTATGAGATAGAATTCAAATTTGAATTTAACTGAAGATAATTCTCATATTAGTGCTGCTTACACATAAGTGGTAAGTATATTAGATACATTAAGAAGAAAACTGTATCAATTTATATCATGTACGATTATTTGCCACTTTTCCAGTAATTCTAATTTCATTAGTGGATATATTAGAAAAAATCGTTCACTGAGCCAAAATTTAAATGGCAATTTAATTGGCAAAAGGAACATAAATTACAAATAAATTACAAATTTGTTTGTGCGTTCATAAAAAAAAAAAAAAGAGAGAAATCAACGTAACACACACGACATGCAGAATATGTTCAAACTGTTCAATTTGATTTTCTAATTCTGACATTTAATAATTCAACACTCTTCAATTATATTCAAAGGATAAGTCAAATGTCTAGAAATCCTTCCACTCTTTTAATTACGTTCGGAAAAAAGGATACAAAGATATAAACAGTATCAGGGCAGTTCAATTCTCTACGACTAGTATTGTTCCATCTCATACCGTCACAACGAGTTAGGGTAACACACAAGACAAGAGCTAAGTCACTATCGTCGCACACAGCATCACTGCGAAGACCTGCTGCGAAAATCGACTGGCAGAATTGGCGACGTTATTTGTGTGTATATCCACCGATGGAATCGAGTCCGTCGTTGAAAAAGAAAGAAAAAAAAGAGGGTAAAATGGGTAAAACTGTATCACCGTTTGGCCCACTTGTTCCACGAATTTTCACGAACGTCCACGAATCGACGAGGAGGGTTGAAGATTAGAACAACTCCGGGAAGGGTTTTCTCGTTTATGTTCCTTAGTTACTTCCTTCGAACTCACCTCTCTTCTTGATTTGTTTTTCGTCGTTCAACGTGTCTGTGTATGTGTGTGTTTGTGTGTTACGTGTGGGTCCAGGTCGTGCAACGACGCGAGTTCTCCGTGATATCCACCCAAGCGACCCGGTGAGAGTGTTAAAACAGACGAGGCGGCTCGCAACGACCCTTTTATACCGAGCTTACCTCTCCACCTCCTTCGTTCTCGTTCGTCGTCCTCTTTCCCTGGCGACGACACGGCGTGTATCGCACCTCCTTCGTGTCTTCTCTCCACGTGGCTCTCGTTGCGTTTTCTCCCTTTCTTGAGAACGTGCATTATTTCAGTAAAAGGACTACTGGGCCGAGGTGTGCACCGAGAACATTTCCAGAACGTTTCCTCGCTCGATGAAAACCCGCAGCTGCACACGGATATTTTCTTTGAATTTCATTTGAATCAAATGACTCTTTGATGAATCGTTCCTCTTTTATTCTCGTCTGCAAAAGTTTGGTATAATTCTTATTCAGAAGATTTCTACAAAAGGTTTTCTGCCGTTGGATTTGTGACACTGGATTGGACCAGCTTTGTTATTTGGTATTTTTGTATTAGAGATTATTATTATCAAATTTCTATTGAAGATAAATATTTGTTGAAAAAGATTTTTTGGTAAAAATTAGATTTACAATAGAACAATTGCATGTAGAAGTTTTTCACCACCAGTCGATACTTCTTTTTTTTGAAAGAATAAGTTTCAAGAACTCTTCAGGATTATAATTTTTCTGGGACCAACGAGGCTTACTAGGACATATGAATATTGTAGACATTTTATAGATTATATTGTACATAAAAGATCTGAACGGTTTGATTCAACAAATAATATGAAATAACATACTTTTATTGTTTCTATAACAATTCCTAAATCAAATCTTAACGACGTTCGATTTAATACACTTCAATTGCAGGTACAAATAATTACGCCCTTAATTAATCACTTTTATCGAGTTTCTTGATTCATTTTTACTTTCTCGGATAATTTCATTTCGAAGCGAGGCACAAGATTCCTCGGATGTTAGCAAAAAGTGTCGAGAATTGGCAGTTTGAATAAAATTACGGGTTGCGCTGAAATTACCTTCATTCCTAAATATTACAAGTTATTCACTTTACAGAGCGTTCAATAAATTCCCCCAATAAAAACTCGACGGATGATGTCATTCTATTTTTTGGAAATTAAAACTGACAGAATTAATTACGAGATTACTTTGAAGTTTCAGTTTCAGGAACGTGTTTTCAATAGTATCAGTCATCTAATATGATCTTTTCTTTTTTTTTAGCATATCCTTCATCAACTTGTTTCCTGCTTCAACAAAACGATTTCAGCTTTCAGATGGATCGAAAATTTTTTTTTTTCATTCAACGTTCAACCATAATATTTAGTGAAAGTATTTCTCTCGTTCTCAATTTCCATTTCTCATCTTCCGTGTATATGTATAGGACGCTTCGTCGAGGGCTTCAAAACTACAACAATCAAATTTATGTTTACTAGATAACATAAAAAAAACATTCACGCTTATTAGATAATATGAAATATTAACCTTCGGTAAGGATATATACTATATTCTGAATCTTTTATATATTTTCTGCATGCTTGTGTATTTTTTATAACAAATATTTTATACCAACAAGTAGTTCAACAATTACTGTGGAATCTTTGAAAATTTGAGATCTCTAGCTTTCAACATTCTGCAACACTTTCTTTCATTTTCTCCGTTTCCGGGGCTTCTTAATGTGTGCCTCAGTGTATTTTCAAAAGAAGAACGACAGATTAAATCGAAAGTAGAGGATAGCTCGCGAATGGTTCGCCATTGCTGGCGAACGAAAAATTCGGAATTCTGTTCGAGGACGGGTTGATAGCCAGAGCGATCGTCTAACTGTAAATACCAGACAGTTTCCTCTTTCGGTCTAACCACCGATAGATCATACTACTCGCATCCGTTTAAAATCGAACGCTCCCAACGATTCCACATTTTTCTAAGACAAATTCCACACGCTTTTCTATTTTTTGTCGAAAAGTCGCTTCTAAAAAATGACTGAGAACTTTTCTACAAATCATGACAACCCGAATACGAAAGTTTCCTTAAATATATTCAAAATGTCCCATTCGTTGAGCAAAATAAAGTGATTTCACGAACGGAATTACGAGATTACAGTAATACATATTGTATAGCATAGTATGGTATAGTATAGTATATTACCATGTGTTCATCTTAAAGATGGAAGGATTTATAAATCAACATCTAGAAAATGTATACGTATATCTGAAACGATAACGAAGAGAATCACGTACAGTGATAAAATTGTAGGGGTATAAAGAGGAAAAATACAAAAAGGATTCAACATAAAGTAAAGTAAGTTAAGCATTAGAATTTTACTATCTACTTTTCCCCCGTGTCCGTCGTATTTGTGAAATCACACCATAACCAATCGTGCAACATTCGCAAGATCGTTCAAACTTTCAGCAACGCGACGTCAAACGACTTCTAAATTGCCTTAAATCATCATTAGATCCGATCGATCGGAGGCAATTGTCGGATTATTATGGAATCGCTGGTGTTCACGTCCCTCGCTGGTTGTCGTGCTAGTTTCCATCGTGTGTCGTTCGCGCACAGTCGGCTGGCATTTTATGCGATCCGCGAGTTCGCGTAAGGATCACCGTGTGTCCGTCTCGACTCTCCATTCGGCCGGAATATGGGATTTGGTGTCACAACGCGCGGCAAGGAAGTAGTCCGCGGCTTCGTGAATTAGTAATCAGGATGTGTGTCTGCGACTGACGAACACATTTTCGTGTGTACGACCGCAGGTGTTTAAGCGAGCTGAAACGAGAGAAAGAGAGAAATGAAATGGTCGGCGGGAGGGGCGCGATGAGAGAGGAATAAGGAGGAAAAGGAGAACGGAAAGAAACGAAAAAGAGAGGAACGTAGAAAGAGGGAGGTGGAATCGATGTGAGATAGACGATGATGAGATGAAAAATTGAAAGAGAAAGTAAAAAGGAGAAGCAGAGAGCGCCGTGGACCCTCGTGAAACGGAAAAATATATTGGAAAATAATCACGAAAATTTGTAGGGAAAAAACGTGCGCAGGAGAAACTTTGAAAATATTTTTCTTCCCTTTACGAATGAATGTACTTTATGTACACTTTAGTCAAAAATTTATGATCGTCTATTTATGCTAATTATTTGAGGAGATATCTGAAAAGCTCATATCTTTAGATATTATTTAATATTATTAGATCAATACCAGAAAAAATTATTATATTACATTATTAAATTATTATATTAATACTAGAATGTAATGTATCAAAAATGAGAAAAGAACAAAAATAAAAGTGCTCGAGGTCAGGATTAACAAAATAGTTATTATTGATATTTTCTTCTACTTATATTAGCGTGCCATTATCCGCTTAAATTATTTAAATATTACACTTGGAGAGCGTACAGCTAAAGAATACAATTTTTACAGGTTTGTAATAAAAATATATTTCAATCAAATAGTTAATTTGTATTTAAATTTCAAAATTTGTATGTTAAGGATATGTAAAGTTGAGAGAAGAAAAGAAAAGAAGTACGACGAAGAAAGAAGAGAGAAAAAGAACAGAGAGACGGTAATATGCGTAGATCGTTCTACAATATAAGGTTCATACCGGCATTCTTGCCTGTGTCATTCGCCCCGGTAATGTAATTCATTATTCATTAAATGATCAAGAATGTACACTGCCCCCGAATTGCCTTGCTAAAAATTTCAAGTTCGGACTTTCTACGTGATTTTAGGGATAACTATACATTTGCAAGTATTTATTTGATTACGTAATTTTGAACAAAAGCTATTCGAGATTCGTGTACTTGTGGGAAAGATAATAAATAAATTAGTGCTGCGATTGTTAAAAACAAAAATATAACTTAAATAAAACTGTTTTAGAAAAACTAGAAGTTTTTTTTATATATTTTTAATTACACGTATATAAAATACTCATTGATTAATTATTTTCAATTTAGGCCAATTATCAAATCTTATTGAACATCGACGAAGTATTGTTATATAGAGTACGACCTTGAAAGATATTGTTTCTACGTAACACATGCATGAATCATCAAAGCAAATATTACTGCTGGAAGTGCTCAAATTATAATTTCTTAGGCATTACATTAAATATGCAAACTCTTCATGCACTGCTGAAATATTTAAGAACATTTACAACATATTCTTTTCAAAAATTATAAAATTCAATATAAATCATAAAAATAATCTCCTCTAAAAAGTATATATTAAAAAAGTTTATATTTAAGAATATAATAAGTATTAAATATAATAATGAATATTAAATGAATATATAAGCATTAAGAATAAATCATAGAAATAATCTACTAAAGAGTATTTAAGAATATAATGTTAAATTCATATACTGACTAATTCTTAATTGATACAATATTTCTGAAAATAAATCTCTAGAGAAACAACTTCCATTCCATTTTCACGTTATTTTTGACCATTTTTCATGTCGTTATATTGATTACCATCACATTCAATTCACCGTTTCTAGAGATTTGTATTTTATGTAGTCGTCATATTGCAGTTGTCATGTTCCAGTCGTCTATTGGCATAGCAGTCAATATTTAGGTTGTTGTCATGAACAACGTGTTTCTTTGTGAAATCTGTTTTAAAATCAAGTAAAACCGCGCGCTATTCTCCAGTCCATAGTTTAACAGCTGTTCTATTTTTCAACAGGTACTTGTCTTTTTTTACATTTGACGCTAAACTTAACCCCTTTCGATAATTATCTCTTTCTCTTAATACATATTTGACGTGTCAGCAATAATGACATCGTTTATTCGATTTTCGTTCTTAAAGCATTAATATGCAATCTGCAAAGGAAGCTGCAAAAGGAAATAATGAATACAATGTTAAATATTAAAACATTTTCATTCAATCAATTATACTTATTTTTGAATAATATCAAATATATTCTTCTGAAATTACTAATATTATAACAATTTTGGCATTGTATTGTAATAATAATGGCATTTTGTATGATATATACAGGTGATCATTTATTATGTGTCATGAAATATTATTATATGTGTATGTTATATGCATATATTAAAATTTTAATAAAAGTTATTTTTATTCTGTAGTACTAAATAGTTTTATTATAATTACAATGGCACAATCACTTACAACTCCTCCAAATAGTGAAGATAACATAAGCAAACATTTGTCTGCATCTTGTAATGATTTCACAAAAAATTTGTATAAGGTAAGTGAAGAATATGCTATACATATTTCTTTGCTGTTATAATTATATGATTTATTTTAGGAATTATCTTCTGATTATAGAGGAAATGTAGTTAATTCGCCATTAAGTATACATATGATATTATCTTATCTTTCTCATGGTGCAGAATCTACAACTTTAAATGAATTGACTAAAAGTCTTTATCACTATGACAAAGATTCAATACAAGAAGGATATAGATCATTAATAACCCAATTAAATGTAAGATTAACAAAATTATGTTTGGCACATGCTTTGATACTTGCAAACATCATTAATCTCTTCTGTATTTACAAGGAATTGGAAGATATTAAATTGTACATCGCAAATTCAATATACATTCAAGATGAATTTGAATTATTGATGGAATTTTTGACAATAGGAAGAGAGTTTTATCAATCTGAAATCTCAAAAATAGATTTTAAAAATATTGATGCAGCTGAAAAAATCAACAGTTGGGTTAAACAGAAAACGAATAATAAAATATCCAATCTTGTATCTTCAGGTGATTTATTTTGAAAGTAGTTATAATAATAAAATAGCTGTATAATAATTAATATTTTTGTATAGATGATTTTGATGAGAATATAAAATTAGTATTAATAAATGCAATTTATTTTAATGGTAGTTGGTTAAATACATTTAATGCAAAGAATACAAAAGATAAAATATTTCATGTAACAAGAGATCAAACAAAACTTGTACCAACAATGTTCAATAAGTCTCAATATAATTATGGTAATATACCAATACTGCAAGCAAAATTTATTGAAATTCCATATACCGTAAGTTCATATACATAAGCTTGATATATCAAACATTGAAAGAAATATTTTATTGAAATCCTTTACAGAATACAGATATAGTAATGATAATAATATTACCAAATGAAATAGATGGCCTTCTAAATTTGCAAACTAATTTTTCATGGGAAATACTTACAAATGCATCACGTTTGCATGGTGAAATTGAGTTGTATCTTCCAAAATTTAAAATCGAATTTACAGTAGACTTAAAAAATATACTCAGTAAGGTATGACTAAAAAATTTTATATGTTATATTAAGAAAGTTGTATTTTATCTATACTTCGAATTTTAGCTTGGTGTTAGCAAAATGTTCAGCCACGATGCAAATTTCAAGCGTATTTCCAGTGTACCATTAATGGTTAATAAAATATTGCATAAAGCAGTTATAGAAATTAATGAAGAAGGTACTGAAGCTGCAGCTGCAACAGGTGATCTTAATATTCAAGATAATGAAACTATATTCTATTTACATTTTTGTATGATGAAATGTCTGTGTTTTATTAACATTAATTTATTTTAGCCGTTCATTTAAGACTTCGACGAAGTATGGCGAATGAACTAGAACAATTTCTAGTTGATCGGCCTTTCATGTTTGTAATTGAATATAAACCGAAGAACGTACCACTTTTTATCGGCAGTGTACAGGATATAGGAGTTGCTTCTCAAAAAGATGAATTATAAGTTTTTTTTCTGTCAAAAAGTAATTATTGGTCTAAAACACATAAATAATTTCTGTTTCTAACATTTATATATATTTATAAAATATTTTTTATACATACATATATTTATATATGTTTCTAACATTATGTATATATATTATATATTACATAAAACATTTGTTTTTTATAAACGCAAAAGTCATAAATTATTTTTCTTGAATAAAAAACTGTATTTCATACAAAATATATTAATATATAAATAATATAATAAACAATTTTAGTATAATGTATAAGTAAATTATGTTTCTTTAATGAAAGGTTGTATCGTTTTATTAAAAATGTGATCTAATCCTGTTTATTAATTCATCTTTTTTACCAGATGTCTTTAAACCCAATGTTTTCAAGATATCCTTTAATTGTGCTGCAGTAAAGTATACTATCTGTTAAAAGAAAATGAAGGTATTATTTTATTTAATGAATATTTAAATTTGATATGTATTTATCAATGTACCTGACCGCTTTTTACAATTTTTTGAATTTTATCCGTGTTTAAATCGCTCATTCCCGTTGATTCGTTACTTGTTTTGGACTTTTTCTTTGGTGGTGTATCATTTATATCGTCTTTAGAAAATATTTCATCATATTTCTCTAATAGATCATCTGCAAGTTTACGCATCTTGTCGATTGCTGGACCTGACATAAAAATTTCATAATATGTTGTAAAGTAATTTTCTACAATGTGTATATAGTTTTTCAATATAACTTACGTGTATTATCAAGTGGAGGCTCAAGTTGCTCCAAATCTAAAGCTAAAGTTTCTACAGTTTGAAGCTGAACTTGTAGTTTAGGGTTTGAGAACAATTTCGGATTATATTCAAAACTTAATTTTTCTATGAGTTGTTCTAGCACTTCAACTCCTTCTGGATCAGTTGGAGGTTTTCTTACATCATCATATATGTAGTCTGGAAAGTATTTGCTAATGTTTCGCATATTTTCTACAATTATTAATAATTAATTAAAATCGAATGTTAAATGTTCTCTAAATTTATTTTTTTTCATAACTAATCCATTTTATTCATGCTATTTTAACATATTTCCTTATTTACACATTAGAATACATCAAAAGACAAACCTTTAAATGGTATTTTATACAAATAAAATCCTCCGTTTTTTGCATTTGGCATCATGGTATACAAACTTGAAGTAGAATTTCTTCTTAGTGTAACGACACATATTATCATTAATTTTTTTTCGTCACATTTATTAAGTAATGCAGCAAATAATAGTTTGTTATCTATGACGAAAAATGAATAATAATTTCAGCATGTGATTAAACGTGTACAAATCTTTAAATATAGAATTAAAATTACCTTCACGATAACTTTTTTTGTTTGGCATAACAAAATATGGTGTTTCAACGTGATATAAAGGATGATGAGAACAAGGTTGTATACAAATTAAATCAATGCCTGGTTCTCGTGTTACACACATGGATTTCACTTCTGCTGATGTAAAACATATTTTTTCACCACCAAACGTTTGATATTTTTGAATATTTGTTTCTAGAACAAGTGTTTCTCGTTGACTTTCTTCATCCTCTACATCTTCCTATGATATAGATGAGATACAAATGAAAGAATATTCAGAATTATTAAATAATATGAAATGACAATAAATTATTATAATTTAAATTATTATAATACATACTGTATCACTATTTTTACGGCTTACGTAATACGTATTGCATGTCAAAGGAATATTATCTTCTTTGCTCATATATACTTTTGGCAAATATGACGTTTTGCTGAAAATAAAGTGGTTATTTCAATATACTGCAATAAAAATTTGCAGTCAAATAAAATTAGAGTTAGTAATAAATCATACAAATAACGTAGTAACAAACTAAAGAAAACCTTATTTCTTACCTAGAAAGACTGCGAAGAACAACATCTACAATCACATTTTCTCCAAGTCTCCAAGGTAGCTTTGCCATATTTTTAGATGGTACTTTTACTTGTTCCACTACATCTTTCAAGGACATTCTTTTGTAATCATCTACGTCGATTTTTCTAGATGACATTTCTAGATCTTTATAGAATGAATCGTGATTCCAATTTTCGCCCAAACCAATAACAATTAATTGAAGACCTATGTCACTGAAACTCTTTACTTGTCGTCTTATTTTGTGCTTTTCGTTGTCATCTGTTAGTGGGGGATTATCCTGACATGTAAAAAGAATTACTCTTCTCACTGACATAGTTGTACGGATAGCAAAGAATGTTCGTTCTGCATGCTGTAATACATCGTGCAGTGGATAAGCAGTAGAGGAAGCAGTATCCCTGTAGTGCTCCCATTTTTTCCCTTCATCTATGTATAAAATATAAAAGATACAAAAAAAAAATGATTAAAAAAATTCCAACACCAAAAAAATTAAAAATTACATTCCCACTTATTAGTTGTATTAGTTTTCTTATTCTATAAAGTTTAACTTTTTAATTATCTAACATGACTAAAGACAGATTTTCCTCTGCACTTAACATATAACCCTTATTCTCTGTAACAAAAATTGCTTTGAGATTGCTTTGGTTTTTACTTACTTACAGTAACATGTAGATGTAATATAGATTACCTATTTTCATTACTTCTTTCAAGTTCTCTACCGTAGAAACACCTAAATCATGAAGAGTCAATATATGTCTCAGATCCTTATCAGATTCTTCAGTTCCAAATAGCATTAAGCCAATCCAATCTTGTCTATCCCATATCAACTTTTGCTTGAGCACCTCTTTATATTGCTAAATTAAAGAAGAAATATTAACACAAACTACTTTTATTTAGATAAAATTAATCGTAATTTAATATTAATAATATTTTTTGTCATACAGAATGTCCCAAACTCAAGGCGTTTCCTGAAAAACTTTGTATAACATTTTTTTCTCCTTTTCACATGTAGATCAAGCCCCTTTGCTTGGGACACACTGTATACTGAAAGGCCATAACAACAATCAAAATGAATAATACAATTATAACAATACCTTCACGCATTGTAAAAAATGTGGATTATCAGGGTCATTTTTAAACATTGGTAATGTTGCATCAATCACGAAAATTGTTCCCTCCCTAACGCCATAAAGCTCTTTAGGATCATCTTCAAGAGGTTCATTTTCTATGTCCTCGTTGTCGAAAAATGCCATTGTTATTTATCTCGCTGTCCAACTGTTCTCTCTAAATTAACACGATTAAAACATATTATATTCGGAATATTCGCAAGCAATGAAGCAAAACATTAACGTAACGAAGTTTTTGTCTGTTGTCGAAGTAATAACATTGAACTGCAAAACGTTCTTGGTTATTGTATCATTGTACAACGTCTCTGGAGCATGTTAGAATAACAACAGTTACAAATCACTACGTGCGTAATTTTCGCTTCGATAGGAGAGACTCACCTCTCGCGAATTGTTTCTTAAATCCTTGGAACGACAGAATATGCAAGACACGTCGTCCGTTCGATTGAAAACCCGCGCAATTATGATCGTCCGGCAACGCCACTTTCCGGCCGGTCACAGATAACGTGATAACGTCGCAGATTCGTTTTGCTGAAAGAATGATCGGTGTCTACTTTTGAAAAAACAACGATACCTACAACGTTTTTGAGTAGTTTAAGTACAATGATTAGGAGGTCAGGGCAACTTTAGTGAATTCCAAAATGAAGCTCCCGAAAAAATAAAATTACAAGCAAAAAGAATTCACGAATTTACAGACTATCAGCTCGTAGAAATATCGCATCATTTCAGATTTTCAAAATTATATTCATGATTCGATCTGTATGAATAGAATTTGCGAAATCTTTGCTCAAAGATTTTGCAAGTCAAATGGAAGATTGAGAGTCTGATCCTAAAAAAGAAATCATAAAAGTTCATAAAATAATTCTCATGATTAAGTTTCTTCTGCAAATGAAAATTAATAAATTAATGATTAAAACTAGCGCCACGTAGCAATGAAATAGTGGAACTAGACGCTATTGTTGTTTTTCTCGCTCTCCTTGTCTCTCACGTTGTCGCATATTATTGCGTTCCTTATCTGTACAGGTGCTGCCACCTATATAAGGAATCCTCCGAAAAAGAATTTAAATTAGTTACGTTTGTAACGTAAATTACACGTTTTCTACGTTTACAAAAACATACGAAGTTTGTTTTGCATCTTTGTTTATTTTCGATGCATGAAATAGATTTTTTAAAAGTTAACTACCTTACAGGATGTGAGCTCGTGCTCTAATTATCGTTATGTTCAATTTTTGTAAGTATAAGTAATACATAGAGTAAATAACAAGATTATAAAATTATAAAATTCAGCTAAACTATTCTGATTTATATAACTTTCTTCTAAATATATTTTGTACAATTTTACAGTAAATAATCTCATTTTTTAACGTATCGTGGAATCATTTCCAAAACAGACTAGAAGATCGTTGGTAACTCGAGAATTACAGATCTCTAATCAATAAGAAAAAAAACCGATTTATTTTGAATGTACACTTAAACATTCACAATTAGGTTGCCAAAAAGAAAGTTGGTGTCCCGATTAAGCAGTTACATCTACAAGATATTACAAATAACGGGTAATTATTATTCCTTTTCCGATAAGCTTTGTACCTATCTTTTATTTCTTTTGAATGAAAGACAATACATTTATATAATACGTTTATATAGTACAGACATATTGAACGAGACAAATGGTAGTGCGAGTCCAGTAAAAAAAAAGAAGAAACGACGAAACCGTTGGAGTTGTACATTTCTACTAATAAGTAAAATCCAATAATCAAATTCTCAGGAAGAAAAGCTTCTGATTTTCCAAGTATTTTCCCTTAATATTCTCGAAAAATCTCTGTATCAGGAACACCAGTCGACGGGGGGCTTTCTCGTGCCTCCTCCTCGACACTCACAATTTGCTTATACTTTAATAATTTTGATAATTAATAATAATAATAATTTTCTAATAATTAATAATTTAATTAATATTAATAATAAATAATTTAGTTAATATTAATAATTAATAATTTAATTAATATTAATAATTAATTTAGTTAATATTAATAATTAATAATTTAATTAATATTAATAATTAATAATTTAGTTAGTAATTTTCTATTTGTGATGTATGTATTGATTACATATTTATATATATATATATATATATATATACACACACACACACATACATACATATATAAAGCTGATATTAATACTACTCGCATGTTCAGTTGTATTTGTAATATATATTATATATATTATATTATAATATATATAATTTACTTTATTTTATACTTATATATATTTCTTCGTAACTGATCTATGTTATAAATCGCAGATGGCTTTGTCAGTGGCATAAGGAGGATAAAGGATGCTGGCTAGACTTGTTTGCGCAATCGATGTTCTTATTTCACATGAACGTCTCATTAGGCAAAAAATACGCAACATCCGTATCACGCTGGTTTCCTCATAACCAGTTTAGACCTGAGGCAATGCACGAGGGAACACAGAATAAGAAGAAGTGCGATTATCACAGTCCGCAAAAATAGAAACAATTTATATCAAACTATGACGTTATTACGGTCACGGTTGTCAGTGATATCATTGATCTTGTTTCTTCTAACTAATCCTCCTTCGTACAGAGCACAGAAAGAAGGTAAATTGATTTTGTTCGATCGGTAAATCATTTCCAACATGCGCATGTACTTTAGAAGAGATGTATTCAACATCTAAATTTTTTATTTAAACTGCTTCTAAACTTTCTGATTCCCTCTTTTGTTTTAACGAATACAAAGATCTCCAATGGAATTGAAGCAAGAAATAACAGTGAATCTCAAATCTGGGTTCCTTGAAGAAAAATATGGAGATCCGATCTATTGTCCTGTTTCCCTGCAGCCTTTATAATTATTTAAGTGAATAAGGTTGCAACGGGAAATCTGACGTGCGCAAAGAATTTTATCTAATAGATGTTGTTACTTTGCAGGCGATACATGTGTCACAGATGGTGTTCCAGGTGTTTGCACGTTTTTTCCGCAATGCCCTCGGATGTATCAAAATGCATTGATCGGGCAATTTCCACGTCAAGTATGTGGTTTCTCAAAGCTGACACCAATCGTCTGTTGTCCTCAAACAATGACTACCACAATGACTCGGGGTGCCAGAGCGGCAATAGGTATATATTTTATTATACGAGATGTTTATACAATTTTATATTGTTATAAATGGAACCTATAATAAATACATGTCACAATGGATATCTTTATATATTATAAATTAATTTATATATTATATACATAATTTATATAAAGATATAAAGATATCCAACAATATATAAATTAATTTATAATATATATATATATATGTATTTTTACAGTTCCAATTTTTCCACTTTCAAAAAAATGTAAGACCATTATATATCATTGGTCTTTACAACGTTATACAATCAATCTTTAAAGTCAAATTTTTCAAAGAATGAAATTTGCTCTGAGAAACTTACTTAAGTGAAATTTCATTTAAAGTGTAAACGATCCCCAAATTGTTAATAATGTGTTATATGTCAATTATGATGTAATGAAATTGATTCTTTACAGGAGTAACGCAAATTGGGTACGATTAGGCGATTCAAACATCGAGAAAATGGACGATGATACTGGTGCAATTAATGTACGTGTAATCGAGCGAATGAGACATCCTTTATATAAACTACCATCGCGATATCACGATATCGCGCGTCTTAAATTAGAAAGAGAAGTAATATTTACTCAATTTATACGACCCTGTTGTTTAGCAGATAATAATTCTAGTGGCGAGGCTATTGCAATGGGATGGGGGACTGTCGAATGGGGTACGTACTTTCAAATTTCTATTCTCTTTGAATAAAATATTGTTATTGCTATACTGCGCACTTTTATGCATTTATGAGAAATTTAAAAATGCAAAAATAGTTAAATATTATTATACATATTATACACACGTAATACATGAATATATAAATATACTAAAATTATAATATTATATTATATCATATTAAATTATAATATTTAAGGGATAGATAAAATGAATTTTTGTTTAAATTCTATTCTTTTAGTTGTACATATAAAAATGTTAATTTTCATAAAGACCCGCAGTATTATAATATTATTTAAATCTAGTAATTTCAAAAACCTCTTATTTTCTCATCAGAATAATGCCCAATCTTTCAACTAGAATTTTCTTCCCGTTCTTCAGGTGGAAACAGTTCAAGTGATTTATTAAAAGTCACGCTCAACTTGATACCTCATTCAGAATGTAACAGAATATTTACTAATGGTGAAAACGATAGTACACTCCATAGAAAATTGACAAATTTATGCCAGTGGACTTGGAAAAGACACTTGTCAGGTAACAATACTAGTATTTCAGAAATACTAATTCGATACTTCTCCCAATTATTAAGGATTATGCAAAAGCTACAAGCTCAACTACATTTTTATAGAACAGTAAAAATATTAAATTTGAAAGACAAAATTCTTGATTACTAATAATATTACGCAGATTTGAAATTAATCGATGAAGTTAAATTAATATTATTTGCTTCTTGTGAAACGAAGACGTTATGAATTTTTCATCTATTTCATCAAATTTATATATCTTGGAGTCTGTTAGCTATGCAAACAGCTTTGAAAGTTGAGAAAAATTTAAAAATCCAGAATATAACATAAGAGATGACGTTACTTATAGAATATGACTGATAATAACACAGGTAATATAAATGATGAGAAATATTTATTTTGTCCAGGGTGGCGACCAGTGGTGGACCATTAGTTATTCGTAACGATATGAGTTTCATGTTCAGTCTAGTCGGAGTGACAAGTTTCGGGAAGCTATGCGGTAGTGTCAGTCCCGGTATATACACTCGCATTTACAATTATATATCATGGATAGAAGATATAGCGTAGCCAGATCCTTAATAAACACATTTCTATTCCCTTCACTTTATTTTTAATGAATTTATTGAATTTCGCTATAGAGAACTAGAATACAAACGAGGAAAAATACAAATAAGTTACACTTCGCATTTATTAGAAGAAACAAATTTTATTTATGATTCTGTATGTTGCCAATCAATCTCATATTAACACGCAATAGTTCATTCAAATTGGTTCAACAAAAGAATATTTAATAAATCCTGATTGTGTCACATGAAAAAAATATTAAAATCAACAAAAATGTACTGATGCTTTCCCTCCGTGATCTCGAAAACGAAAATTTCAGAGGATATTTAGCATCGATCTTTAGACGCGCAAGCGCCAACCGGCAGGTTCTACCTAGTTTTTGTGACACGGTGTACGCGTGCAGTCGGAAACCGAGGTGATCATCTCTATTTTCGTTTTCGTCCAGAAAATTTCGAAGCAATCGCTGCCGAGGTAAGGATCGTTGTCTTCCCTAAGCTAATAACGTAACGCAGCTGTTGCACAAAATACAACCAGAGAGAACCAACACACAGTGAACATGTACATATACCATCAAGATTAAAAAACTAATTTCCCACTTTGTTACCCTGCAACTTGAACGTAAACGACGCCAGGATATCACCTCTATCGGGGGAAAGATATTCGTTGATTAAAAATTCATGGTTCATCAACACATAATACAAACAACACAAAATACGTAAAAAAAAAAAATGATTAAAACCTTTTCATTCTGTGTCACGAAACGGATGATGTCCAATGTAGGTATGTCACGTTGATGCGTTTCTGATTTATAATTACATTCATGTTGAACTATTACGTATGTATCACACATGTGTTTCAGAAATGATGTATCTCAAATGAATTTTTAAAAAAGGCGAGAAATTGAAAAATTACAAAAAAAAAAGAGAGAAAACTATAGACTCTAGAAGATAGTACTTTTTGCCGAACACGGACTTTTTAGAAGATAATGCTTTGGTCGTTGAAATCTTACAATCTTTATTATACTATTACTTTATTATACAGTCTATATTATATTATTATACTATTATACTACATACAGTCCATATTATATATACAGTCTTTATTATACTATATGCAGTCCATATTATATATACAGTTTTCATTATACTATATGCAGTCCATATTATATATAGTCTTTATTATACTATGTACAGTCCATATTATACTATATACAGTCTTTATTATACCATGTACAATCAGTCTTCGTGTACCTTTCTACGCAGAATCAAATCATTCTGAATTGCCACATTTTTGAAACTCATGTGCGATATATTAAAAGATAATTGCAACAAATAACAGAAGTATCACGTACGTAGCACGTAGATTCAATGTCTGCCATTCTGGATGCATGTGGTAATGACACCGGATCTCCCTCGATATCGAAAGCTGAGGACAACTTGTCGAACAGTGACGGACCGCTGATCAGGGGCTGCGTTCGTCAAAATAGCTGCAGTAGCGTTCACATAAGGTAACAACGAGAATTTCCATGTTTGTAACGGCAGTAACAACAATAACGTTTCCAGTTCCGAAAACGTTAATCGAACGACAATTGTGTCGTCTTACACCATGTCGGCGTCTAACGAGAAGTTAACAAAACGACGGTACTGCCTGTGGACCTTGACCTTTGTCCTGGCGATACTCGGACTTTGCAATCTGTTCCTAAACATCACCGTGATCGCTGTCCTACGAATCAGCCAAGGAATGGAAGCGATGGAAGTAATACCCGACGAGAATCTTGTGAAATTCTATGGGAAAACCGACTTGGACAGGGTCAGATATTAGAACAGACATATTAAAGACATTGTTTCTAAGAGGTAATTGGTGTAATTGACGAATTTCACGTTCCGTAGGTGTGCCTGCAGTCAGGAGTTTGTCAGAGTTACGGGGACGAACCGATGGAAATATCCGGCGACGAAGCTGGCGTGCAGATACACGTGAACAATCACCGATTGTACGACGAAACGCGTGCCAAAGTAATGATCTTGTCGAACGGCACCACCATGTCGGAAGTGGAATCGTTCGAGCTGAAGGATCCAGCGACCGGGATCGTTTACTTCACGACCGACTTCCCGAATTTCGGTTTGCCCGCGGGCGTGGAGAAAATTGACGTGAAAATCGCGGAAACGCACAGAATCACGTCGCCGGTTAACGAAAGCCTCACCGTGAACTCTGACGACCAAATTTCTATACAGGGCGCAGAAGGCGCCAGCATGGAGAGCAAGGATATCGTCTGGAGCGCGGACACGGATATTTTCTTGAAAAGCGTCAACGGAAGCATCATCCTCGACACGAAAGACGGCGTCTCCATCGACGTAGAAAACATACCAGTCGCGCCGATGTTCCTGCAGAATCCGTCTAGCCACGAGCAATACAAAGTCTGCATTTGCATGCCGCAAGGCAAGCTTTTCAAAGTAGCGATTCGTGCTGGTGCTAACAGCCGATCGATTAACTGTGCTCGTATCAGTCGGACCCCGGAGAACGATCCTTGCTTGCGATAGGATCGAAACATCATCAAATTTTTTATTGCAATCTTGTTAACATATCCAACACTGCCATATGTAAGAAACCTAAACGGGCAACATCTGATTTGTTGCTCGAATTACCGAGCGTTAGTTGAATATTTCAGACGATTTAAGAAAAATATGTATTTACGTATAGATGAATTTGAAAGACACTAGGAATTTGGATCATAACGTTATAATAGATACACGTAATTCGAGTTTTATTCGAGGTGTCATGTACAATTCCACACACAGTTTGATCACGTGAAAACATCAATACTAGTTACGTTGTCATTAATAAAAAATCATACATACTTGGAATTCGTATACAATACTGAATACATTGACTTTTGTATTGGATAATCAAGGTTAAATCATAGAAAATAGTACAGAATTCTTACCCCATAGTAAGAAGAGCACTGAATGAAAACATAACTAAATTGAATAAAAAGTTAAGCACTCTCTGTTATCATTTCTTCATTGCTTTCTTCCATGTCCTCTTGTTGTTCTTGTTCTGTAGGTGGTTCATATGCTTTGTCCAAAGGACTAGCAACTACACCACCTGCCCATACACTCATCTCTACAGCAAGTTTATTGGTACCCTCGAGCAATGGTCTATAGCCTCCATGAGCCAATACGCGTAATAATGTCTGAGCTGTGAGACATACCAAATCTTGCTGTTCCAATGTCATAGCTGTGTGTACGCGTATATTACCTCCCTCGCATGGATCTGAAATACCTTATAACAAAATATTATGTACTCACAAAATATTCCATTAGAATATAATGGAATTGCAACAAATCTTACCAGCCGAACCAGGAAGGAAAAGTCCAGAAGCAAGTAATTGAAGTACTCGTTTATATGCTTGATTTATTGGAAGTGCCTGTCTACTCGGATTATTCATTATAGCGTTGTGAGCCAATAAATCTAACATCCAAGGAGATAATGGCTCCAGACCTTCAAATCTACTTCTCAAATCCCTAAGTAATCTTATTAGAACTTTTATACTGGAATGATGAGCATTTTCTTCAAACCACCGAGAATGTCTGATCGCAGCAAGATGACCTTGGCATATCTTTACATCTAGATGTTGATCCGACTCTAATTTTCTCAAGTTTTGATGTAGAGTAGTGATCAATACACGCACTGTTGCTTCATTGTTAGCAATATCAAAGCCGCGCTCTGTGTGAGTAAGTCTAAAAATTTCTTTGGGATTTACGCTCTTCAGGTCGTTGTTAACTTTCGTACCAAGCGCTTCTACTGCCGTTTTGGTAGGTAATGTTTTAAGAATCACAACAATATCAGCTACATTGTGACCCTTGATCATTGTTCCCTTTTTAAAGCTACCTACTTGTCTCACTTCCTCTAATTGCTAAAGAAAACATAATCTTTATCAAATAAACAGAAAATGCCATGCATATGATTGAATTGTACAACAAAATTGATACTTACGCAAGCTTCAAAACTGCCTGGAGCGACTATTAAATTATCAAGTACAGTTTGTAGTTTAGTCACTAAATTTAAAATGGAAGTTTGTTCCTTTGGCGTAGGACACATGTCTGTATTCTTTTTTAAAAGTGCCATTTGGAAGTCTGACTCGTCTGGTGCTGGTTTAACACGTGGGAACGCAGCTTCACATAATGTATAATCAAACGGATGACGTGGAAGAAACTGTTTCCTGGGGAATCCCATCCCACGTCCCATACCACCTCTACCTCCTCTAATCATTCCACCTCGGCCACCTCGTACCATATTATGCCTAATCATAAAAACAAAAGCATTCAAAATTATTCTAAAAATATATTTATTTATATATTAACATTCTCAAAAAAGTCAAATACTTTTCGATAGAGTTGTTTAAGTTATATATGGATTTGAATCGAATGGGTGAATTAAAATGATATAAACTAGCGATACAGTATAATGTGAATTAATAAAAAAATCAAAACAGTAAAACTAAACTTAACCACTATCCGGTACATCATAAACCATGTACGTTTTACTATGTTAATAACCGTCTAAGCTTTCATTAATTATGTTAGAAATACGTTATATTTACCAAAGAATACAAAAGTAAGTTTATAGTAATGTTTTCTTACACTTTTCTCAGTAAACTTCCAATTTTTCAAACACACTAAGACACAATTGGAGTAGCCGGAACCAAGCAACATCAGACGTATCTTCATTGGAAATTTAGTATAGCAAGATGGACTACTATAATATTGTACAAACAACATCTGCAGCGCCATCTAGTTACGATGGTTTTGTACATTTCTTTAAATAATGACAGATATCACAAACAAGTAAATGGAAAATTATAAAATTACGCTATTGTAGGAAATGTATGGAAAAATATTTGTGAATGTTGGACAGAAATTACATATAAAATGTTCATTTAAATTGGCTACAAAACAACGTAGCTAATAATTGTCCACCTCATTATATTTTATTTTCCACAAGAAATATTATTTCTTATATATTAATATCTTCTATATCCTTTTTGTAACATTGTTGAGTAATTATCAACTTAACTTTAATTTTTTGTGAAATATCATTCATTTGCCTGAATAAATGAATAGTCAAGCAGAGCTGTTTACAATGTACATATGCAATATACAATATATGATGCAAATTTTAAAAATTGCGCATATAAATTTATGTTAATTGCAACAGGATTTCAAATATATGTACTATATATTTGTAATTGTAGATATGTTCATTTTAAACTAAACATCAAACATCAAATAAACACCATACACCCTATAAATTTATAAGTATAATATTAACACAGTTCAAATGAAACTGGAAAATTAAATAACATACATTTTACTGCTGTCCTTTGCTTCATTCGGTCAGAATGTCTAAAATTTCTCTAAACTCAAAAGCATCCAACATGAAACTTAGATTGCAACGTAGAAGGTAAATGAAACATTTCTGTGAAAATCACAATAATACAATATCAATTGTATCTTTTATTTTATAGAAAACAACATGCAAAGGAGCTAATCTTTAAACCTTATGACTTTTGTTGTTCAATTAATAATGTTGATCCATTAACACAATATGACAGACTAAGGTCACTTTACACAGCTTCATTGATGTCTCTGCAAACAAGAATTGAAAACCCAACTTTGAAACTGCAAACAGAATTTACTGAATATATAGATCCTACAGTGAGATTATTGCAGCGAAAGAAAAACAAACAATTAGATATAGGAGATCACAGATATAAAAATAAGAAAAATATGCAGATTTTTAAAAAACTAAAGAAAATATATAAGGGAAAGAAATTAGGTAAATCAACTAAGAAATCAGCTAAGAAAGACAGTATTTTAGATATGTCGGAAATTAGGTAAATTTTAGATATATTAGAAATTAGAAATTAGGTATTAGAAAACAGTGTTTTAGATATATTAGAAATTAGGCAAATCAACTGCTAAGAAAGACAGTATTTTTAGGTGATAATTTTGAATTTGAAGATTTGCACGATAAAAAAGTTATATCACTTCTTGAAGGACCATTACATTGGTATTTAGAAGATGAGATTCTTGCAGCAAAAGATATTCTATGGGAACAAAAACAAAGAGCATACAATGAAGAAATGAATAAGAATATTGAAATTGGAAAAGAAAAAAGTAAATATTTTCATATTTTAATTTAATTAATATTTGTATGATTTTATTAGTACAATAGAAGTTTAAAACATCATGATTTCCTTTCTTAGTGAAAGCTATGTTGGTACAAGAAACAGACCTATATCCACGATGGTATCAAGATTTTTCTATTAATCAAGTATAATATTTATTTTTTGTCAATCAAGTATAATGTTAAATCTCTAAGTTAAAATATAATATATTTACAAATTGGTAGATTAAAAATTTAAGGATGTTACAATGTATAATGCAAAAAGATTGTGAAGAGATGGTAACAGGACGAACTCAAAGAACACTTATATCAATTGGAATTATATCTACATTTTTTACACTCACACCAGATGTTGTTAAAAAATTACAAGAAACTTGTAACTGCAATGTAATCGAATTTTTAAGAGAAATTTATAAAATACTAACTGGAAATTATTTTGAAGAAGAAGGATACAGTATGCTGTATTTCCTTACTTTAATTCTTTTTATTATATCTTTATTTTACATTCTGTTTTCAATTTTTAGAAAACTTTTATGATTGTAATGAAAGAATAATCTTATCAGCCATTGCATTTTTGACATTGCCAGAAACTATTATAGAGCTCCATAAACGTTTACCCTCTGTGACAATGCCAAAATTACCATCAAAACGTAACTTTTTTTTATTCAATAAATTATTTATACATTGCTATACTTTAACACTCTGTTATATGCTGATATCAATTTGTTATCTTATTATATATTATTTATATAGCCGTTCCACCAATATTACCAAAAAGACAAAAGAAAAAGACACCCTACAAAGAAAAACTTTTTGTGCGAGCAGATTGGGTAACTTTTTATAATTCCCTGCAAAATTGGCAAGAGCAACGTCGACAAATGTCAATTCCGAATGTAATATTACCTCCTAAAGATTGTATTTTAAGTAATTATACAAACGCAAAGATTAATTCTTATTATGAAGAAGGCAAACGCAGTGAAGTACAAAATATTTCTCAAAATAATCCTTCTGTTCAAACGAAACAATTACACAATATTTCTAGTAAAAGAAACCAAGAAAAGAATACTTCCGTTAGTACAGATCAGAAAGAAGATATTTCTATAGATATAAAACAAAAAGATAATATACCAGTCAAAGAGGAGAATAATCCACCTGATAATTTTCTCTATAATTTTGATCATCGTGATTCTGCGAAAAATGTATCTGTAGAGAATAATGAAAATCAAGGATTTAAGAGTATAGTAAACAACGCAGTATATACGAAACGGGGAATACAATATAATCCACAAATATCTACTGGTCTTAATGTTCCACCATTATATGGTGAAAATAGATTATTCGATTTTACAATTAATGGAATTGGCGAGAAACCAGGGCCAGTAGAATATAAAATATGTGGAGTTTTACAACCACCTCAACCAAATAAAAAGTCTTGGCTTGACGAGAAACATGCACATTACATAATATCTGGTGCCTCAGATGAACCACCAACTTGTCCTGTAACATATGAAATGACTGGTGTTGCAAATGTGACACCCTCCAATAGCGATGAAAGATTTTTTGCAGTTCTGAAACTTGGAGATGGACCTAAAAAGATTTATCCAAGCGGTAGGCAGAACTTATCGCGTCATTGGCAAGAATGGCTGCAAAATGTGGATGAAGAATTTCGGAAGATAGAAAGAGAGGCAAACAAAATGGTAAAAAGCATCGAAGCCGTAACGAAATTAGTATTTCCAGAGCCAATGTGTGACAGTTGTTGCTCTTGTAGACAAACTAGAAAATCATACTTAAAAGCGAAGGAAACAAAGGCGCCTTATTTTGTAATAGACACTATAACTGAAGATGAGAATAAAAAGAAATACATTGTGGGTTCAATGGCAATGCATTCCCCTGCACCAACGCCTCCAGAATCGACCATGAATTTATTAGAAGTTATAGCTTCGGAAGATGTTCTTACTGACAATATCATAATAAGTGGTGTCACAAATGAAACGGGTGAAACTCAATATTTTATTACTGGTTCTCAAAAAGAGGCAATACATATGCCAGCGCGTGTTATAGAACCTCCACCACCTAGACCACCTAGAAATGTTCCACCTTGCGTATGTGCAATTCAACAAATGTTTAGCAAAGGTTTGTCTTCAAACGTAAGTCACGATAATATACCATGGACGAAAGAAGAAGGTCTATGCTTTGGAAAAAAATTTAGACCCAATGAACCCCCTGCGTATTCCTGTAAAAAGTATCCAGGTGATAAATCATGTAGAAGAAATCCATTTATACACGACATAAATAAATTAAAAAGAAGAATTGAAAGAGCAAAAGAAAAGAAAACAGGTGAAACTAAAGAGAAAAAGAAAATGTATAGTATCGCAGATTTTAAACCATGTGGGGATGAACATGGTATGAATATTTGTGGAGGGCCTTGGGGTGCTTTACATACTTTAACGCCTGAAGAATTAGCAGAACAGGAAAGATTGCGAAAAGAAATATTAAAAGTAGGTTTTATTTTTGTAAATTCGTTAATTATAAATATAGAAATCATTAGTAATATTACATAAATATAGTAATATTCTATAATTTAGAGTCCTCCATGTGGCACGAAACCTGGACGAGCTGTCTGTGAAGGCCCTTTTGGAGAACGAATACCGTTTAAAGAGATACGTATAGAAAAAGAAATTCCAGGAGAAGAAGACATTGAAGAGAAAGAGGAAGAAGTGGAAGAAGAAGAGGAATTAACGAAGCTTCCTCCAGTCGAAGTAAAGAAGAAAGAAAAGAAACGCGACATAAAATGTTACATGAGTCCAGAAGCTATTGAAGCCAGAAGGCAGGTAGTCGAGAAAAAGAAGATTAAGAAATTTATTCCTGACCCGAGCTATCCAGGTTACGATGATCCATGGAATATATTTCGTACAGCACTGTCGGTAAAAGAATCTGAAACTGATTTTAAAAAATTATTGAAACTTAGTTCTCCGCGACCGCCAGCCACACCTGCACCATCTAAGGTATTGATAAGTGAAAATGGGAAATCTGCGTTGCACAAAGATATTACTAAATCAGATATAAAAAGAGATCGTCCAATTGTGAAAAAAATATCTCCTACACGAAGTAAGTCGGAACAAATTTCGAAGAAAAAAAGCAAAGAAAAACTGAAAAGCGAAGAAAAAATAAGTGAAAGAAAACCAAAAAGATCTAATAAAAAAAGATTTAAAAAAAGCCAAGAAAAAATAGATAAAACAAAATCAAAAAAGTTAGATAATAAAATAATTACAAAGAGCCAAGAAAATAAAAACGATCATGATCAAATAATAAAAAGTGATACAATAAAGGATAAAAGAAAAGATCAAAATGTTTCGGAATCGGTAAAAAGTAAGCATGATCGGAAAATGGCTACGAAATCCGTAGAAAATCCTTCACAAAATCCTAAATATTTGGAGAAACAAAGTGGAGGATTGGACAAATGGGAAGTGGAGGATGGACAGAGATCGAATTCGAAAAAATTTAGTAAACAAATATCTTCTGTTAAGCTTTCTGATAAGCCTCAAAATTATATGCGTAATGTAATTTATGAAATTAATAAACAAGATAAAAAAGGGAAAAATTCAAAGAAATTAAATCCTAAATCCATCGCGTCATCAGATGTAAAAAAGAAAAAAATAAATAAACAATTGAGTGCGAGAAAAAGATCCACGAAACGAGATAGAAAAAAAAATGCGTATATTGATCAAGACATAAATCCTGAAACAGCTTATAAAAATAAGATACACGAATTAAAAAATATGATGAAATCTACTGATATCTATCCCTATGATATAAAACCAGCAGAGATTCCAGATGATCCTCCAGCAAAATGTCAACTAGAGTATGAAGATTTAGAACCTGCAGTTAATAATGTACAAATTGAAGAAGATACAGGTGCACAACCGGTAAGTAAAGATCCTTGTGGTTGGAAGACAAAGTCAGAACAACAATTGCCAACAAAGAAAACTCTGGTGTATCTGACTGATCCGGATTACCCTCCGGAAACAATACCAGTTAGACCGGGAGGGAAACCATGTGTTTGTCGGGAAAACAGAGCAAAGAAGAAAATATTATTGTATAATATCGGAGGACTTATAGGTGGGAAGAAAAATGATGGAGAAAAGAAATTATTCAAGAAGAAGAAAGACGAAGATAAACAGATGCAAGTCATAGATGGAGTTATTTATTATACTCCACCACCAAGTCCCCGTAGAAGCGACGAATATGTACCTGAGTATGATTTCTGCGAATCCTCATACGATATGTGTCTTACTCAACGTAAAGAACGAAATCTTAGATTTCTTGAACGATATAACATGCCAAAGATATCAGAAGTTCCAGAAAACAAGGAACCTTGCGGTTGTAATGAATACATAGATACGTATGGTATTCAAGCCACGGACGAAAATGAAAAGAAAGAACTTGAGACCAGAGACAAATTAATAAGCGCAAAACCGCCAAAGGAACGTTGGAATTTGGCGCTCAAAGATGTAGGTTTGATAGATTATTTTACACGATGTAGAGATAGTTTGCCTTGTTGGTTGAAATGTGCAAAATTTAACAAAGTCGGCTGTCCTGTGCTATACCGAAAGCTTAAAACAAAACGACCAGTATGCGAATGTAAATATGAAAGGAAAATACTCGAACATAGAGAGGAGAAAACGAAATGGAAGGAGCGTCAAAAACGATTGAAATCCTTGAAAAAACGCCCATACGTTAATATTTCTGACATTTCAAAACCGTTGGTGCAAAATACGAAATTAATGATATCAGATGTAAAAAGAATTCCAAGGGAGGATGAATACATCGACGACATTAAGTATTGTATAACCGGAGTTGCCGAAAATTATGATTATTTACCACCTAAGCAAGTAGTAGGTGGAATTCACATGGCTACACCCATTCAGACGCCTGAACCAAGTGTTCAGGAAATACCATGTGTTTGTTTGCATCGACATTGGTCGCCTACGAAGATTACTCCTGGACCATTACCAAAACCTGGAGAAATTTTACTTGCTGAGAGAAAACGCAGACAAGAAGCTCTGAAAGAAGCATTTCGCCAAATTTATGCTCCTCAATCAACATATCACGTCCATGACGATCATGGTTGTCAAGAAAAATGTGGTAAAAATGGAACGGAGAACAATGAAGATACAGAAAAAGATCAACAAATTGAGAGCCGCTATATAGCGTCATCTCGTTTACAAAAATCTATTAAAGACAGAGTAACAAGTTCTCCTCAACGTATCAAGCAACGCATTAAATCAAACATTGGCAATACTGAAGCTAAAATTGAAGTTAAAAATTTACAAAAATCTTCTGGAAATAAGATTAGGGATTCACGTAAAGAAGATAGAGACTTTAAGACTGAAAAAAGAGACCAGAAACGTTTAAATGTCCCTCAAAACCAAGCGTATAGAGAAACTAAAAATGATACTCAATATAATTCTGTTGAACTAGATGCGGAAAAAGTACATACTTTAGATGAGGAAACTGAAGAAGATTCTGATGATACCAAGTGTTATTTAATGGCTATAGTGAAGGTAAAATATATAATTTTATGTTTCACATATAGATTTATTTAGGCAAGATATAACTTTTGACATTCTTAATCAATCAGATTGAATTAAAAAAAATGGCGGCGGAAGGATTTCTGTTTGCAAAATTGCCCAAATGTTTTTTAATGCCACAGTTGCGATATTGGATAATGTATAGAAAAGGTTTCAATCCTAGTTATGTGGATAAGAGTAAGTGAAATATTTTTATATAATGTTCCATATGCATATTGTATCATATTCATATAACCAGTAGTATTTCTATTGATGAATTATTGAGAGTAGTAGTACTGGAACTAATAATAGTGGGATCAAATCGTTACTGTAGAAAAGTTCACGATTAATAGTTTTGTATGCTTTTACAGTATTATATTTTTCAGTAGCTTTCTTCTGCAAGAGATGTTTCTTCCAACAGTAATGAAACTTTCCTATTATAATGTTCTTTTTTTTTTAGAGAAATCAGTTCGCAACTCCATTAAAATGTGGTACATATTAGATAACAAAATCAAAAGATTTAAAATTCGTGTTCCATCGTTGAAAATGACCAAAATTCAACTTAGGAAATTAACGTACGACGATGCGCGAGAAATAAAAGCAAAGGTTCATATAACAATAATAATAATATAGACACAAGTATGATATATAGAAATTAATAGTGACAGACACGATTGTATATACCTAATGTAACATATATACAAAAAAGTGTTTAACACAGCAAGTGTATATAATATTTTAATCATTTTATAGATCGCGTTGAAAAAAGCTATATTCCATAGTCGAATACGGAAGGAGCGGGTTTTGTATGCACGATCGATGTGGAATTCAATGGAATACGGAAAATTCCCATCGATATCGTTCAAACAAGCATATTTCACCTACATGGCTAGCAAAGAAAGTGATGGCCACGTTTTTAAACCGTGGTTACCGATCGAAGTGCGCGATATGAATCCAAAGAAAATGAAATAAAATAGAAATAAAATTCGCATAAAATTCACATTCGAATAATCGATCTGAATGGTCGAGTTGATTTTTTAGACAATCGAGAGGAGGAGCTCGAACGGAGCAATCGATAGTTTTGATGCGAAGATTTTTAAGTCTGTTATAGCTGTCGTGAGGAGTACTGGAGGATGGATTTCGAAAGTCCAGATGTAGAGAAAGAGTTTCCTGGATTGTACGCCTCGGAATCAGCGAAAAAAAGTAATGAAAGTGATTGTACGTATTATCGTTTATCGAATTATCTGATTATCTTCGCGCGACAGTTTCCCATTAACTCTATAGATAGGTTATGCATCTGTCACTCGGAGCTTATTATTCGGAGTTGTGAATTGTCTTTCTGATTGACGAACATGCTTCAGTTCGATCAGTTTGAAACACGCGTCTTTCTCGTGTAATGTACATGTATGTATTTTGTAGTTAGCGATGAAGGTGGACACGAAAAACATTCTAAAAAAGAACTCCTCAGTGGTAAACGGAAGGAAAAGAAAGATCGAAAGGATCGAGGATATGCCACCTTAGAGGGTGAAAGTTCCCCTGACGAGGATCAGGAAACAAAGTAAGGCTTTTCTGTACAATTTCGTATGAATCATTAAACATTGATTTATACATCTTGATTTTACTTCTCTTGAGTTCTTCTGTTTGTTTGACAATCAAAACATAATGCTTGCTGGACCATTGATTTCAGATTTATATAATGTCCTTTGTAGTGAAAGACATTAGCATGTAAATCAGTATTGTCAAGTAATTTTAATTTTCATATATTGTTGGCACTGATATGTTAATTAAGCTTCACATTAATCTAAAATTAGTTGTATTGATTAGATTGTTTAGTAAGTTAACACCTAGTTAACAATCATCCTGAAATGGAAAACAAACTTGTGACAAATATTTATGATTTAATATTGCTGATCATTTTGATTCTTATTTCTGTAGTAAATGTATATTTTATTGTAAAAGTATTAGTCCTGTATGTGCAAAGAAGTGATGAATAGATCAGAGAGGCAATAAAGAAAGAACTGAATATTGTATACTTTATAATGTATAAAGTAAACGTATCTTTTCTTATGTTATATACAACTACTTTATTACTTGAATTAGCATATGATTTAACTCGCAGAAGTCCTTCAAAGTCGAAAAAGACCAAAGCTTTCAAATTTCCATCAAAGAAAGAAAAGCGTGAAAAATCTAGAGAAAAAGAGGGTAAAGAAAAGGATGGTGAAAAGGAAAAAGACAAGAAGAAAAAAGACAAAGATGAGAAAGACATAGAGAAAGAAAAACGTAAAGAGAAAGAAAAGGATAAGGCAAAGCAAAAATTAAAAGATCGTAAAAAAGGGAAGCACACTGGAGAAGATGGCTTGGATATCGGGGGTATGATGCCTATACTTAGTCTTTAAAATTATTTGATAATATATTTCATTAAATCTCTGATCATCTGTTTAGAGGAACAACCAGTATTTGGTGTCAGCCTGTATTTAGCAGTGGAAAGAAGTCGTTGTCACGATGGTGTTGAACTACCTTTAGTTATAAGAGATTGCATTGATTTTATAGAAGAGCATGGAATGAACGTAGAGGGTTTGTATAAAGTTCCAGGAGTAAAATCAAAAGTTCAGTATTTAAAAAAATTATATAACCACAGAGAACCAGTAAATTTATCTGAATTTGAACCTACAGTAGCTACAAGTTTATTGATATTGTTCCTTAGGTTTGTACTTCACAATATTAAATATAAACAAATATCCTAAAATGGAAAAATATATAACTAAGCTTTGATAATTCAGGGAGTTACCAGAGCCTGTCTTAGAAAACAGTGAAATGATATCAAGGTTTGAACAAGCAGCATCTACAAAAGATGTTGCGCAAAGAGAAGCACAGCTAGTACATTTAACTCAGCAGCTTCCTAAATGTAATAAAATTCTTCTCGCGTGGGTTATATTACACTTAGATCATGTTACAGCCCGAGTATGTTGGAAGAAACAAAAAAATTAAAAAATAATATCTTATATGTATATCTATTCTACATAAAATCGTATTACAGGAAAAAACAACTAAAATGAACGCTCAAACTATCTCAATGACATTAAGTCCTGTACTACAAATGAGTCATAGATTGTTATTAGCTTTGTTATTTCATTGCAAAGCTCTTTTTCCAAATGTACAATTAACGAAGTATGTACCACCACTTTCATCTGGTAGCGTTAATCTTCCAGATTCTGTAGAAAGTATAGCAGCTGAATTATCTAAGCAAGAATCGTTACTCTCACAAATACACATGCAAATGAACGCAGGTTTCGTTACAAAATCACGCGAGGAACAGTTGTGGGAAGTACAACGTATGATAACGCAATTAAAGGTTTGATTTTATTGTTTTGTAATTTAAAACTTATGAGAAAGTTATTATGCATACATAAATCTTTATTTATTATAGAGGAAATATAAAACGGTTCAAAAAATGGAAGGTGCAGCGCAAAAAAGTTTAGACGAAGAGGTAAAATCAAATGATGAGCCTGTAACAGAATTAAATGTACAAAAAACAAAAATAGAAGAGGAAGATGTAGAACATATAAAGTCGGAAACTCAAACAACTTCCACTTCAACATTAAAAAATAATAATAAAGCGCATATTTCAGAAGACAATAAAGAACCAACAAGTACAAATGTTACGCAAAACGAACGAAATGTTCATATATATGACAAAGATATTGTTGATTCTGCTGAATCATCTGCACTTGTTTCGCAGTTTAATGAACAAGAAAATACTTCATCTAGAACAAATGAAAATGGTATAATCGATGATTAAGATCAGTTTATATATGATTTTTAATTATATTAATTTAGTTTCAGCAGTGGAACCTGAACCTGAAAATGCTATTGACAAATTGAGAGAGAGTTTAATTTATGAAGAACTGTTAAATATGCAAGCATTACTAAAGTCGCGAATAAATCAAGAAAGAAATGAGATTAAACGTTTAATGGAAATGTTAACCGAACGTGGCCCAGAAAAGAAAAAACCAAAAGAAAGAGTATACTCACCGAATGAAGCAGAGATGACAGCTATGATTCAATTAGTCAAAGAAAATCAATTACTCGAGGTGCTTGTGAGAAATTTATAACATTATCGATTTTTAATTGATGATCAATAATTGTGTTTGTTTATATTTTAGAAAAAAATGACTACTTTAATCCGCAGTATCATAGAAGAGAAAGATGCTTGCATAGAACTTCGTGTTCAACTAGCAGTTCATCAATTAGCGGCTAAAACCTGACCATTAACTATAAAATAATATTTTTAATTCATCAAAAAGAACATTATGCAGTTTCTAAAAATATGTAACATGATGTTTTGCACAGGATGAACATATATAGTTTATAAGATGTTACTACAACCATGTTTTCTTGACTTATTCTATTCTCTTGTAAAATAAAAAAATATATTGAACATGGATGTATGTGTTTACTTAGCATAAAAAATTCTTGTTTGTGTATATACATATATTTTATTAATATGCATTTGCATTAAATATGATAATTACATGTAACTTAAACAAATGCATACACTTTTACATTTATATTGTTTTATTCATTTAAAACAAATATGCTATATCATCACAATCTTAGAGCAACAAAGATACTTGATGAAAATGAACTGAACATTCTTTGTGCATGAAAGATTAAAGATTTTGATGAATATTAAATAACATTCAATATTTATTTCTTTTAACTAAGTAAAAGAGTAACATTTCTACAGATGGTAATTTTATATTGGAATGTAGGACCGAAAAATATAAAGTGTTATACAATCATATTCTTTTTCCTATGTTAATACTGAATAATATATTACACTTTACACAATCACTTTTTATAAGTGATTATTCATACGAAACACAAAACATTATTAGAATCATATTTTAACGATATAAAATTAATGTTAAATTGTACAACAGTTTCTGACCTTTAGGTATAAGTTCTAGTACATATTTGTCATTATTGTCCAGTTAATTTATCAAAACATACTAATTTTAATTTTACTTAAACTTTGAACAAAAATACTCTAACTCTATTAATTTGTTTTTGAAATTCGTAAATGTTTAACCTTTTTCAATTCATAAAGAATAGGTCAGAAATTTTCCCATCTTTTTCATTTACAACTTTTTCTATAGAGTTAAAAAACAAAAGACATTTAAACGTAAAAGAAATTAATGACGTGAATCTCTTGGATAAAATTCGGCGAGAATGTTGGTAGGAATTCGTTTGAGCATCTCCTTAGGGAAGATACGTAACAACTGCCAGCCAATATCCAGTGATTCGAAAACTGTACGATTTTCGTAGCCTCCCTGAGAAATGAAATTTTTCTCGAACTTTGAAAGGAATTCTAGATACAACAGGTCATCTGGCGTCAAAGCCTCTTCACCAACAACAGCTTTCATAGCTTGTACGTCTTTTCCAATAGCGTAGCATGCGTACTGAAATCAAATTGTCATTAAATTGGTAATATCATTGTTTTCTAAAAACTATAATTAATCTAAGGTATAAAACTTACCAACTGATTAGACACATCAGAATGATCTTTTCGCGTAAAACCTTCACCAATAGCGGACTTCATAAGACGAGACAGAGAGGGGAGTACGTTAACAGGTGGGTAAATTTGTCTATTATGAAGTTGACGATCAACATAAATTTGTCCTTCAGTGATGTACCCAGTTAAATCAGGAATAGGGTGAGTAATATCATCATTTGGCATAGTTAGGATTGGAATTTGAGTAATGGAACCATTACGGCCTTCTACTCGACCAGCTCGTTCGTATATAGTTGCCAAATCGGTGTACATATAACCGGGAAAACCACGTCGTCCTGGGACTTCTTCACGAGCAGCTGATACTTCTCGAAGAGCCTCGGCATAAGAAGACATGTCAGTAAGTATAACTAAAACGTGTTTTTCGCATTGATAAGCCAAAAATTCGGCTGCGGTCAATGCCAGACGTGGAGTGATAATTCTTTCGATAGTAGGATCATTAGCCAAATTCAAAAAGAGGCACACGTTTTCCATCGAACCATTTTCCTCAAAATCTTGCTTAAAGAAACGAGCAGTTTCCATGTTCACACCCATAGCAGCAAATACAATAGCAAAGTTATCTTCGTGAGAATCCAAGACTGACTTTCCAGGCAATTTTACAAGACCAGCTTGACGACAAATTTGCGCAGCAATCTGTATAAAGTACAGTTACATCTATTATAATAACTGCACATAATACAAATAGAACAGTGTATCATCTTGATTTAAATACCTCGTTGTGTGGTAAACCTGCAGCAGAGAAAATAGGAATCTTCTGTCCACGAGCAATAGAATTCATAACGTCGATAGCGGAAATGCCAGTTTGAATCATTTCTTTAGGATAGATACGCGACCATGGATTTATCGGTTGGCCTTCAATATCTAGGTAATCCTCCGCAAGAATAGGAGGGCCTTTGTCAATTGGTTTCCCAGACCCATTGAAAACACGACCCAACATATCTTCGGACACAGGGGTCCGAAGAGTGTCGCCGGTGAACTCGCAATGAGTATTTTTTGCATCAATACCAGAGGTGCCCTCAAACACCTGAACAACAGCTTTAGAACCAGATACCTCAAGCACCTGACCAGATCTTATAGATCCGTCAGCGAGCTTCAATTGCACAATTTCTGCATACTTTGGAAATTTGACTTCGTCCAATATTACTAATGGTCCATTTACACCTGACACAGTTTTGTACGCTACAGAAACAAAGAAAGAATAATTTTAATATTTCAATATACGTAATGGAATAAAAATGAGATTCTATTTAAACAAACATCTGCTTCATATAGATCTGATATACATGTTATACAAAAATTTTACTGTATTGTTGTATCAATGCTTGTGTATATAGTCACATGACATGGGTATCTTGATTGAAGAGACAATTTCAATTTCTAGTCAACCACAGTTAAATGCATGGTCATTTATGATATTCTTGTACGTTCGAATCATGCTTTCTCGTTTATCATAATCAAAAAGCGAACATATTCGGAATCAGCTGACCAGCAGGCAAATCGATCCGTTGCTACGCCCAGTTTACGCCGAGTACTTCGCACCTCACGAAATTTTCTATTTCTGGACTTTGGTAAAATAAGCGTGGCTACTTACTAAGCCGTGGTTGTGAAATGAAATCTCTTGTAACAGCCAAAACATGCTCCTTGGTGGCCTGACGTTCCCCGATACTTTTCGGATACATTTTCGATCGAGTGGTTTTTCTTGGTCTGTTACGTCGGCCAAACAGCAGAAGGTACTGCTGCTACTATTTCGATGAAGGAGGATGGACTAAGTATCAAGGGTGGGGATAACTTTAAAAATCCAATTTAAACCAACGAAATCATTGCCAACACCTTCGCTGAAATCGATCAAACGTACCAGCGGAAATAAAGAACGAACTTTTGTTAACAATGACGACTTTCAAATTAAACGAATCTCCCGATTATACGAATTTTACTTCGATAAATTGATGGATATAACAAGCAGCGAGTGTCTGAGAGAGATAGACACAACGGCACGTGCAATCACGTGGCTTATACTAAGTAATTCGTTTGATATTTATTAACATCAAAATTTGTCGTGAAATGATACTGTTACGATTAAACGTATCGTTGAAAAAAAAAAAAAATTAAACGCGGCGCAAAAGGAGAGACGACGACCTATTATTAGACATCTGTATACGTTATTTGAATTGTGTCATTTGCCACACGCGGGTCATTCAATTACAAATCCTCACCAATTGCAATCTTTAATACATATGAAATTACATCTTAAAAAAGAAAATGGTATTAAAGAGACAAGGAGATTTCACATTTATCTTGCATCTTTCTATTTCTCAAATGAACAAGATTTTGCCGCGAGTAATAAAATTAGTAAGACCGTCTGACAGAGAGAAAACACAAGTTATTGAATTATTAAGTTTAAAGTTTCCAAAGATATAGTATCCACAACAGAATATTAAATATAACGATATTGGAATAGAATTGTTAGAACAAACAGAAATTATTAGAGATTATTAGACTGTTAGGAATATCATGTTATTCGAATGGAAATTAGAATCGTATTATTAGAATAAACAGAATATCAGAAAATCTGTATAGTTTTAGCCTTGACCCAATTGACAAGAGCCCTGCCCCGTTACAAGAACACAGCCACCTCCTTTAGTTACGGACCTGATGGCAATAATTTCGCGCCGAGAAAGCACGAGTGTGCTGCTCTCAGCCACTCGGTGGCGGCTGGTTCGAGGATTTATGTGTGAACGCAGGACGGTCGATCCGTTTGAGTTGACGGTGTTCTAAGATTTCTTACCGTTATTTCTCAAACACTCGAATTTTTTACATCGTGTAATTAGCGTGTAAAGTAAGTTTTTACCATCGTTCCACCCGATAGTGTGTTCTTGTAGTTCTTCGCTGATAGAAATATATCGTATACCGAACCATGGCGGCTCTTAAACGGATGGTCAATTTGTCGAAAACTCTTAAAACGATGACAACCACGTCTCGTTTGTGCTGTTTTCAAACATCGAGAAAAACCTATTTCACATACGTGAACGAACCTTCTATGCCGATATTGAACAAAGAACCATGCTGGCTCAAAACTGCCGACGAAGCGATCGAGAAAGCCGAATTAGACTCTGGTAATTATTTTCCCCTGTTATTTTACGTACTTTGTTTCATTATTGAATTCGCTTTCGTAGGTCATACTTCGTCTAACGAAAGAATCGCAGTTTTCGAAAACTAACCTCAAAATATTCGAAGAACAAACGCAGATGTCAATGATTTTTCTTTTTTTAAATATTTTTCAAATTTACGTATTTGTTTCGTAAAGCAAATCTTATATTTAGACTACGATCTTAAATGTCCCCTAAAATTTTCCATACTGATCCTAATCTTATTTTTTTCTGTTTAGGCGAGTAATCTAACTCGTATAGGATCATAAATTTTATTCTTTATCTTTAGCGTTACTAAGGACTTCGTATTTGTTTATTTTATCGAGTTGTATGATAAAAATTATCAAAAGTCAAGAAAAAATAGTAAGACATTTGAATAATAAATCGACTTTGATCTATCACTCATTGGTTATTATATTCGTGTTCGTTAGTACTAAAGTACTAAAAGCGGGTAAACTGACACCAAATTGCCAATGCGTCTAGTTGTTAGATATTTGTTAATATTCTCCTTTTCCTAAGAACTTATTTATGCTCAAATTGTTCTGCCTTGTATAAGGCAATATATATTAATATTATATTATAAGGCAATATATATTAATATTATATATTAATATTATATTTACGGACGCTTTATTTCAAAGGTCATGTAAGACAAATTGATACTGACGTATTTGATAGCCGTAGGCTTCATATATGTATAAAGAGCGAAGATAAAGCTGATAGTAGACAATAAATGTTTTCAAGGATTTCATCGATTAATTCATTGATTGTTGGACGCTGCTAGATATCAGAATTACTATTATATTATTATCAAAATTATAGAAAGATGGGAAAGACAGGAAAATGAGAAATACAATCTTCGCATATACATATATATTACATAGACATTGCGTAGACTGCGGATGTTACGGAATAATTAAGATATGCGAAATAAAATTAAAATGCATACTATACGAAATAAAATTAAAATGCATACTATACCATAATATACGAACATATTCATATTGAAATATTTCAGCGACCTTGAAAATTTAAAAGAAAAAAGATCTATTTTGCATTTTTTAGCAAAATATTAAAAAGTTAAAAATAAACGAAACAACCTGTACAAGAGATAAACATCGTGAAATAATTATTATGGCCGCAAGTTAAAAACTTAGTAAATTATAATCATTTCTTTCTATATTAATTGTAATTAATCAATAGCTTTTATTTTTAAAATTAATTCAATGTATTTTTACATTCTATATATATCATCTCAACTTATCTGATGTTTTCAGTTATTCACACTTTTGTTAAAACTTAGGAGTATATTGAATTTCATATTTGTATATAGTATAATTATAAAAATCTGACATTATGCAAACGTGGAATTTCATTTAAAAAACACTTCATCAGAGAATAATAATACATGCAAATATTTTTTATAGCCCTTGTGATATATTTTTATAGCCAAGATGATAAAAATCGAAGATTTTACAATGAGTTTCATTCATTACATATATTTCTTGTATTATATGCCATATAAATATTTATACATATACTATTTGTTTATATTAATATTAATAGTTAATACTCTTGCTTACAAAGTTACGCTCGTCAAATATAGAACATCGTATAAAATAATGACCTCAACTCCTATACTCATCGTGTAAATATGCGGTTTAATCGGCGAATGTTATTGGTTTTGATGAACCGCGCAGTCACGTATAGTTTTTCATCCACGAACTTAATTTCCGCTTTAAAAACGTTTGTCGCGTACGAATTACGAGGGACAAAGATTTGTACTGTCTCAAAATTTTTAAAAATAATTATCAATTTCATTGTTATCAAAATGAATAATTTCCTATTTGTATCCCGGAAGTTGTTACATAATCAACGTATGCTCATAACAAGGTCATTTGATCTTAAATTTACATGAGTTACGCTTAAAAATGTAGAAAGGAATGCATAAAAAGTATATAAAAAAATAAACAAGAATATCATTTAATTTAGTTAGATACGATTTAAATTCTTTTAATATTTATACGACTCAAATATTTCTTTTTTCTCGAAACGTTAAGATTCATTATTCACGAATGTTAGAAACGTTAGAAACATTACTTTACTATGACCTTTGAAATACTGCAATTAATATTATTTATGTCTGTAAATATCCATAATACATCATACCATTGAAAGCATAATTGTATAACAAAAAATAGTATTCTATGTATTCTTGGTATGAGATATGTTCCTGATTGAATTGAAAGTGTTTACTATGTCTAGTCCAAGCAGGTCATATATCTTTGTTTTTTTCAGATCAGCTCGTATTTGTCCAAGGTGCAGCAGCTACTCCTACTGAGTTGTTAAGAGCGATGACAGAATATGGTGTCCGATGTGACGTGAGAAATGTAAAATTGTTTCATATGCATCTTGAAGGCGATGCACCGTTTGCAAAACCAGAAAATGCAAGTAAGTTGATATTGAGATCCCTTAGTTGTTAAGATATTGTGATCCCTTAATTGTTTTTCGAACCAGTGAAGCAATTCTTTTTTTTTAAAGAATGAATTACTACTATATGCATAAGTATTTGAACGCTTGGTGCAATTTGATCAAAGTTATCTCTGTTATATTTTCAAAGTTACAATGAAAGGATATTGATTGAAACAAGAAATATCTGCACTAGTCAAGTCATATTGTCATATTTGCGTCTAATAAATAATTGACAGTGCATAAAATTAAAATAGATATTAATTTCCATTCACTTCCTTTTTATTTGAGGTAAATAATTAAATAGTAATTTAGAAGTGTCAAAATACTTCTGCATGTTAGTTAGTATTTGTTCCTTAAAATATAATGTCAATTATCTTGACAAACAAAAAAGTTCACATATAAAAATGTTCTATTATATATTGTAGCTTTTTGTGCGCAGAACATTTCAGATCCGTTAGCTTCTTCATTGGAGGTAACGTGAGACCAGCTGTTCAAGCAGGTCACGCTGACTGCATTCCAATTTTCTTGCATGAAATCCCACGAGTATTTAATGAAGGATATGTCAAGCCAGACATCGCGCTTATCCATGTTAGCCCACCTGATGACAAAGGGTACTGTTCACTTGGTACTAGCGTAGATTGTGTACGAGCTGCTCTGAGCCATTCTAAATACATCGTAGGTAAATTTTCAAATTTTCTCGAATTCATTCGATATGCCAGAATTATCCGCTGATTAACTCTTCATTGTTATTTACAGCTTTAGTAAACAAGTGCATGCCAAGAACGTTCGGTGACGCTTTAATTCATGTTAGCCACTTGGATTTCGCTGTGGAGCATCACAAACCACTTCCAGTGCATCCTGTAAAAGCACCGTCGAAAGAGGAACAACAAATCGGTAAATACATCGCCGAAAATTTAGTACTAGACGGAGCCACGTTACAAATGGGCATCGGAAGTATACCGGATGCGGTATTGTCACTTTTGAAGAATCACCAAGATCTTGGAATTCATAGTGAAATGTTCAGTGACGGTGTAGTAGAATTGGTCGAGAAGGGATGTATAACAAATAACCGCAAGACAATGCACAGAGGCAGAATTGTCGGCTCGTTCTGTGTTGGATCAGACAAGTTATATAATTTTATGCACAATAATCCTTTTATAGGTAGGTGTATCTCATACCGAGAAATTTTTTTCTTTCCTTTTACGTAAATAAACTTGTATAAAGTTATTACTTGATTTTGTAGAAATGTTGGTGGTAGACTATGTGAATGATCCAAAAATAGTAGCCAAACAACCAAACATGACGGCTATTAATTCGTGTATAGAAGTTGATATCACTGGCCAGATTTGCTCCGATAGTATCGGAACTAGAATGTATTCTGGATTTGGGGGGCAACTAGATTTCATTACGGGTGCCGCTCTTAGTGACGACCGTCAAGGAAGACCCATCATTGCATTGCAGTCTGTTACTTCGAAGGGTGAAAGCAAAATTCAGCCTGTTTTAAAGTCAGGTATGTAATTACTATTTTTTAACAATTTTAACTTGATTCAAGACCTTCATCTGTGTCGTTCGTTTTAAGGTGCTGGTGTCGTTACAAATAGAGCGGTTGTACGATACGTTGTCACGGAATATGGAATTGCTAGTTTATTCGGCAAAAGTCTTCAACAGCGTTCGTACGAACTAATACAAATCGCTCACCCCGATCATAGAGAAGCGTTAGAAAAAGCAGCATTTGAACGTTTAAAAATGATGCCAGCGCCATAAGCATCTAATTGAAAACAATATTCGAAGGCCTTTTTAAAAGTAACATGATAGTTGTCTCACAAACATAAACATTTCTATGCGAGGAAGACTGTTATAAATTATTTCGCGATTTTTCTTTTATACTTTATGCCTTCTTATTGAAACGCTAATAATGAAAAAAAAAAAAGTATCAAGAATACAATTTCAATGTCACATCATAGCGAATTCCATTTTGAAGTACGCAATAAGTACTTTCGTTACTTTGGGCGAATTTCATTCGATTTCGAAATAAAAGTGAGAAAACTTTTACTTTAAACAGGTATTTAATGTTACATTAAAGTACAATCGAAACGTGCTTGATGATAACCAAAAATAGTGTATAATAACGGCGAATAATTTTTACACGAAATTTTGAACGTTCCTGTGTAAAATAACATTATTATTGTAACTATTTAGACTACGTGGCATTTGAAACAATAAATTAAAAACAAAATACAAATAGAACATATATCACTCCGTTATAATCATTTCCATCTGTGCTCGAGTGAAATACAAAATGAAAATATGTTTTTAAACGTATATCGATCAAAATTGAATAATCGAATATCGGTAAATTCGACGTTCAAATACTAATCGTGGAGATGACAACGGATCTAATGTAATTGCTCTATATATTCGACTTTATCAACAACATCTAGCAAATTTTCATTGTTTGTATATTTTCTGACATGTCGTTTGTCTTCTTTTGTCAAAATGTTCGGTCTCAATTTTCGTCGAAATTTGGAGTCAACGTTTGGTAAAATTTTGCCAGTAAGATCTTTTAACATATGCGGCGTAAGGTACATACGAGAACCTTTGCAACCATTAAGACGATGTCCAAAGTGGGTTTGCGTTGAAGATGCAGTGAAAATTATTAATTCAGGTATTTATTTTTATATAACTTTTTTTCATCTAGATTTTTATTCATGACCAGATACAAAGTTATTAAGTTTGTGTTTGTTCCAGAGCATTTAGTTTTTATTCAAGGGGGTGCAGCAACGCCTAATGAATTAATACGTGCCATGACCGAACATGCTATTTGTAATAATCTACGTGGAGTACGATTAATTCATATGGGCCTCGAGGGTGATGCGCCATTCGCAAATCCTGAATTTGAGAGTACGGTATTTCATAACTAAAAATATCAGACAACCGAAACCGCTGTGTTACATTACGATCGTAAAACTACACAATCATCTTTTAGAACATTTCAGATCTGTAAACTTTTACATCAGTGCTAATCTTAGAGAGGCTGTTAATGAGGGAAGAGCAGATTATATCCCTATATTTCTCCACGAAGTTCCAAAACTTTTTTACGAGAAGAGAATTGTTGCAGACATTGCATTAATTCAAGTTAGTGTTCCGGATACGCGCGGTTTCTGTTCTTTAGGTGTAAGCGTGGATTGTACGCGTGCTGCGATTAGTTCAGCGAAAGTTATCATTGGTCAGTAAGCGCTTGACAATAAATAACTATTGTATTAAATGAAAATTCACGTCGTTTTTTTTTTCCATTCAGCCCAAGTTAATGAACACATGCCGAGATCATTTGGAGATACTACTATTCATTCTAGTCATATTGATTGGGCAGTCAAATATGACTGTCCTTTACCATGCGTAGCTAGTGCTCCTCCAAATGATATTGAGCAAGAAATTGGCAAAATAATTGCGCAAAGGCTGGTAGATGATGGAGCAACCTTACAACTTGGGATTGGTAACATACCCGATGCTGTTCTTTGTTCCCTCGGTAATCATAAAGACTTGGGAGTCCATACAGAAGTACTTGGCGATACAATGGTAGATTTAGCGGAACGGGGGAATATTTCAAACAAAATGAAAATAAAGCACAGAGGACGTATAGTCGCTTCTTTAGCAATTGGTACAAAAAGAGTATACGACTTTTTACATAATAATCCATTTGTAGGTGTGTACATGTACTTATTACGTTTTAAAATTAATAATATATTAAAGATTTAGCTCTAGTGTAAATAACATAATATTTATTCATTTACGCAGAGATGCTTGCAATTAATTACGTAAATGATCCTCGAGTAATATCACAACAACCGAAAATGACAGCTATTAATTCTTGTATAGAAATGGATATCACTGGTCAAATATGTTCTGATAGTGTAGGCTGTAAAATGTACTCTGGATTTGGTGGTCAGCTTGACTTTACTCGAGGTGCGGCATTGTGCCAAGATGGTCGAGGAAAAGCTATAATCGCATTTCCTTCGGTAACTAGTAAAGGGGAAAGTAAAATTCAACCTGTACTTAAGCTTGGTATGAAAACAAATTTTATATCATTTATTTATAAAAAAAAAAATCGTTTCCTCAATTTCGTATGAATGAATGAGTTGTTTAATATAATAATTTTTTTTGTAAATACAATCGAAATTATTTAATAGGTGGTGGTATCGTGATAACGAGAGCACATGCACACTACATAGTTACTGAGCATGGTGTAGCAAATCTTTTTGGTAAGACATTACGTCAGAGAGCAAATGCATTAATTCAGATTGCTCATCCTGATCACAGAGAATGTCTTGAAAAAGCTGCATTTGAAAGACTTAAAACTAATCCAACAAAATATTTATAATTTATATATATATTTACAAGTAATGTGTTTTATAAAATTTTGTAACATTATTTGTATTCGGTACATATCCGAAAAGTCTTTATCTCAGTGTTTGTTATAAAATTTTTGTGTCAATGTTCCTTTTAGATAAAAACTTAATAAATATTTATAACTTTTATCATGAAATTCATTTTTATGAATCATTTGTCAATTTATCAATCATTGAACAATTTGAATAAATAACTCATATATTTTTAATTCTTATTTGAAAGACACGTATACAAAGCAATATTTATATATACATACAAACGTAATTTTTTAATTTATACAGGCGTAGCTAATTAATAATAATATTTTTCAAAAATTGATACCTTCTGGTAATGTTCCTTCTCGTCGTCTCTTTTCAACGTTTTCGTAATATTCAGAAAAATTAACGTAAGGTTTAATTCTAGTGTTTCTGTTCATTGGTCTTGCACCAGGAGGATATATATCTGATGACGATGAAGTTTCAGTCGTTGAAAAATCGGAATTTTCTTCTGTAGCACTCGTAGTTGAATACTCGTTGTCTGGTATTGTTGTAATCTGAGTAGATTCTATAATTGGGTTAAATCTAACAGACGGGTTAGTTGGACTTTTCAATGCATGGGGAAGCGGGAAATTAAAATTTCGTACAAGAAGAGTTATATCATCTCGTTTACCAGTAGTTACTGTACTTTGTAAATTACTCATATTAATGTCATGATGAATTCTTACAACTTTATCTACAACAGCTTGAGCAACTCCTGTTAAGGTAGATTGTACCTGAAACTGAAATTTAGTTCGTGAGGATAAGAATGCGTTGCTGTATATACAATCAATAATTATTTCATACTTCTTGAACTGCAAAATTAATTAATTTTATGTTAACTTGATCAATTCCAGTTACTTCTTCCAGTGATTTATATAGTCCACGAGACATAAGCAATAGAAATTTACAAGAATCATCAAGTTCTATTCCACCATGAATTTCTGGTTCTGCAATAACAGGTTCTGCCGTAGCAGATGCTAATTCTTCAAATTCCCTGTAACCTCCCTTAATAAGATAGTTTCCAAGGCAACGTGTAGTTTCCTGATTTCCAATACGAGATCCTCCAATATAAATTATTATTAAATATCTTGAAATCTATGAATTATATTGAATTGAGTATGTTTCTTTTTTCTTTTTTTTTTAATTACCTTGTCTTATAGAGTCAGTATCCAACTCTAAGTGAGATAATCTCAACAATTCATCTTCGTTCCTCAAATCATGATCCACACTTAGTTGTACAACCCTTAACACTTGATTGGCATCTGTTTTACACAATAAAGCTCTACTATCGCCAACGTTTGCAACATACAATTTTCCACGGTATACAAGAGCTACAACTGCACTGGTTCCTGCTGATAGCTCACAATTTAAAGCATTTAACTTGTCAACCTATATAAAATCTCAAAATATAAATAATACCAAATATTTCTGAAATTCATATAACACAATATACTTCAACCAAACTGACCAAATGAGGAAACTTTTGATAAGTTTCATAGGAGTTCAATCCGTCTGGTATATCAAATTGCAAACTGGTTCGTTCAGCTAAAAGATCTCCTATAGAATCTAAATATCCTCTTTCCACTGCTATAAATGCCTGTCTACAATTGCAAATTGTACGATTTTCATTTACAATCTTTATTTATTGTGCATTATTAGTACCTAAGAACTTCTTTAACTTCTTCATCCGTTGATTTCCCATTCAACTGTCCAAGTAAAATCTCTGCAGCCATTCGCTGCATAGCAAAGTTTGCAACTTTGGTACCTTCGTGACCATCAAACACCCCATAGAGAAATGTTGAATCGTCATAGCGGCAATGAAAACTTCGATCTTCGAACGGGTGTTCCTCCTGTCTGTATCCATCCTCGCGATAGATTTGATTCGTAGAAAATCCTACGCCTGAGAAAAGCAAGGAAAAGTAAACATAAACACGAGCATTTTTAGGTTAGTTTAACAAATTTTTACGCACCAGATTGTTTACATACTGGCAAATCATCTGTCCAACTATACTGTGTATCCTGAAAAGGTATCAAATTAGGGCGTTCTGCCCTAGTTGGCATTATTAAAGAAAATGAATTAACTTTAACGAAAATGTCAATTGATGTACATATATGCAGACTTACGTTTCTAACATATCGACTGCGTTCGACTCACATCGATTAATGATATCGACAATTTCATAGCAATCGATTACATTATTTCAAATCAAATTTTTTCAAAAAATCCTCTCCAAATACTTTTTCTTAATTGCTACATTTTGTTTACTAGCTTTAATTGCGTATACTAGTTAATTTATAATGCGTATAATGTAATGATAATATCTTTACATAATGTACGAGATATAAAATAAAAATATATGCATCAAAAATTCACGAAATGCCAATTACTTTTTGCCCTTTTCTTTTATATACTTTATTTCTTACACATTTTATTTATTGTACATTTATTTGTTTTTTTTTTTTTTATTTATCATGTATTATTTTATGTTCTATGAACAGATATATATTGCAATATGTAAAAACAAAAGCAATTCTTATTACGAACTTTTATTCTACCTGCCAAATTACATGACATCTCGGCCAATTAATAGTAAAAATTTTAGTAATTAATTACATTTGATTGACACTGAATGGATACAAGATTTAACAATATTTAAAAATGTGACAAATCGTTTTTTAAAATTTCAATTAGAACAACGCCTATTAATAGAAGGAAATAAATTGTTGAATAGGTTATTATTTATAGCGTATTTGTTAAAATTTTTTTTTATATGCTTTTCATATATCTATATGTATGTATGTATGTGTGTATGTGTATGTGGCGTAATATGTATATATATATATATATTATCATATGATATTAATATTAATATTTAATATTTTTTACCATTAATGCATAAAGGACAACATGAGTCGACGGCCTCAGTTAACAAAAACTGAACAACTTCGTCAGGCCAGAACTGCCGCACGTATGAGAGATGTTGAAAAGGATGCAGCAATGAGACAGGAAAGAGATCCATTCAAACCTCGCAGAAGGATGATTAGACCTGAGCCAAAAAAAGTGGAGTTCACTAAGCCAGGAATGACTAAAGCAATGCTAGCTAGAGTAAAACATGCTGAAAAGTTTAAACAAGAATACGAACGTAAGCAAGAATCAGTTACATCAGTTCCTAGAAGGGCACCTGCACCGATAGGAGGTGACGCCAGGTCGTGACAAACTTAGTCAAACTTAATTGTAATAAACGACACGATATTTAGATGAATAACAACAATCCTCTTTCTTCTAATTTTAATTTAAATGTTCTTCATATCATTGCTATAAAATAGCTAATAATATGCCAAGGAATAATTTAAGTTCCCACCATCATGTATAACATTATATCAAATTAGATTGGGTAGGGAAAGAACGCCAGCTAGGAAAGCTCCACGCGTACCTCCAGTTAGAACTCCTTTGCGAGAAGTTTCACCACCGAGAAGAGAATTTGAAGCTGGGCCCAGTCATGTGTCTACTATCCGAAGAATTCCGAAAACACCAAAAACACCTGTACAAGCTTTATCTAGAAAAACTACTGAATTAGCCAAAATGATGAACGCTGATGTAATTCAAGCTGAGCCAATAGGTGAAGGAATAGTCAGTAATATCGTAATACCTCCTGGTTTAGTGAATGAAGATCGTACCACTATTGTCAGTGTATCGCAGCCACCTATAGATCCTGAATCAAAAATAATATCGCAAGCAGCTAATCGTTCGATTCAAGTGATCAGGTGACTTCATCAAAATTTCTTTTCTTTTGCTAATAATCTAACATGATATATTTCACCTTGGTAGTGAAACTCTTGATGAGCAAGACGCTGTTGAAACTGCAGCTGTGCAAAATAAGCTAACAGAATTGCAAAATGCTAGAAGAGATTTCGTTATCGCGGCTGCAAACGTTGGTGCGAATGCTCTTCAACTTGAAGATGATACTCGTCCCACCATTCCTTTTGAGACTCCTCAAAGGAGATATATACGGTAACATTTATAAGGAGATGTAGTATAATTAAATGAATCTCTTACAATTGTTATATCTAACAATGATATTTATATAGACTTCCTGAGATACCAGAACCTGAATACACTTTGGATCACCCAGATATTATTGCCGCCCGCGAGCATATGCAAAAATTTAAAGCTGATATGGAAGCAAGAGAAGCAGCTAGAAGAATGGAAGAAGAATTTGAAAAAATAGCAGCATCAGAAGGTTTACCGGATGAGTTAGGTTTGGAAACTCCTTTTGAAGAACAATTGTACCAGGAAAGAGACATCTCTTGGGAAGAAGATGAAAGTGGCTTGGCTATGCCTCAACCATCTAGAATAAAAGCTCAAATTTCTCCTGTTCCAAAACAACTTTATCAATTTGAACCCTTTGATCCAGAAGAATTAGAAAAATTTTTCGATGTTCAAACTTATCCACCTTGCCCACAATGCTCCGGACCACCGCCAGGTAGAGAACATTTGCATCCTGACTTGTGGGAATTGGAAGATCCATGGTACAAACCACCCCCAGAACCAGATATGCCAGATCTAATAGAGTTTGACGAGTCAGATCTAATACGTTTCTAAAATTTGTTATATATAATTTTTTATAGCAATTTCTTGTAAAATACTGATGCCTGATACAATGTATAATTACCACATACATGTAAATAATAATAATAGCAATGATTATTTTTTAATCAAACATGTAATTACCAAAATTTTGTAAATTTAACAAAAGCTGTTAAACATCAAAATCACATTAATAAAATCTTTTTATTAATTAAAAAGTAGTACAATGTGTATGAAACTTACTTAACTGTGTAAAATGATCAACAAATTTAGTAACATGTTATGTTACATATTTCCATATTACCATTAATTCAAAACTGAGAACATTGTCAAGAACCTTCTGTGCTTAATACATTTATTAACAATTGTGTTTGTTTTATTATCATATTTATATGATTAATAAAAAAGATAAAAATTAAATATAGTTTCATACATCAGTGAGGGTAATAGTGACTCCCCTCTTTTCCAGACATTTAGTCAAGGAACTCAAAAGCATCGGAGAGCGCAACTCCCCATCCCAGAGTGGATTCGCAAGCATCACTGCTTAAATGGGAGATTGTCGACGATCCGTTAATGAATTCCAGCTGTTATAACTATTCAAAATTGAAGATGTTGAGCTTGCATTTATTTAATGACGATCACTGCGAAAATGTGGCACTAGATGGGGCAATTATCTCATATCATGTAGGAACCTGGAGTAGGTAAGGCAGAATTCTACCGCAGGTTCAGGTATAAAAATTATACACGTAATTCTTTTAACAGTTTTATATATTTTTATCTTTGGTTTCTTATTACAATTGCACTTACAAGTTTCTTACAAATCTCTTACCCTTAGTAGCGAACAAACGTAAGAGTACTTATGGTAGTGGATACACTAGGAGTAGTAGTAGAAATAGAAGGCCTTTTCCTCTTTGCAACCCGGTTTTATAACCTCGGCTTGCGAAGAGGGGGAAAACTCTTTTCCCGCGTTTTTCCTGTTTTCCCGGGTTTTTTATTTTTACTCTAAAAAGATGTCGCTGGCTGCTTCATTGGAAACGCACCTTGCGGAAAGTTTTAGCGGATGTACGTGGCGCTGTTTCGCATTGCGCGGAGGTAGCGGTCGCTACAACCACAGTTGCCGATCATAGAAAGAGGTATTGGAACTGAAATGCGACTGTGGAGTTAGTATCGTGCAAGGCTCCACAGTGGCGTTGGAACCAAGATGTCGGGAATATGTTACAGCAGACTTCTTAATTTTATGTCAAAATGTTCATGGACGTAGCTTAAAAATAAGTAGATAAATTTAATTGATAATAAATTATATTTATGTATAAGTGCCACGAGTATAATGGCGACACCCACTAATGGCAACGGCAATCTCATCGATGAATTTGAAGAAGCATTTCAGGTATAGTACAAAATATATATATATTTTTAAATATTTTTTTTAAAACGGGTTTTTAGAGAGATTACAAATTTGCCTCTTTTTTGGTAATTCTTTTCTGAACATAAAACGCATTTTACAGCAATGTTTAAGTATATTGATAACGAAAGACGAAGGGTTAGGAAACAATGGAATTGGAGTATCTGGTGGTTTGACTGTGGATAAAGAAGAAGCACGTAGTGAAGTTGAACAAGTCACGCTAAGGTTTATAGATCTAGCAAGACAAATGGAAGCTTTCTTTCTGCAGAAACGATTTTTGTTATCTGCATTGAAACCAGAATTAGTAGTGAAAGAAGATATCAATGATCTTAGAGTAGAATTAGCGCGTAAAGAAGATCTCATAAAAAGACATTATGATAAAATTACAGTATGGCAGAATTTATTAGCAGATTTACAAGGTTGGGCAAAGTCACCAGCTCAAGGTCCAGCACCTAATGGTAAGAATCATAAAAAAAGAAAAATATTAAGAAATGATAATGTAATCAATAATTTTAATACGCTTAGGTTTGCCAAATGGTACTCAAAGCGGACAAAACCAACAAAGTGCCAATGGAGGTGGAAATGCAACAATGCAACAACAACAACAAATATTACAACATCAGCAACAAATGCAACAGCAACAACAGCAGTTGCAACATCTACAACAGCATCAAATGCAACAACAACAACTTCATCAGCAACAGGTATTTAAGTAATACCGTTACGAGCAAAGCTGAAACTCCTATATTCAGGCAGCTATCAATTAGTGTTGAGAAAATTTTTTTAAAACAACACATAATTTAAAAAGAAAAAAAAACATGCGGCAGCGAAAATTGTATATTTCAAGAAAGCTACTTTTGCTGTAGCAGTTATACCTAGAAGTTACATCTTAAATTATCATTCTTTAAGATCTGTCTCATTTTAGTCGTAAATTCAAATATTAATAATGTAAATTATTCATTTATTTATACAAAGTATTACAGTTACATATATGTCACAAGCTTATTTATACTCACTGTAATGTTCTCATTTCTGAAAAGTATATTTATTATTATTATATTTCTATATTAGTTATAATTTAAAACTGAATGAATATCAATGTTGGATGATCGTATGTATCTGTATGTATGCATGTGTGTGTGAATGTATAAATTGTATATAAATAGATTAAACTGTTAAGTAATCCTTTTGTGATTGAAATACTTATCAGAATTTTAGAAACTATTTTTGCTCCTTTTATTAAAAGTAACAGCTATTGAGGACATAAAACCATTCAGTCCTATTGCACAAAAGCAACGTATACCAGTGTTGCATATAATCAGTGCCTTATATAATTCCTATCAACAGAAATGTAATATGTAAGAATTAAAAACTTGAAGTGCTTTTATTAGTAGCTGCGATATAAAATTACAAAAACATAAATTTCATTTATGAGAAAGGAAAGTATCAAATAGATATACTTAAATAAACATGTTGTAAAATGGTGCCAAAATAATTGCTATCAAAATGTGTACAAATATTTAGCCAAAAACTGATATAATAAATCTGATAATGGCAATAATAAAAGAAAGATAAGCATATCACGTTTGCTTGACATTAATAGCACACCTAATAATCCCTACTACCTATATACATATTAGGAGCAAGTAGTGATATTTTGAAAGTATGATATCATTTTATGATTATTCAAAATTAAAGTATATATCTATAAATATGTATACAATATGTTTGTATATTTTCTTCTATATTTTTTTTTTTTATGTAACAGTATGATTTTTTATATCATATTGGAAATTGTTATAAATTTGATACATTTTTCAATATTTATAAATTTTCTTATTTATAATACAATGAATATCTTTTGCATGTAAACATGTATGCATGTATTTTGCATCAATGTAAGAGCTACTAAGAAAGGACATAAAAATTTAATTCATTGTAAACTACGAGAATTACATGTCAAAATGTTTGTTTCATTTATTTTCACACATTTTATGAATTGACATGTATCTTTTTATCTAATATTTAGATATAATATTGGATCAAAATATTGCAGCTATTCAAAACAAATCATTACAAAGAAACGAGATTATGCCATTTTACTTGTTTTCACATTACAAGTAGATGTTTGCAGAATAAATTTCTATTCATGGCAAAAGACATTGTGCTTTCTTTCATTTCCCTTTCCTATCTAATTACTGTCCCTAATACATCCTAATGGCTTGTAAGCTCGAAACTTATAAACCTGTGTATTCAAGTATATTGCATGTATGTACAGCATTTCTAAGATTTTCATCTTTCTAATAATCTCACTACTATCCTTGATCCTCCTGTGTGCTTAGTTTTTATTTGGCATCACTCTCTATGATCTAATATAATTTGTTTGAAAAATAATTTATGTCAAATGCATATTAATAAGAAATATTATGATAGAATATATGTGATGTGAAATTGCAGGTGCAGCAAGGATCTGGTGCACCTCCGACATCAGGCCTTCAAGGAGTTGGAGTTTCAGTTGGGCAACAAGGAATGTTTATGACACAGGGAGGAGTAGGTGTGACTGGCACACGGGGTGGATTTCCCGTTGCAGGTGTAGGAAGTAGTGCCCTCCAGGGTCCTCTCGCTTTCCTGGAAAAGACAACGAGCAATATAGGAATGCCCGAAAGGCGGAGTTGACGCGGAAGGGGGAGGGGCCGGGGTCGGGGTCGAGGAAAAGGCCGAGGAAGAGGACGAGGCGGAGGTGGAAGTTTACCTCCGCCACCACCACTTCTCGATACTTCGGACCCGTCGTCGTATGCTGCTGCTGCCGCAGTTGCAGCTGCTGCGGCAGCGCCCCTTCCCTCTCCACAGCAGCAGCCTCCACCACCTTGTACATGAATATATTTACAAGTTAATTTGTTACTGTAAGATATCGTTCTTGTATGTAAAATTATTGCGATCGCAGAAAATTGTTCTCGAGCTTATAGGTTCTTATTTTGTTTAGTAAAACGAACAAAGGGTTTCGTTAATTTAATGTTAAGTACGTAATACGTTTTATCATATACTTATATAAGTATAAACAAAATATGCGTAATGCATGTTGTTATTCTAAAAAGAAAAAAACAGGAATTTTAATTGAAAAATAATAATTAAATAATGCCAGTTTTATTAAATCGTATATCAATATAAATAATGGACATTTAGTTTTAACTGGAAAAATATTCTGCTGTGTAAATTATTGATTTTTTTTATTCTGGTATTTTATATTTATAACCAGTATGAATGTTTAAACTGTTCAAGGGGATAAGCAGCAAAAACTGTACATAAGAAGATTGCGAAATACTAACAAAAATTTCACATGTACATAAAATTAGAAATACAACTTTTCATACAATAATTCATATTGTATTTTATTATATTAAGTTCAAGTAGTTATTAACACGTTTACAAATTCTGTGTAATATTTTACACAATATTGATCAAAATTATCAAATGTACTTCAAATGCAAATAAAGTATAAATTGCCCAAAATTTAATATACCTCCCATAGACATATCTCTATTATATTAAACTATACTTTGTACAAATTTAGTATATTGTATTCTATTCTGTACTACATCGTACAGTCAAACTTTTTTTTTCGACATTGTTAAATTTTTTTTATTCTTTTATTGATGATACTTATGGTCATTGACACTGTCATTAATTATTTCAGTAAATGTAAAACTTTATATAATATGAATAAAAAGAACTGTACAAAACAAGATTCACCATATTTGTACTAAGTATTGCTGTACTGTAAGGATATAATTCTGTACACAAATACATTGATTACGGATATTTTATAAATTGTGTATGACTCTTATACATTCCGATGTATGTACTTAATTCGTTGTATATTTGATCAGTTTGTAAAAATGTCGGAATGTTAAACGGGAGGTAAGCGTGGATAAAATATACTTTTATATATATATATATATATATATATATATAAAAGTATAGATATATAATATTGTATATATGTGTATGTATATATAGAATAAAGTTATATATACATATATATACATGCATGTATACACATATGTATACGTATATATAAAAATAGATAAACTTGCACCATACGACTTAAAATAATTGTAAATTTTAACATAATGCCTGTAAAAACTGGATCAGTGTGCGGGTCGGACGACCTGTCATTCCCGCTGGTACATATGGTAACTTATCAGGTCCAGGACCCATTACTCCTGCAATATCTAAATGCATCCATGGTGTATTGTTTGATACAAATTCATGTAAGAAAGCAGCTGCTGTACATGAACCACCGCCTTTAGTTCTCGCGATATTTCTTATATCAGCTGATTTAACTTTTTCTGCAATTAACATCATTTTATTATTTGATATATAACTTTCTTTCTTTAAATATTAATTAATTAATTGTTATAAATTATTTTCTCACTTGTCATTTCATCTGTAAAGTGCTGCCAAAGCGGAAATCTCCATACTCTATCACCAGTAAGAGTACCTGCATTTCTTAGTTTTTCAAACAACGAACTATTGTTTGTAAAAACTCCAGTTGCTGCTCCTCCTAAAGCAATTCTCATCGCACCCGTTAGTGTTGCAATATCTAAGATAAAGCTGTGCACATGAAAAATATTTAATAAGAATAACTATATTGATTTTTACACACTTATATTGATTGTTATACACTTTCTAGTTTATGTAACAATTACCTTGGATTAAATTCTTGGGCATAGCAAAGTGCATCGGCAAGAATAAGTCTGCCTTCTGCGTCTGTGTTATCTACAATAATGCTCTTCCCGTTCATTGCAACTACAAGATCTCCTGGTTTAGTTGCAGTTCCAGATGGCAAATTTTCAGTAAGTGGTATCAAACCAATAAGATTCAACTTAAGTTTAAGTTCAGCAGCAGCTCGAATAGCAGCTACTACACATGCTGCACCACTCATGTCAGCACGCATATCGTCCATCTCAGCTGATGGCTGAAAAATTATACATTTGTAATTATTTACACTAAATATATAAATATATATTACTTTACCTTCAAACTGATTCCACCAGCATCGAAAGTAACACCTTTTCCAACAAACGCAATTGGTTGGGAATCATCATCAGCACCTTTGTAATGAATTTCAACAAACTTTGGTGGTTCACAACTACCATGAGATACACTAAGGAAAGAACCCATCTTCTTCTCTTCTGCCCATTCTTTATTATGGACTTTTACAGTAATTCCTAACTTAGTTAGGACTGCCTGCACTTCTTCCGAAAATACTGTAGGTGTCATTAAATTGGCCGGAGAATCTGCTAAATGACGTGCCCAATTTTGAGCCTGAGCTTTAATATTTCCGATACGCCACTGTGTTCTTGAAAAAATAATTTTCATTACATTGTTGCAATATAAATAAAAACGTTTTTAAAAAATTGTAAGAAAAAATATAATACTCACTCCCCTTCCTGACCATACAACGAAACTTTCGGAAGAACTTTCTGTTTTTTCTTATTTTTTGAGCCTTGATAAAACCATGTTGATAAGGCAGCTCCTTCTGCCGCAGCCTCTGCATCTCCTAATGTTTCTAGCTGTATGTCTTTTATATTAACTGCATCCAATGCACGACATCCAACTAATGTAATTTTATTATGTTGTTATTAAGATATAAAGCAAAAATTGCATTGTTACTATAAATTTATATACATATACGTTAATAACTAATATTTATACCTGCTGCAGCTATACGTATGTTCTCTTTTCCTTCATGTATTTCCTCAAGTTGATTAATGCCAAGATTCTTTTTTCCAAGACCAACAACTGCAATTCCCACGTAATCCTTCTCATCCAAACCCCAAAATATTCTAGCATGACCTTTGGGAATTTTTGGACCTGCTCTGTAGTGATATAAGTATTAAAATATTATTTAAGATTATTTATCAAATGAAATATATATTAAGATAAGGGAGGAATGTTTATATCAAACCAACAGAATTTTTTGAAGGACATACTGAGACACAAGTTCATAAATTTATTTCTTACAATAATTCTAGGCGTTTTGGACATCTATTAACACATGCTGTTGCATCTGCAATTTTAAAATACAATCTAAAAATATACTATCCTTTACATATATCCTAGAACAGAGTCTTTTAAAATTACTCTAATTAATGTTTCTAATAATTAATTAGATTAAAATTACAATTACTTTTCACAATTTTAACTATATTAATTCACAATTAATTCATCTGATTTATAGTGGAGACAATTGATTTGCACTCATAATATATTAATAGTAGGCATGACAATTATTTTCAATGCATTTTGATATCAATAAGAATTTACAACAGTAAACAATTATCTTTGAATATAATGCAATACAATATAACACTATATTCTTGTTACCAAAATTCGATTCCTTGTTCACATATATATACAGATTTAAGTATACAAATTTGTCATGGGGTTTCATATTTGTAACACCGTTTGCTTAAATATTATTATAGAAATTGTAAAGAAATTATTAAAAATTGACACATTGATATTTAGAAATATGAGCCATATTATAAATCTGCTTAAAATATACTATTCAGAGCTAAGTAAAATAACATTTAAAATAAAAAATACTAAATAAATTTTTCATCTTTCTTCCTCAATAAAATTATTGCATCCAACAAATTAATTACTATTATTTTTTGAGAAAGTTATCATTAATTATAATTAACTTATTTATTTATAAAATAACAAATATATCTTTATAATTGAAAAATATTAACAAGCTACTATTTTTCATTATAAATTCTATCTTTCCTTAGCTCTGACACTACTATATAAAAAACAGTGATTGTGACACTGATAGTAGGAACTTAATGCAATTCAAGCACATTTACTAATTCTTATACACAATCTGATGTGATGTTCTTGGCACAAATTGAATTGAACAGATAGTATCAACACTGTTTATGGTATCAACTTATACATTTCTACTATTTTGAATTTAATCTATTAGGCTACTTTGGCAAGATTTATTATAAGGATCATATCTTATATGATTAAAATTACATTCTTATTTAACAATTTCAAATATGTGGTTTTAAAATATTTTCCCTTTTTACATATTACAAGTCACAAAAATATTTTCCACGTTGAAAGCTGTTTAGAATGATGAAATTTTATGTTTTATTTAGCATTCACAAATTCTATTTATTGAGCTAAGAAAATTTATATTAAACATTAGATAACTTATATGATTTAATTATAAACAAATACTATTACTACATAAGATTGTGGCCAAAAACAAAAAATACAAAAATACGGATAATAATAATAATAATATAATAATCATAATGAAATTCACCTAATAAAAATATTTTATTATACTTGAATTGTGCTAATAATCACTGTGCAAATACATTGATTTTAGGATATATGAAACATAATTAAATTATGTAATGTTTTGGAAGGCCATATTTTATGAAAAAAATTATTAGATTTTACATCTTTATTACTAATATAGTCATGTGTTACTAATATGAATTGTTTATTATTAAAATTCAGTCTATTGTTAAAGTATATCTAAATTGCAAAACAATTAAACAAATATAGTGTAAGTAACAATACCCATATATTTAATAAAAATATAATGAGAGAAAAGTATTTGTGCTGCTTAATATTCAGAGTATTACTTTCTCAAATAAGTCAGTCTCCAAAAATTTAGATTTCAATATATTTGAAAACCCTTAAAATTCCTCAATTTTATTCACAACAAAGTACTATAACATTTAGAATAAATTTTCACTTCTCGTTGTTATTTGTGCTTGAGCACTTAATTGAATAAATTTCAAAATATATACATATCAATATTTGCTATATTATAGCAACTCATAACTAATTTTAAACTAGTTCTAATATTTTAATAGTCCCTTGAGAATTTGCGGCTACTACAACATTTGACATTTGTTTCCAACAAACTGCAGACACAAATTCATTCAGATCTTCTTCTCTTCGTTCTTGTATTTCTAATATACTTCGAACAGCATCAAATTTATATGAGAACAATTGTTTCGAGAGTCCTTTGTAATATACATAAAGTGCATTATTTTCTGACCCACATGCTACATAATCACCATCAGTAGTAAGACCTATAAAATTCTTTTCGTTTACATGTCCGACAAATGAACGCAAACAATGTGGATTATTAATATTCCACATCTTCAATTGTGAATCCGTGCTTGCAGATACTATTTCTTCTTTATTAATAAATTTAACATATGAAACAGCCTTACGATGCCCTTTAAAAATGCAGAGTGCTTCCTTCATATTACGTAAATCATAATAATGGACACAGTGATCTGCAGATCCAAATGCCAAGTGACATGAACTACGTGGGTTAAATTTTACACAACATACATTAGCTTTTGCTTCTAAAGAAGCCACGGAATGATCATTGTTTAAAGACCATAATTTAACTCTAGCATCATCTGAGCCTGATGCTATAAGTTTTGTATCTACATCATTGAAATCAACTGACCAACATCTCTTCTCATGTTCCTGAAATGTTTTAGTTCTTTGACAAGTTGCAGCATCCCATACTGTTACTATTCCTTCATAATCAGATGATGCTAGCATCCCTTTATGAAAAGAATTCCACGAAACGCATGATATTTTGGAGCTAGATACCATTTCCACACAGGGATAATGTATATCTACTGTGTCCCTTATTACAGCACTATAATCGAATACTTTTATACGTTTTGTAACTCCAGCTATCGCAAAGAATTCGTTATCTTTATCGAATTCAATGCTTGAAACAATAGTGGAATTATTAAAAATATCTGACGAATAATTTAAAGTCGCTAATGGACGTAACGCTTTGTATCTCGAGAATTTTACAAGATTTTCTCTAAAAACATCGAGTCCTGAACTAGTGCCTTGCCACGAATCACTCTGACTTTGAGATTTATGCCCAAGCAGTAGTTCCTTAGCACGGGAGTCAAAATAGCATTGAACAAAATCATCAAAATGTGCATGCATCCTCTTCCTACGTACAGCTAAAGTAGATCCTACTGCATAATCATTTTGTTTTTTACTGCCTGTTGGATTAATAAAAGTGTCAGTTCCAACATTTGCTTTCTCATTTGGTTTTACCATGTTCGAATCAATTATGTCTATAAGACCAATCATTTCTTTTCTTATAGCTGATACTTGCGCAGTATCATTTTCACTGGATTTTTTCAAATCTTCTACTTTAGGACATTTATTTTGTACATCTTTTAAAATATTTTCAACTTCTTCCATATCTTTTTTAATCAATGCTATCTCCTTTTGTAACTGATTCTTTTGCTCCTCCTTCTGCTGTAGCAAATGCTTTAAAAACTCGTGCAGCAATTTGTTTTGCGCAGCACATGTTTCTGCTTCTAGTAAATGTTTCCTTTGTGTTAATACCTCCAGCATTACATTCACATCAGGTAATGTTAGATTAGCACTTTCTGCAGCTATAATATCTCTTAATCCATCATGTGGTGGTACAGGTAAATCTATACCTGTTTTGTGTCTACCATCAGCTGCATAAGAAGATCCTAATTCAGTAAGACCCTTAATTCTAGTTTTATATTTTGATATCAATTCATGTAACAGAAAGTTTGGAAAAATATCCTGTTGAGTTAACATGTAACTACATTTTGGACAACGACCATTAGCTTCCAACGATTTTACTATACAACGATAACAAAATGTATGACCGCAACGTGTGATATGAGCTTCATCAATTATTTCAAAACAAATAGGACACAGATAATCATTATTCTTGTCTTCAAGGGTACCACTAATCCTATGGAGAACATTTGCAGAATGATTTTGTTTACTCATTCTATCACTACATTCACCTACACTTCCACTGCTTCCAGGATTATCATTTCCCAAATTACTATCATTGATAGCTGACATCTTTTTCCTTAATTGAATAATATTTCTTAAAATACATTTAATTATTTTAAGATACATCTGGTAATTTCAATCTGCTTTTTTAAATCTCATATTTTTTAAAGTTTTGTTTGAGCCTTTTTGATAAACGATTTTGACTAATAACTGATGCGTAGAAATAATTGCTTTACAAATAATGTGCTGTTAAAATTTTTTTTTATATAACAAAATATGTATCTGGTAACTCCTTCTGTGCAGCGAGTTTTGCTTCATATCATGCGTACAATACCGTCTCTCAGTCTAGTCTCTCCTGAAACAATGAAAATAATGCCAGTGAGCTCATAGGACATAAATTCCATTCAAATTCAATTTTGTTAAAAGAAAATACTTTATGTAAAGTTTTTAAAAAGAATAAAGGGAAAGCAATTTTGAATATTACATGTAAAAGCTCAGGCAGCATTATGACAATTGTTTCAGGCTGGAACTATGAATAAGACATTTAAATATTCATTAATGTTAATCATATATTCATGATGTGATATGTAAAACGAAACTACATAAATAATATGTAATTTTGTTGTAATGTCTGCTTTACAATTCAGTGTCATTGACTATTTATCATTGACTGGTTTATTTTGAATTGATAAAATTAAATATTTGCTTGATTTGAAGGAAAATTGATCGACATTAGATACACGATAATCATACCTGAATTACAGATACACATCTATCATTTGATTTTATATGTTACATGAAAAAAAATATATATATATATTTAGTAAAAAGAACATTAACACAGATTTTTATATAAAAATACATAGTACAAAAACATTTAGTTATGACATTAATTATTAATAAAATTTCCAACTTACAACAAAATATGTTTTTGCAATTTTCCTTTGACTAATTCATCATATTTAGCCGCCGTGGGAGTCAGTAAAAGGTTGCTTTCATCTTCTGTTTCGTACAGACCAAGCACCAATCCTTTCTGTTGGGAATTAAAATATCAAAAATCCAGCATCCAAGCATAGAAATTTAAGCTACAGCAATATATATCGAATCATAGCCTCGCAAGATAAATTCATTCGTTCTCGAAAAACTTTTCATTTTTCGGCAAAGTAAGATTTTTCTCGACCAAAAAGAAAAAAAAAGAAAAGAGATCAACAATACAGTTATTTTTCAATAAAGTTATTAATAACTTGCGTATCTGCACGATCAAGTGTTCCTCCCACTTCTTTTTCCACGATGTTGAAAACACCGAAATGAAAATTTTTCATTTCGAGTAATTTCTTTGTGAAATTCGAATATATCGTTTGTTCGACGAAATAATAGCGAGCAATATCGTTTAATGAACAAATAAATAATATTATAATTACCTTCATGGTCGAGATGCAAGATAAGGAACGTAACTGCGAATTTCCGTATTGTAGACCCTTACCCCTGATAAGAGACAATGCCATAATTTGTTCAAGAGAGCACTTAGCAGTGATATATATACGTATGGGTATATAGATATATACATACCTGTGTGTATGCGTACGAATGTATATGCACACAAGTTCGTGCACACATATCCCTGAAAAGATACGATATCTAGATATCTTGATCACTCGTGTTGTAGATTGGCGACTCTAGCACCTCGTGCAGGACATTCATGTGGCGACACCAACTTCCGTTTAGTTGTCCCGCCTAAAAGGTAAAATATTCATTTCCGGTAAAATATTTCTGTCTAAAAAAAAAAAAGACCAAGCAATTTTTGTTTCTAACGCAAACATACTGCAGTTTGTGGTGTACATAAAAATGTTCTCTTTTCCCTTTTGAATTATCAAATAATTTTTATTCAAATGTTCATTCAAATTCTTTTTTTTTTAGAATGAAAATTTATTTCAGTAAATACTATGACATAAAGTATTTTTGCATATTACGTGCAATAAATTTTGATATTTAAATTTATAATGATAGACATTCACAATATAATTATTCGCACGATGGACTTCCTGTCGTTGTATATTTATTTGAATTTATTGAATCTCACGTTCATTTTTAAAATAATGTTCCTATTTATTATATATTAAAATTAAAATAAATTAAATATATTAAAAATTAAAAACTACTATGCATCATAAATTAAAAGCGACTATGCATTAATTTGTAGATTTCAGAATTACCACAGATTAGGTATTTATTCAAGTTTTGCTCTTAGTCAGTGATGTAATCTGGTGGAAATTTCCAAGGCTTATGAACAAATATTAGGCTTATGAGAATTCAAATATTTAATACATTCGAGAGTTCAAATGATTCAACTTTCTTAATTTATATTTATTTTTTCACAAATTTTCCATCTTTCTGTTATGTCTGGAAAGATTGACGAGTAAAATTATAAATGGATGTTTAAAACTATTGAACGTTTGAAACTGATATCAAGTACTTGGGTAGCTTTGCTTCCTACTCTAAATACAATAATTGGTAATACATCTGTGAAAATAAAATATTTGCTTAATGAAAATCTATCCGAGGGAATAAATAAAAATTTATTCGCTACTCAAAATCTCGTAAATTCCAACACTACAATTTTTCACGTGATTTATTAAATACGTTAACCTGTACAAGATATTCTCTTTTCTTATATTACATTTTTATATAAAATGAATCAATCTTATATATATTTGAGTTACATTTTAAACATACTAACACTAAATTTTTTGATACATTAGAAAAATTTACAGGAATCATTAATTTCTAAAAATTATTTATTAAGAAATTCTGCCATCGGATCGTCTTCACGTTGTCGTTTCATCTGAAATGCTTCAATTTCATCCATTGTTGGTTCTTTAACCTCATACATGCTGTTATAAGGACGCTTTCTTTCACTCATCTGCAGTAGCCTTTCTGCTTCTTTTTGTTTTTCTTCTTCCTTCTGCAATGCTTGCTGCAATTTATCTTGTTCTTGCAATCTAGCAATCTTTTTCTTGTTCTTTCGTTTTTCTTTCTGCTTTTGTTTCTTTTCCTTTCTTTTAGATGACTTTGACTTTATCGTTCTCGATACTTTCTCTTCCTCGTCTGAGGAACTGTCATTACTTTCTGATTTTTCATCAGACAAATTCATTGTTCTTATATTGGATTTTTCTTCTTCGTGCATTGGCCTTTTAGTTTCAATAGCCACTGCTTCGGCTGTTTTTTTACCTGCGTTTCCCGTGCAATATGAATTTTTTAGAAACGAATGGCAGCATTTGTATCCCCATTTACCAGCATGCCAATAAGAACCCCAAACAGAAGTATGGTTATTTGGATATACATCCTCTTCATACTTGGACCTAATTATTTGTCTATCTTGTCCCTTTATAATCTGTAAATGAATCGTAAAATATAATATAATGTAACTTTAACATGTATTCTACTAATGTATAACTGTGCACACCTTTCCATATCTAGAATATTCAACGTATTGTTCTGTTTGTGCTAATAAAAGAGAAGGTGGGGGAGCATCCAAATGCTCTTCACCGCCATATCTGTTAATTATGCTATCACGAGCTTTGTCTTTCAGTTCGTCACGCTTCTTATCATATTCTTGTTTAAGTAATTCTAATTTTGTAGGTTCGGCAAGTAAATGAACGTCAACACCGCGTTCATGTGCTTCCCATGCAAACAGCTGAGCGTTTGCATGTCGTTGTGTATCTCCTGAAAAACGTGCGAAATTTTCACCTTTGTAATCGACCCTGCAACGGAACACAGATATTTTAATATTCTTGGAAATATATGTAGCTTCAAAAACTATAAACTGATCTGCACTTACTCTCTCTCTGTGCCAGTATAAGGATTATCACGCATTGATCTCGTTTTGGGATCATAATACGCCGAATTTGGGTCTAAATTCCTCAAATACTTTGCTGTGTCCTCTCTAATTCGTAGATTCCTAACAGTAATACGTTGTTTGGAATCCACTTTCGTTCCTGGCATATCAACTTCGTCAACATATTTATCCTCATCTTTATCAGAATCTTGTTCGTCATTTTCCTCTGCATTTAACTTCTCTGCACGCATTTGTCGTTTTGCTTCTTCAATTTTTTGATACTCTTCAACAATGGCTCTATGCTGCGAAGGATCATACCCAGCCCACCTGTATTAGATGTAAATATATATATAATATCCTTTGTCTATTCTTCAACATGTTAGGTGAAACTCAAATACAAATTGTACCTGTCTCTTTTGCCATCGTAATCCGTCGATAATTCTGGTTGAGTAAATTCATCTGGTGCTATATTTGCATTCGTGTATTTTGCGCCAATTTTACGTGGACGTTCCATACATTCCTTTTTCTTATGAGTTATTGCTCCACAATTTTCACATGCTCCTTTACGATACTTTGTTGCTACTTTAGATGAGTCTACGCCACGTTTATACCATTCGTCTATGCCGCTGTAATTCTTTTGTTTTTCAGGCTGTGGTCTTTGATGTTTCAAAGTAGGCCCCTTTAAATATTATTACATAGTTATTATATATTGTTACAGTATTGCGAATACTAATGATAAAAGAAATATCATAATGAGGTTAACACATACTTGTGCTCCAAAATACCATGGTGTAGCACTGATATACTGTGGAATGTGTGGATTAATGTCTTTGCCTTCTTCATCTACTGCAGCTGGTGCCGTGCCAGCTTTCCTTGCTTCTTCTAACTCTTTAGCTTTCCGCCAATCTTCTCGACTTTTCTTCTTCGGTTCATCTTCGAAATTGCTTTTATTTTTTATAATCTTTGATACGGGCACGTTAGTTAAAGTATTTGCCATTTTGGTAAGATAATTTTAATTATATAAATTTTAACCTCATAGTATGAGGTACTTGATTTTGACGTTTCGTTCAAACTAACCTCCTACATGGACAATAAAATTGCGTTCTATATTTATATTTAAGGCAAGTTTACAATGTTCTCTAACTTTGAAATCATATATATATATATATATATATATATATATATATATATATATATATATATATTTCATGATTATGTTACGATTTCTTCCAGTACAAAGTCGTAATTATATTATACGAGTACTTCATAAAAATTACAATATACATTTCATATTGTAATTAAATAAAACTAAACTAATTGTACAATTCGATATTTTATACATTCTTACTTTATTTTATATCGTAAATTAATCAAAAGAACTGAAATAGATAGAAATATGAAAGAATCGTGATTATAAATGACAAATAATGAAAATTTGCGTTGAGTTTGTACTAAAAAAATGTTTAATTATCAATGGAAATTACCCTAAGAAGTTCTATTTAAAAAGTGGGGATTTATCGACAGTATTGGAGCCTTATAAATAAGCATATTTTGAATTTAATATTTTCCCTGCAATTCATAGTACTAAGTATGTAATCAAATAATTTTTCAGCACACGTACTAATTAATACCTCGAGAAATATTAATATGTTGTAACTTTATTACACGAAGTAGCTACGATCTCCAGCTGGTACAAGAATTGGAATATAAGCTCAAAATGGAGGCAGTGCTAAATAGATCGATATTGTTCCATAATATCATATATTGTTACTGATTTTTCTATTTGCCGCATTCTAGTAAGTAAATACTTACTAAAATACGTTTCGCATGAAATTTTATGGCATGTAATTTGCTCAACAAGACAATTAATTAACTCTCAATATACCCGCGAAATTTGAGTCCTAACACTAAAGCTTTTTTTTTTTAATTTTTTAAAAATTTATTTTCATCTTTCACCGATCTCCCTTTTTTGAAGCTTCACTTGAAAATGTAAATATTATTAAAATATATACAAAACATAGTTTATAAAATAACATTAAAATTGCAAAGTATAAAAGGATTACAGTAATAATTTTAATTGATTTCTTCGAGTTTTATTGTTTATTTCAAACGTACGTTGTTTTAATTCAGAATAGAGCATGGAATGGATGGATCGTGTCCACTTCTCCTTCCATCCTTTGGGGAAAAGGACAGTTCTGAAAGAGAAGCTCCATATTCATCGCAAAAGGTTGGTCTATATAGGCCAACATCAGATGCAATTGACTTAGGATATCATACATTAGATAACAATGTCTGTCGTTCTACATCTTCATCAGCCGTTATATCAGTTCCGATCAGACAGCAAATTCTGTTACAACAAAAGTGCATTTATGTCACAGATCTGTGTCAGCTGGATGATACTTTGTTGCTGAAGATATTCAGTTGGCTGAGTACCAGAGATTTATGTTCTGTTGCTCAAACTTGCAGACGCCTTTGGGAAATAGCATGGCATCCGTCACTTTGGAAAGAAGTAGAAATACGTTATCCCCAAAATGCAACAGCTGCGTTGAACGCCTTAACTAGACGAGGATGCCACACGTATATCCGTCGTTTGATACTTGAAGGTGCTGTTGGCCTGGCTGGAATTTTTGCCCAGTTACCATTTCTAAATTTAACTTCGTTGGTTTTAAGACACTCCCGACGAGTTACAGACACAAACGTGACGGCTATCTTAGACAATTGTATACATCTGAAGGAACTAGACTTGACAGGATGTATCAACGTTACAAGAGCATGTAGTCGAATAACAACGTTGCAGTTACAGTCGTTAGATCTCAGCGATTGTCACGGTATGGAAGATTCTGGCTTAGTTTTGACACTGTCCCGCATGCCACATCTTGCCTGTTTATATTTGCGACGATGTGCGCGGATAACTGATGCCAGCCTCATAGCAATCGCCTCCTATTGTGGTAATTTGCGTCAGTTGTCTGTCTCTGATTGTGTGAAGATTACGGATTACGGAGTACGGGAGTTAGCAGCACGTCTCGGCCCATCGTTGCGTTACTTCTCAGTGGGAAAATGTGATCGCGTGTCAGACGCTGGTCTGTTGGTTGTTGCCAGGCACTGTTACAAATTAAGGTATTTAAATGCCCGTGGCTGTGAGGCACTTAGTGATAGTGCTACGTTAGCTTTGGCACGCGGATGTCCGCGTTTAAGAGCCCTCGATATAGGAAAATGTGATATTGGTGATGCAACTCTTGAAGCCCTTTCTACCGGATGTCCAAATTTGAAGAAATTATCTTTATGCGGTTGTGAACGTGTTACGGATGCTGGATTAGAAGCTTTAGCATATTACGTACGAGGACTGAGACAGCTGAATATTGGCGAATGCCCGAGGGTTACATGGGTTGGATACCGAGCAGTGAAACGTTATTGCCGCAGATGTATCATAGAACATACAAATCCTGGCTTTTCAAGCTGAGTCTTCTGAATCATTTTTTTTTCTTTTTGCTAATTTTATTCATTCAGTCTATTTATTAATCTAGACTTGTTTTAGTACTTATTTAGATACTAATTTGTAAAAAAAAAAATTAACCAACTATATATATATACACATACATATATGTTATCCGTCATATATATAAAAATATATGTATGTATGTATGTGTTATGCATATATATTACGTGGTTTGCAATATGCTAAAAAGCATTTCTTGCTATTTATTGACTTTATAACTTAATACACAAGGATTAATAGTTCTATGTAATTTGTATATTTATTTTATAAATAAAGATCTAAAATTTTACAAAATTATTGAAAGTACTTGTATTTTACATTTCGAAATAAAATAAAAGAATACAATACTTTCGCAACTTCACGCATGTGTGATGAATGTGTGAAGCATGTTTGTAAATCGATGTGTTTTCTTTTGATTGGCTCAACGTGTTACTACGTGTGCGAAACATAGCATAGTTTGATTTAACAAAGTCATTGAACTGCGATGATGACAATATATTCTACTTAGTAATTATGAAACATAAAAAGTGTCTGATATACTGGAAATATTTCGTGTGGTAAAATTTTCATTCATTGCTTTCATCTACTTCAACCTGTGTGAAACATAACCTATATTGAAAATAACACAATGTTCTAAACTTTATAATTCAGGTTACGAACGAAATAATTTGTCAGATAAACATATACATTTTACCTTCGTGAATTAACACAAAACTATGAGACCTACTCAGAGAAGACAACAGGGTTTGCAATACGGCATTTATTTGCTGGGCATGCAAGCTCTAAACTATGGCATTGATAAAATTCCACCAGTTACTTTAATTACAATTATTGCACAGGTGGATAAATCATAATTTAATCTCTGCACAAATGAAATTAATACATCAAAGTAATTGTTACTTTATAAAAAAAAATTATTTCACAGGTTTTATTGTATGTTGGTTTAATAAAAGTTCCATGGAATGCGGAAGAAGTATGCATATCAGCAGTAAAAATATTTAAATATCGTGATTGGAATTCTTTCTTAATGTCAAATTTTGAACATGGTTCAGACATGCACTTGTATTACAACATGGTATCTTTAATCTTGAAAGGTTCATATTTAGAACCTATGTATGGAACGATAAATTTCGTTATTTTATTAGCTATTCTTTCATGTGGATGCAGTGCTATGTACGTAGGATTAGGATATGCTTTAATGCAATTAACTGGAGATTATGGATATTACACGCAATGCGCTATTGGATTCTCTGCTATTTTATTTGCATTAAAAGTAATTGTAGTTTGTGAGGAATATGATAGAATTCAAGATGTTGGAGGGCTCAGAGTTTCTAGTAAAATTGCTGTCTGGGTTGAATTGATTTTAATTCATCTTTTAGTTCCACAATCTTCATTTATAGGACATTTAGGGGGTATTTTAGTTGGTTGTATATATTGTTATACTTTTATTGGTGAAATGATTGATAATATAATATATACTGTAACTGGTACTCCTATTATACATGAAGAACAATTTTATAGAAGACGCAGTTCATTATTTAGGTGAATTGAAACTATTATAAATTTTAAATGATTCGAGAGATATTAATTTATTATTACTAGGAACTCTGGTATTTATCCTAAAAACATTTAAACAAAAAAAAATTATATAGTTTCATAATTATACAACTTAAGTACATAATCTATTTTAGAATTTATAAGAAATCGAATATTTATGGATAATAAAACAGAATTTTTTTATTTTATTGTATAAACTTTCAAATTAATATACTGGTTTTTCAACTAAACATTAAAATTACTTACAAATTACATACATATTTTTATATACATTGTATATATATGTACATATAAAAAATTGTAAAGTTATATTTTAATTTGTTTCATATTGTAAATTTATTATAATATTCAAAACAATAAATTAATTTTGTACTAATTATTTGTTATATCATTAATATTCTATCTATAAACATCGATTGTATATATTTTTATGCATATGATACATGATAATAAAAAAACACATTACCTCTACAACAAAACCTAATCATGCATATTTTTGAGTTGATGAAAATTATCAATCTGTAATATGATCATGTGTATCTTTCCAATAGTAAAGTATAAATATAAATCAATTCAATAATCAATTCTTTTTTAAAATATTTTGTACAAAACTAATTTCAATTATTCACACAATAGGCATGATTAGCTTGATTTTAATATTTTATATAATTTGTACAATGTTACATTAGGTATCTTAGATTTTACTTCTGTGTTTAATAATGATGCCACTAAAAATATATCGAGATTAATAATAATAAATATAAATCGTCATAAAAATATGTGTACCAATAAAGAGTTAAACTTACAGACTGTTTGGTAATCCATTTTATATGGAATGTCATAAAATACGAAATATGTGCACATTCTTCGTAGCAATGGTACATTTTTTTCAATGTTTTCATTTGTTAAATAAGACTTTATATGTGGTGTTAGCTCTAAAAACAATTGTTGAATGTTGAAAAAAACAAATATTTAATATTAAAAGGATTTACTTACCACGCTCCCAGTTATCCATAATATACGAAATATTTTGTTTAATTGCAAGTATACTTTCTGTACCAAGCAAGGGATTTTTATTTTCCATGTAAGATTTTTTTAACATTTGAGATGAAACAAGTTTTATTTGCCATATAGAAAAAGTATTCGGTTCTTTTCCTATGATTTCCATACTTTTTATTAAATTCACCCATAACGGAAGAAGACTCACTTTATCTTTCACTACGCATTCATATACAATTATAGCAAACGAGTGTAGAAACTGTTTTTCAAACTCTGTCATTTCGGAATATTGTCCCTCGTATTTGCAGAAAGAACTTGTACTTTTTAAACTAGATAATCCTACAATTTCCATTTTTTCATTACAAGAATCTAATTGCTCGTTCCAGCTATTACTTGTTCTTTCGGATGTATTGCTCGAGCTTTGTGATAGATATCCAGAACTATTTTTGGCTGAAGTACCACAAGATTGCACTTTCAAGTTAGTTTTATCTTGTTTGGGCTTTTGCAAAAAACATTTTACTATATTTAAAATGGTCTTATCATTTGTAAACGAAGTTACACACTCGGGTCGAGCAGCCCATGCAATAACATTTTCCGTTGTTAAAGTTTGAGCGATTAAACTTCTAAAGCCCTGAAAAAAAAGTATTAAATTTCAATATATTTATATACTTTTAATATTGTAAAAAACGAAATGTTAATTACATGAGGATCCTCTATATACGGTAAACAACCAGCTCTCTGCTTAACGCTCAATGTTTTACACTTTTTGAGCATATTTTCAAGTTGTTGCCAGTTATGATCTTTCACAAAAATAATTTCCCAATATCGATCGTCTTTTAATTCAATCTTTTTAATATTACGTAACTGCGGAAGTAAGCATGGCGCTTGAAGTATTAAATCTTGCCCTTCTGCATCTTTCTCAGATTCAAATGTTAAATGCACTGTTGCATAGCAATACTGACCACTATCAATATCTCTAGGTAAAATCACGCGTGGCTCAGCAGCTAATACATATAAGTGTCGCAAAGCTTGTAAATGATACCTGATAATTAATAAGAACAATTTAAAATAGATAATGAATCAATTTTTATAAATAAACTATACTAATATTAACCTGTTATCATTACTGTGTGTTGGAAATTTGGGGAATAGGGAAATTATAAGAGCAGCTACAGCACTAGGACTGTTAGAGAGAGTATATTTTCCTCCTCCAAGAAAAAGGAGACCAAGAGCCATATGCGTGGCTAAATGAGATCCATATGTAACAACGTTACTCGCAGGTCCCACACGAGTTCTTATGTGTCGACATATTCTCATAATCTATGTAGTTTGATACAAATAAGTTAACGAACATAAGAGCATTAAATAATTTGTTAACTTACCTCTAAATTTCCTGTTCCTGCCATCACTACAGCAGCAGAAAGTAAAGTAACGTTTAAACAAGTTTCGATAGTTGATTTTCCTGCTAGTTCGGCGATAGTTTTATGCGACAATGCCGTAAACATCTGGGCATAATTATATAAAGTTTTGAAAGCGTTTCTATTAGCGGTCCCAGCAAATTTTAAACCCAAAGCCATACAGGCACCCGCAATGATATTGCAGTAAGCTTGGCTGTTTTAATAAATATTAATTAGTATAAAGAAAATAATAATATCAACATATTATTCCATATACTAACTTCATGGTTTCCAAATCTACATTCTGTCCTATTTCAGAGGTTGGCTTTTGCAATCTATATTTATAAACAATGTTAGGAACGTGACTAGAAACCCAGGACTTTGTTGGTTCAATTTCATTCCAGAGAATAAGTGATTTTGCTAATATTCTCAATAATAAGAAATCAGGTCTTACAAAATCTAATAAGTATTGTGTATCAGGAGCTTGCATCCATTCTGCTACTGCTCTATTTCCTGTATCAAAGTACATAAGACCGAGAGCTATAGTCGCTCCAGGACTTGTCACATCGATGTTTATGGAATCACCTTCTCGTATTTGATAGCTAAAATTATTAAAAAAAGAAGAGGAAGATGTAAAAAGAAATTGTAGTTACAAAATTAAATACGAAATATACCTAGGTGATTTATATTTGTCTTTCTGTGCTCCAGTAAAAGGTCTAACATGTCCTCCAACCATGTAGTAATGCAAAGTGTCTGGTATGTTAGCTAAATCTGGACCACCTCCACATCCTAATACTACTAAACCTAATGCAAGACCTGCTGCTAAAGAGTAAGATTCCCGATCTATACAATTTTTCATTTCTGGTCCTGGAGGTCTACCTTCAAATAATTTAATTACTTCGATAAAATTATATGATTTATTAAATCGCGAAATATAATTTTATAATAATAATAATCCTAAAATTATGATATTTTATATTGGATAATTACCAATCTCTGATAATAAAGCATGTGAAATGTGTCTATGGGCAGTTCCTTGATATACTAAACCAACTCCCATTAATGCAGCAACCTGAACATTCTGTGGAACATTTAATTCGATACTTGTCGGAGGTAGTAGTGTTTCCACGTGAAGAGATAACAATTTAGTCATGGAAACATTCATTGTACCGCGATGAGTTGCTGACAATCCTAACAGCAGTCCAACATTGGTAGCCTCGTGACATTCAACTAGATACTCGTACATACTATAAGGTGCTAAATTTTTCAGATGGCCGTTTAAGCCAAGAGCCATTAAGAATCCGGAATGTTCAATACCAAATTCGCCTTGTTGTTGCTTATTGTACACTATCCATGTTGAATCAATATTAGATGCATCTGGATGAATACGAAGACCTGCAGCTACACCATTATGAAATAATGGCCATACATTCATATTTGGAGGGACATCTATGTGAGCTAGCTCTACAGTTGTTCCTCGAGGAGGTGCTTTTCCTATATAAATATATATGCATTTTAGATTGTTAAAAATTTCTAAAAATATAAATGCTATCATTTGTACATACCAGTTAAGCAAAGTCGAGGAATTGGTAACTGTTCTGTGATAATAGGAGTTGAAGTTCTGAGTGTAAACATACCCCTAGCTACTGGGAGAGCCATTGTTCTTGTGCACAATGCATGTAAATGTTTCTCTTGTTCTTCTATAAATTCGTGATCGCTTACATCTGGCCTCTGAACTATCGCTATTCTTACCGGTTTTGACGAATTTAATAGTTTTCGAATTTCTGCTATTCTATGATCCTTATTAAATCTTAACTTTAGCACCTATAATATCATAATTGATATATATAACAAATAATATTGTGTAAATACGTTTTATAATTGTAAATATTATTTATATATACAGCATCATCAAATTCCATTCCATCATCTTGTTCAGGATCTTTAATCGAATAATTCTTTCCGTCATTTTCCAAGTGATTTGATATTGATTTTAAATGTTCGTCCAGTGCAGATAAATCTTGCCGATCTACTAATTCGTATACTTGCGTTGGCCAATTCGATGGAGGTCGTTCTCTACATCTATACATTATATCTTTCAACAACAGTGATACACCAGGAGGTAATGTTTCAAGATCTTTTTTATTCATACCTGAAAACAAAATATTTTAATTTTTAACTCACACTTAAAATTAATAATATTTTAAGCATTAAAAACTTACCTAATTCATGATATAATAATACTATTCTATCTATCGCAGTACATTCAAAATTTTTACATATTTCTTTCTCGAATTTATTTCCGCTTTCTTGGAAATCTACACGACTTCCAACTGGTATTATATGCTTTATAAATCTATCGACTTCTAACACGATAGATTCGTTTTCGTTTGCTATAAGTGCCACTAAATAAATTACATTTTTCGTCTTTGGATTTACTTGACTTAAATAAGGGAACGGTGTTACTTCCATTCCATTTAATAGATTATTTAATGTTTCAAATATGTTCGGTGGTTTTAATGGAATATAATTCGGTATAGTGATTTTCTGCAAATCCACTTCCTTCATTTGGGATACAACATTTTTTAAGTAACAGACAGATGGAAAATCAAGAAAATAATGATGAGCGTATACATTAAATTTTAAATCCAAACTTATTTGGTATAATAATTGTGCAAGCAGAGGTAAACTTTCTGACATCATGCAATTCAGCTTTAATTCTTCATATAAAAGATGTAAAGAAAGCAGGACGAGTGGAAAATATGGAAATAAAATAGACTGCGTATTTATTTTCCCTGCATTTGATTCTATAATATGTGGCACTGAAGCTTGAAATATATTAGACGTTTTCTGCAGCCCAAGTACATTTGAAATGAACATTTGAGAATTTCCATTTTTTATAAAATTTTTTGTGTACTTCCAGTCATCGTTCGATCCAGAATTATTTGTTTTCTGCTTCTTCGACACCAATATAGGACTGTTGCGTTCACTAAGTTGGTCTTTTTCGTTCTTTTGAATTAATTGTAACTTTTCTACTTCGTATCCTAATAACGTAAATAAAACTACAAGAAAAAGATACCATTCTTGCTCTGGTGAAAAATCTTGAGGTCCAGGAGCATTTCGTGCCGCATACCATTTTACCAATAACTGCATCGCTAAATCTTTTTGTAAAACGCTTCTTAACGTTTGTAAACATTTAGTTACTGTAAAAAATATATAAAAAATATATTTAGTATTAAATCGAATATAACAATTATTATAAATGCTTACCTAAAGGAGAGGTACTGGACGTTGGTAATGTTATTCGAAAATAATTTTTACTTCCATATTCTAAAGTAATTTTATTTCCGACTGCTTCTTTTAAAACAAGAAAATTATTCTCTACTAAAGAATTTTCTAGTAAAATAGGTGGTTTTGCACAGTTACCACCTACAGGACTTAATAAATGTAATCCTTCTTCAAACTTAATATCGTGAGAAGCGGTACAGTTTTGAGAAATCAGCGAACTTCGTCGCGGGAATGGAGAACTTAATTTGTGATTTATATTGGACAAAAAGTAGTTATACCCAGTTAGATTTGGTAGTATTCCAGTCACATGTAATTTTCCGATACAAATCACTCCCGAATATAACACGACTGCATTTGATAGGTCCATTATTGCTATTATATGTAAATTCTAAAATATAAGGTAATTCGTTTTATATGTTTACTAATAATTAAATATAATTTGAAAGTATTAATGAATACTAACTGGTATATTAACAGCACCCTTAGCCACAATGCTTGTTACCATGCCAAATATAATTTGTTGCTGCTTATTTGTTTTTTCAAGCCTTACTAAAGAAAGTTGAGATCTATGTGGAACTAAGTAACATAAATAGTTCTGCCCCACAAAGTCTGACGATAAAAAAACTTTTGATGCTCGACTGGATATAACATCCCTTAAAGAAATATTAATGCTATATTGTTTGAACACACTAGAAAGTATGAAAAAAATTTGTAAAATTTTTATGAGCATATAATACATACTTTGAGATTCCAATATTCTCAGTCCATACATGATCTAGACATATTTCTGGATATAAAGGTTTACTTGGTGAAATAACATCCTGCAATTGTATGTTGCTACAACTACCAAGAGGACTATTTTGTGTGTGGTTTAATAAAGAAGTCGTTAGTGGATGCAACCTTGTATGATGAATGATTGAATTCGCAGATACACCAAGTAAAGGTGAGAAAGCAGAATGAGTAGGAGACTGACAACGTGAAATAGTTGCCATTGGACTCTGAGATCTTGAATGTTGCTGTTGTTGTTGAGAAGGTGATGGACCTCCTGAGCAAGTAGTAGTATAAGATGTTCGAGAACCAAATGGACTATTTGACATACCTAGTCCCATATTATATTGTGGATTTGGTACTCCTGAAATACAAATATCTTTGAATTAAAAATTTCAATTTTCCCCAACTGAATGATTTTTTTACGTGATTTTATTACTCTTACCAAAAATACTTAAGTGTCCTTTATTTGTACTTTTATTACAAGAAAGATTGCTTCCAATATTTAAAGATGAAGCACTTGCTGATTGATTAACTATACTAGGCGTAATATCACTATTTCCACAAACCATTTGACACTCTTCTGTGGATGCTTTACGTATTTTATATACAGAATGTAATCCAGTCTTTGTATCATATATCACAGCCAAAGATGGTTCACAACTAGTAAATACAATTTGCTGATTTGAATCATACATATATGATATGTTTCCTATAAATAAAATCATATAAATATACTTTCTGATTTAAAGTGTTATAAAGAGATTTATACAATTTATGATAGTACCATACTTAATAAGTACAGGACAAATTTCATCTAAAGGATGTGTAAGAGAAAATACCACTGGCAAATTTGTGTTATTGTGTAATTGTAATCTACTTCCTTCCAATGATGTATATCTACAAATATCGATCATAATATTATTTATGCACATTTTTATATTGTTATTATACAAGCTTTTTAAAAATTAAGAAATGTACCTCATTTCTGATATAGGAATTTGTGTTTTTTCCAACAAAATTCCATATCTTGTTGACCAAACAGCAGATACCTAAATAATGATATAATTATAAGTCTCTAATCATGGTATTACATTTAATTAAAATATTACCTGAAATTGCAAACTGGATACATAATCTTCTCCAAGGCTGGTAAATACCTTAAGAGTATATGAATCAATTAAGCAAATGCATTCTATTGTTTTATCAGAATCATCTCCTTCATCTGTTTCTTTCCCTTTTACTAAATGATCATGTATATTAGTATGAAATTTACACCACAGTGCATGTTTAATATCTGTTTCACAAGTATATGTTGTTTCCAATATCCTAGTTGTTTGGTTACCCTTTGAATGAATTGCAACTTTGCCTGAACAATATAATTCTTCTTCCCCACATACATCATTTTCACGTACAATCCAAAATTCCTTCTATACATGTATAATTGATGTATTAAGATATTAATTAATAAGAATAAAAACATCATATATACTCACTGGCAATGTATCTGAAATGTTTACTTGACTAAATTTTTGTAATAAAATATTTTCTCCTTCGACTGTTTGATTGTTTAATAATTGTTGATTAGTCATTGACTCAGGATGTCGTAAAATTATTTGTCTTCCACCAGGAATATATTCCTGTATTATGGGATTAAAATTATAGCCTCTTGAATACATTAATTATTTGTTTAGATCAGTAAAAAAATGTTCAAATAATAAATAATAAAATAATATATTTTAATTAAAAACTTTTATTTTGAAGTAAAACTACATGTGTTTATCAATTATTATAACCTTAAACATTTGACTTACCACCGGTTCTGAGGCGGCAATCATCTTTTCCTTAGTTTCATCCAGATTTGCAGACTCTAATTATTAAGAGTTAAAAGAGCAATCTGACAGTATTTATTTTAGACTGTCTCCTACAATTATTTGAAAATATTTGTAGAAATACAGTGCTGATAAACGATGCGTCACCATGGACGTCGCCATATTCGAACATGTGTATATACCTAACTAGATAAATTAATTTCATATACACACATATATCTCATGATATATATATAACAAAATTATACTTATTTAATAATAATTCTATCAAATTGATAGAATGTGCGTTAGCAAAAGTAATTCCTCTTTTTTATTATAAATTATGTAATTATACATTTTATTATAAATTATATAATTATACATTTTCCTTTATAAATTATATAGTTATACATTTCCTTTATAAATTATATAGCTATTAAAGTAAACAATACAAATATTTTAACATTAATTTTACAATACTAATTATTAATTATAATTGATAATATTTATAATAAATAAAATAATTTATAATAAATAAGATGCAGCTTAAAACGACCTAGTTAATAAATTAAATTGTAAAAAAAATGACAACAATATCTAACAATAATTAAGAAGTTACAATAATCAAAATGCATTTAGAAAGTGAATAATTTATACAATTCATATTTAATAATTTTAATACTGCTAGAAAAATGCATAAAAAATATAAATGTTTTTAATACCTCTATAATAAAATTATTATTAAATGTTTGTTTACCGTTTTAATGTATTGCAATTTACATATTACACGTGAAATCGTATAAATTGCAATTGTACCACTTAATTATAAAAATCGATGTAACCAGCATACGTGTAAAGAGTTTATAGATTTATTTTACCAAAGCATACATATTTACAAATACTTTGCAAAATTGTTACTATAGATAGAAATTACATTATTTTCTTTATAACGATAATTTCGTTAAACAAAGCATTTCATTTGTGTTTTAATAGAATAGTCTATCCTCTTGTTGTATTACATATCATAAAATTATAAATATAAAAGCAAATATTATACCTTAGACAGATGGTATTTTTATAAAAGAAGGGATTTCGTTCAAAATCTTCAAAAAGAAACGTAATATTTAGTTTCAAAAGTTTCAAAGTATTTAATTTAGAAAGTTAAAATATATCTAGCTTTGGAAACTTTTATGTACATTTCCAAGGAATCTTAATAAATAAATATTATTTAAAAGTTATAATAAAACTTTTATTCTAAAACTATGACTAAATAAATATTTGCATATTAAAAGTTTTCTACAAACTACGGAGTATAAAATAAAAAAATTGTATTGTGTTCTTTGCATTACGTTTCTTTTTAAATACGAACATTGTGATCCCTTGGAGTATATTTTCATTTTTTAAAAAAACCAGTTAAAGCAACATTTTTAAAAAACTGTAATATTAAAAGCATTCAAAGAGCATGGTAAACACGGTACATGTCGATTTTTGTGCCGACTGTGCCATTATTTATGTGTTGTACTTAAATTATTTGACATAACATCATAAACCTTTCTAAATTAAGTTCAAAACGTTTTACGATGAATTGCCCTTATACCATCTTCTTCATATTCTCTTTTACTAACCCACATCTTCTTGAATGTATCTAAAGAAGCTAAGATAGAACCTCCAATCCAAGTACTATACAATCGTTCTTGAGGAGCTGATATCTATGTTGAAATTTAAACAAATTTTTAGCAAAGGAATATTGAGTTATAATATTATTTATTGCGTATTATACATACCCTAATTTTTATATCTTTTGGTGCCATTTTACGAATTTCAGATAATAATCTATCACCAAATCCCTAACACATAATATACGCATATTTAATGTTCATAAAATTCAATTTAATATGAATTAATATATGGAAAATACTTCATTAATTTTATACTTACACGGAATAATGTTGATCCTCCCGATAATACAATATTTTGGAATAATACCTTTCTTAAATCTAAATCAGATTTTTGAATGGAATATGTTAATACTTCATGAAGTCCTTCGCATTCTTCTCCAATTAGGTCTGGTCTGAAGAGTACTTCAGGAGCTCTAAATCGCGCTGGTCCAATCTGCAATTGCAGATAAATTTCATACTTTGTGTACATTACACAATAAGAGTTTTCATACAAATTTTAAGATAGAATTAACATTTAACTTGATTCTCTAATTTTAAAGAAACAATATGTATTATTACCTCCAAATAACTTCCATCAGGTAATGTATACTGGAATTTTTCTGTTTCAATAGTTTCTTCTTTTTGAGGATTACTAGCAAGGTAACATGCTTTCTCTTTAATTGTTCTAACAATTTCAAATTCTGCTGTAGTTCTGAAATTAATGCCTTCTTTGCGTAAAAGGAGTCGGAGGTGCCTTGTGACATCACGTCCTGCTATATCAACTCTCATAATACTATGAGGCATAGCAAAACCTTCGTAAATAGGTACCGCGTGTGTAACACCATCTCCAGCATCTAGAACTACTCCTGTAGTCCGCCCTGTTGCATATCTTCAAATTAAATTGAAATAATGAGAATATTGCTCGCTGTTCATTGAAATTATACAAAAAATATAGTTGAACACCTACAAACTAAGAACAGCTTGCATTGAAACAAACAAAGCTGGAACATTGAATGTATCAAAGAATATTTCCGCAGCTTTTTCCCTATTTTTTCTTGGATTAAGAGGAGCTTCTGTTAACAAAACTGGATGTTCTTCACTAAATGTTGCTAATTGATCTTTACTATAAACATAAGACCAAATTCTTTCCATGTCATTCCAGTCTGTAACGACTCCATGTTCCATTGGATAACGAAGGGATAAAAGACCACGATGCTCCTCCGCTATTGGACCCACAAAAAGATCTCCTTCTAAAGCACCAGCCATAACACGTACATGTTTGGGTCTGCCAATACTGCAACATTTATTATTAATGTAATACATAATTAGGATAGTTGGTAACATTATGCAAATCAAAAAATACAGAAAAATATAAAATTTATAAGAATTCAATACACTTAAAATTACCTCACTACCTGTCAGTAACCTCCAAACAATCAGGAAGCTGTCAAGAATATCAATTAGATAATAGTAGAAGATACACTTACTAATTTGGAAATCTGCATTTTGGTATCTGATCGCCAGCAAATCCTGCTTTGATTACACCAGAGCCCTGAAAAGAAAGTACATAAAAAGACTATACAATATTATCGTTAAATATTATTATCGATTTTAAACGCTAAAAATTATTTTATTTCTACCAGATCACTAGTCTTATCACACGTAACCTATTTGTAGAATAAAGTGTAAATAATGAAAATGATACGAAAGAACATAGAAGAATCACATCATGTAATGCAATATTCATAGTTTCAAAGAAAAAGGACAATTTTGTGCGTTACTTAGGAGCCGACATTATGGTAGAATTGAATTTGACACACTGATTTAAACACTCGAATATTTTGTTACATTACTCACGTTGTCAATAACTACAGGTTGATTAATTATTACATCGTACGGTTCCATAATTATCTAAAAAATTGCGCTATTTTATGTGTAAGAAGTTTAGAAAATTCACAACCGTAACCCCACAGTCGCACACCTATTCTCTGGTGAATTTTGAAGGGAGTTATTGACAGCTAAGCGGAATGAATTATTGTTACTAGGTACAAACAGGTTTGCCAATAGCTTATTTTTTTTTGAAAAATTTAAAAATATTTAAAAGCGATAGTTCACGTTGATCACTTGTCATAAATTTTAATATATATAAAAATGTATAAATATAATATATGCATATAAATAAGTTTTATTAAATATTTATTAAGACATGTCACGTACATAACAAAAATATTAATTCTAATGAAGTACTTTTTTTTTTGTAAATGCGTGTATCAAATAAAATTCATAGAATAGTCACAGCCAAGCTTTAAGAGTGATTTGTTTGATTATTTTATAATGCTGAAATAGTACTTTATTTAGTCCTCTGGTTTAAATTGCATGAATTACCTAAATTGTAAAGAAAGTGAAAAATTATAAATAAAATATAAAAATTAAACGTAATGTGGGCATGTACTAAAGATCGTTTTTTTATTAATGTTTTGGTATTATAATCATTATATTGTAGAGGTAGTCAGAAAGTTAATGTAAAAATATGTAAGTTGATAATATTATTTGAGATCTCTATTAAAATAGATTTCATACATAATCAATTTTGTGTGATTACAGTACATGCAGTGAATGTTCTATTTCTTGAAATTTACACTTCCGTATTCAATCATTATCGTTTCTATTATAAAAAAGCATTGAGTTCTATAATTGTAATAATTTACAAATATTATCACATTTTTTATGCGTAACAACAAAATATTCAATATTCACAGCGTTTACCTTATGTGAATATGAGTAATATCATTTGATTCTGTTGTTGATAAAATTTGTATACTTATATAGATGAAACTATTTACAATACAATTCTATGATTAATAAATTTCTGCCATGAGTAGCAAAACTAGAGACGTCCAACCAGTGAATGGATGACTACCTTTTGGTTCTCCATGAAAGTCTCCATAATTTTCCCACACGTATCCAGTTTTTTTATATTGCTTAAAGATATTTTGTATTAAATTCTTCCTTAAATTCTGATAAATCTTCCTCGCTTCCTCTTTATACGGACCGTCAATGTTGGAATAGTAATGCGTCGCTCGTACCGTCAAATAATTTAAATTCATCCAAATAGCTCCTCTCCAATAGGGAGCATCATGTTCAGTATTATATTTCATGTAAAACGGTGATATCTTCGCGAGTGATCGTAAACCATGTTTGGTCCACAACAGATCGGGATTTGTTAAATCTTGCAATACTTTACCCAACTGCGGAGAATCGGCATCAATGATTTGTAAAATAAATGGAAATAAGGAAACATAGCCGAAGGATGAATCAACATATCTTAGAGTAGGATCTTCCATTACAACTCTTACTGTTTCTGGTTGTGCATGCGATTTTGGAGGAGTTACTTTTCGTAAGAGTACTTTATCCGTATGCAATCCAAAATCGGCATACGTGTGTGTATTTGGCGACCAATGTAATTTATTTAACAAACTATTATCAGATAAATACCGATAGGTCTCTTGATATTTATTATTAGGCTGATTTAACATTTCGCTGATTTGATGCATAATATGAGCGGCAAATGCAATCCAGCAACGTAAATCAACATGTCTTTCGTCGATATTTGGATGGGAAGCTCTCGGATAATCATCTAAACCAGACGTGAGCGTTTTTGGGTTTAATTCTTTGTTAGTTGTCCCATCTCTACCTCGCCACCTGTACGTACTCGGTATATCTCCAGTTTGCGTAGTGTTAAACCAATTGAACCACGTCTGAAGACGAGGATACAAATTATCAAAAAATTGGAAATGCTTTTCTAATACCTCTTCCTGTTTATGCTTAAGTATGAAATGCAATGTTAAGAAAAATGTAGGCGGATTTGCATTTGTATTCACTTGAGTTACAAACTCATCTGGAACTTTTGCTAATGCCTCTTGACCCAAAATCATCTCTCTTGGAATCCATCCTTCGACGTTCATTAAATCAAACCAATGATTTATAATATCCAGTTCAATTTCTAGATCCCAAGCTGATATGAGTAAGCCATGAAAACCTTCGTCCCATAGAAATCCTCGTGGAAAAAAACTTCTACTAGGTACAGCAGTATACAAAGGTGCTTTCCAATAAGGCACAGGACCTTTAGTATATTGACTTTGCACTTGCGAACTTCCATAGAAATAACCTATGGAGCCTATCATATTCGATAAGACCATTTTGGCAAATTCAATTTCTTCTTCTGCATAGCCTTTTGACTTTAATTTAAAGACCTTCTCAAACTTTTCATCAAATAGTTTTTGGTGCGTTTTTAAAGCATGATCATAATTTTGACCAGTCAGTTTGTCGACTCTGTTAATAAAACTACCAGATTCATAACTAATTTCAATTTCAAAAGGAATTTTCCCTGTTATTTGTGTCGCAATAAAATTTGCATCTCTTTTTTTCCCATCTATCGATAGCGGTATTTGATCACCCGCTAGAACTATATATTCTTTTGTTGAACCTGTGTGAAATGCTATCCTAAGATTATGAAGTACAGTTTCTTTCAAAACATTTAATCCAGGGGCAACAGTTGCTAGAAAAGAATGTTCTTCTACTGTTCCATGTATCATATTAAGATTTATAATAAATGAACCTAAACCTTGAGTATTCCCCTCTACACCTGTTAACTGTTTCTCATTGCCGAGATTAGCTTTAATCCATCCTTTAACATTTTCTTCAATGGCAGTGTAGAAAAGTAATGAGATTTCTTCACCATCTCGTATCTTATCCTCAGAAGTTACAGAAATTCTTGCAGTCCAATCTCCACCATGTTTACCGCCTGGTCTTTTAACAAATGTAGTAGTTAAAATAGCTGAATTATCCACTATTTCTTGAACACCAAAATTTCTTCCATCATGTTCCATCCATGCATATCTGAACAGAAATTGAATAATGATCATTATACAGAAAAATTGTCAAAATATCATTGAACAAAATAAATTTTATTCACCTATCTAATCTATCATTTTGTTCACACCAATGTCTAAGGCCACTTCTGTCCTGACGCAACAAATGTGGAAAATACCACATCAATCCTGTTACTAAAGAATGAGGATCTCGAGTTTTTAGTCCAAAATAAACGCCTGATCGATAGGTACCCCAATATCTGTCTGGAACATCTAATCCAGAGGCTGTGACTAACTATTTTTCACAGATAAATAATTAATACCATTATTAATTTTTATTCGTGATTATAACTTTTACATGTGAAAAATTTTTTTAACAAATTTAGTCGATACAAAATAATAAATAGAGATAAGAACATATTTTTACATCTTACATCAATGTTTATTTTAAATATAATAAAACACACCTTGTTTACATCATATGGAGTATTTACTCTTGTTTCTAAGTATCCCCTGTAACTGAACCAAGTAGCAATAGCAATGCATAAAACCGTAACTGACATGTTCAACATGGACATTTTAAATTTATTTTCTTTCTTTGGAGTAACAGTTTTGGTCTTTAGTTTTGCAAATTTATCATGTATTTTATTTTTTGCCATTCTATGTCCCCTAAAATGAATCATAAATCATTCTTACTTTTGATAATATAAACATTAAAAAAAAAATAGTATGATAATAAAATAATAAATACCTTAACTAACAATAAATATGTTTTATTATAACAATAATGTTGTAAAACAGTGAAATTAAATAATAATGTAATTATCCTAATTCATTATTATATTTTGGTAAATTTGAATCCTTACAGGTTATACTTAACATCTGCTTCTTTATATATTAAATAAAAATTAGAAAATAAGAAATACTTGTACGATAAAAAAATATCTGTACAAAAAAATAAACTGGTTACATCATTTGCTTTTACCGACCTTATCAGTAAATGATAAAACCATCCCATACATATTTGAAAATAATGCCTTATCCTGTTTGTAAAAACCACAGAGCAACTGATAGGTCATCTGTACCATAGACGAGATATATGAATAGATTAAGCATCTTATGGGATTTCGTGGCCCGTGACCTGAAATACCGACATAGTAAAAAAAAAAAATCATTTGTTTTTTAAGGCACCCACAGACGAAGTACATCTTGTCTGATCATATACCTCCTGTCCTTCTTTTAGAGCTATAGAGAAATATGTTTCCTTCGTCGTTTTTTTCCCTTCTAGGTAACATATGAGCCTCACTACACAAGATTCATGTGAGGCTTGTGTGGTACAACGGTGAAGCTTGTGTAGTGGTAAGGCTCGTGTTATAAGTATAATTATCTTTATTATGAAGATACAATATGCTACAAGTCGAATAAAACAATTTTGTTTAATATTTTTATTTTTATTTATCCAATAGTTGCATATGTTACAAATAAAGCATTGACTATCAGATGATAATCGTACTGGGGAAGAGCTTAGAATTGTATTTATACTCATACATATAAGTATCTTTGATTAGTAGTAGTATATACTACCATATTGATGTATGCACACTGTTTAAATTTTCAAATGGAAATACGTATTGAAATAGTTATGTTAATGTAATTTTTTTTTTTAAGTCGAATGGTTTTTTATTTCCATTTGAATTTTAAGCAAGTACAGTATGTGTAAAATGATCATTTAGATAGTAGAACATAAATACATACATATTATGATTAGGAGAATGTAATATTGGGATTAGTGGTGTTTTGAATATAATTCAAAATGCATAAGTTGTTTACATTTAGTACCTTCAATACTTTATATATTTTTTAAATGTTAAAACAATTGTGTATATACAATATCAGCAATGTATAGATTTTTTTTCCAAATATTAAAAGTAAACAATATTTCTTTTAAAGATATAACTGAAGTTTGTGAAATTGTGAATAATTATCTTTTTTTTCTTAATTTATAACATATATCGAGTAAAATATTTCACAGCCAATAGTACGTGTTAATTGCAATAAACTGAAAAATACATAAATTGAATAAGATTTATATGGTTTCATTTATAATACTTTGTTTTAATAGTAGGACACCTCCAATAAATAATCTATCTATTGTATCTATTTAAAAATGTGATTTGTTCTTTTCTTTTTTTTTTTACAATGATATTGACAAAAATTGAAAAGTATACATACAAAAATAATTAAAAAGCATTGATAAAGTAGGACCATAAAAATCGTTGTTTCTTGTAAAAGGCAGGTTTTATAATGTATATGTATATGTGAGCTGGCCTTTTTAATATAAAATTATAATATAGTTAAGTAATAAACAAAGTAATATATACATTAAGATTTAAGTAAACAGTAATAGAGAAATTAAAAACATCTGTATGTACATAGGAATTTCATTAGCATAAAGTACAATACTAAAGTACAATGTAATATTCTATAACATTCTTTTTTATAATTCTTACTATATGTTATCTTTGTTCATCAGTAATTTTATAATGATAATACATTCTACAATAGCATATATGATTCACCCTGAATAACAATTCTGTAATATTTCATTAATTCAGAAATTATTTTTCTGATTTCCAAAAATTATTCAAAGTTTATTTATGAACTAACAAATATTATTTATTTATTTATAATCAAGTATGATAACATAATATGAGTTTTTCTATGTTTGATTTTTTCCTGTAGTTTTAACAACCTATATAACTTGTTAATTATTTTTGTACATTATATTGCTTTCTTCTGAGTTAATATTAATATATTATCAACAAACATTATATTGTATTATTAAAATGTACACAATAGGAAGTCTAAACAGTAAGATTTTGCAACCATTAAAATAGATATTGTATTTTATAAACTTTTAAAGTAAAAACCAACGATAAATTGAATATACTTGAATACAAATAACATTTGCAACATTGGTATTATTAAAATAATTGCTAGAATCATTTAAATGCTTTAAACTTTGTTCTTTAATATCTGTTAATTTCTCTGATTTTATTGAATATTGTACCAAATATTAATTGACTTATTTTACTATACTTGAAGGAATGTACATATTAACATATTGAGAAATAATTTATCCAAAGGTGAATCTTCAATGTACTTTTCTTCATGACTGCATGTACAAATTATTGTGTGCAATATAAATGCATACAAAAATTTGTATGGGCATTTAGAGAATGATTGCTTTTTTTGCATATTCATTGTTTTTTTAAAAATATTGAAAAGATAATATTGTTATTATATAAAGAATTGTTTTGATCATAACAAAGTTTAAACATTATGAATATATGAAATATATGTGTATAATGTAACCTACAAATGAATATTTGCAAAATAAACAAAAAAAATTAAAAATTATAAATAGCATGTTTCTATCTGTATTCAATTCATAAAGATTTTGGAGTATCCTTTTGTTTTATATAGTGCTTCTAATTTTTGCACACACTTTCTATAACAGTGTGATTAAGCAAATACTGTATCTATTATAAATCTCTCTTAGTAATAACATGTCTTCTTTCTATGATCATTGATAGACTTATATTATTTCTAAGTGAAAGTAAATTTTTTATATTATTTTGATGTTCTAACACGAAAAAATTACAGAAAAGAATGCTAACTAATAACTTTAAACTTAAAATATGAAGTAGTAATTGTTTTAAAACATAGTATAAGGATATTATACTAATTTTAATGAGATCAAATTTGCCGATTCTTGGAAATACATTTAAACAGAATCGCGCTTCTACGAACAGAAAATTAATTGTTGTTTAAAAAGTAACTGTATATATATATATTAACAAATATAACTCTTGTGGCCAGCGCTTACTAGTTAATATCTTTCAATGAATGTGTAGAATATACTTACATTTTCTTTTTTCTTGAATATTGGCTTAGATATCCCGATGTTAATATTTGTATGGAATTCTCTTCCTTTATTTCATGACAATTGACAATATTACAACGCAAGTGGACAGGTGAATCAGCATATTTTACTGTTGCGTACTTCTTTAGAATATAATTTTATTACAAAATATTATTACTTGAATAAATATTTAAGAAGTAGCCTAACTTAATTTGGAGAAATGAAATTGTAAATTAATATAAATTATATATTTTAAATATATCCAATAAAAAAATTAATTATTTAAATTTAAAAAAAAGTGTAAAACGTTCTTCAGAAATATGCAACATGTACTAATTGTAAGTAATAATTTACTTACAAGTTAATATACTGATTCGACTGACCAGTTGCGTTGATTACGGTTCATTTTCTCAAACTATCTTTACTACTTGCTCGGCTAGTTGAAGCTGTGCTTGATTCTCCAGGACCACCAGTACCTCCTGCATCTCCATTAATACTGGATCCAGCAAGAGATGCTGTTGGTGTAACTGGAGCTGAACGCCTTCTCACTTTAGTCAAAGCTTTATCTAATCGTTGTATAAACATGTCCACATCTGATTTTTTCATACCTAAAGCTGCAGCAGCAGTTAAATATGGTACTGGATAATTACTATTATGAGCTCCCCAACCTAATTTAAATGAAATGAATGAAAGATATAATGAATTTCAGACTGCCATTAAAATATATTAGACACATACTTTTAGCCACATACCTTCAAACTTATATGAAACAATATGCTTGGTTTCTGTTGTTGTTATTACTCTTGTACCACTAACATTGCGGAGAAATAACATAAAACCTAACATTGTAACTTGCTTATTATCATGCTGATGACTTAAACATTGAAGAGTCATTCCCATTGATATAGGATTGCCTTTAGTGTCTAGCAATCTTTCATCGTGTCTTGCTGCTAATTTCCCAAGTTCTTCCTTTAAATATGAATACATTTCTTTACGTTGCGTTATTAATTGCTTGTAACCTGCCATTCCTAAACTTAGTAACGTTATCATTACGTCCATGATGGAGCTAGCGCTTGCACGACCTGGATACATCTTTGATATGCGATCTAATAGATTTTTGTCAAATGAACCAATAATTGCTCCACCAACTGGCACTAGAAAATTCTTATCTGTGCTTTGAACGAAAGCATCGACACGGCCTTTACGCGATGCTTCTTGAATCAAATGCATACATCTTGTACTTTGTAAACTGTTAATAAGATATAATAAAAGATCTGTTCAAACACAATGTATTGTAAAACAATAGCATATATGCAATATTATAGACATACCCGTATGCATTATTTACTAAATGAGGAATGTTATATTGAGTACAAAGTGCTGCAATTGAATCAATGGAATCACACGCCCTGGGTGCAAAACAGCTAGTTGTCGTAAGCACGCAAGCAACACTTTCACCTAAAGCTGCCATTTGAGTTTCAAGTCTTGGCATATCTGTCTTTAATTCATCTCCAACTATTTTGGTTTCGATAACAATTGGTTCTAATCCTGCTGTGATTATTGATTTAAAGCTTGATTTCTGATCAATTCTAGGCCACAGGACATACTTTGCTCGTGGTCTATCCTGTTTGAATGTTAACATACATAACACCAAACTCATGCCAGTAGCCATTGGTGATAAAAAACAACCTGCTATACTTTTTACACCTGTAATAAAGATATATTTAAAGAAAAATGAAAAAGTGTTTACATAAAATAGAATAATTTTAATTTAAAATGATTGATCTTACCCATATATCGAATAACTTCAAGTACTAAAGCATTTGTTAATTTATACATTAAGCTACTTCCTGCAGCTTTTGGTTGTACTTCATCTAAATCACTCGATCTACCTATACCATGACCCATTCGAAAATGTCGCCTTGCAACAATGTTTGATGCAATTCTTGCTTCACGTTCTCCAACACTACAATTGGAAGGAAAATTATTGCTGTCCATTTGTGATAGATCTGAGAGAAAAGCTTCTATTGTTGCATCATCCCAACCCTCTTCTGGCCATTTTTGCTGTTTTAAAAGAGTTTACATTAGCAATTAAATGGTATTATTGTTATATATTGTCAGAATTTTGAATGAGATCTTACATGTTCGATAAAGTGTCGTATAAGATTTTCACGTGCTTTCTTTGCATTTAAACCTTGTTGTACGTAGGTTGAAGGAATAAGTCTTTCAGCTAAACTGAATGCCTGATTATTCATCTTCTTGATTTATTGAATTCTTTCAAACACTTAGGCCACAAATATTAGAAAGTTTGATGGCTTAGCACAGCATTGCTTTTAATAATTAACATCAAATCATTAGAATAATTATCAAGCTATAGACAACGTGAACACAAAATACTCATTATACGATACAAGAAAATATAACTTTGTACAAAAATATCGCTTTACAATATTTAGTTGTATAAATATTTAATATACACTTGTATGAATTAAACATAACAACAATGTCACAAGTACATTGCACTCGAGTAAAAAATAATTCTTTCATAAATGAATTTTACATAAACATTAGGTGCTGTGTATTGGTGGTACTGTAGAAAATAAAACGAACTTTCCATGTAAAAATGAAATTTATTAAAATGTCGAATGTACGAGTACAAAAAATTATACATTGCGTATCGTAACATGCAGAAGCTAATTACAAAACGAAAAGATAAGTAACGCAACTTAAAAAGATCACATTTGTACATCAATAAAACATTCGTAAATTGTATTTCGAATATATTAGAAAAAAGAAAGAAACGTGTGCAAAAATATATTACATAATTTCACAGAACGTGAATAGAAAATGAATTAAACAGCGAAAAATAACTGAAGTGAACCAATATTACACAAAATAACGAAGGCTCCCTCGTTTGTTCGAAACGAGTCCGAGACAAAATACAATGAACTCGACGTCGACGTGAAGGTTATGTATTTTTATTATGCGCATACGAAATAAAACAGTGATCATAAAAAAGAAAAAAGAAGGACGAGAAAGGAATAAACAGTTGCAACATCGAAGAACACGCCAAAAAAATGATAATAAATAAATAAATGGGAAAAGGGGGAACCGGTTGGTTCGAACCGTGACACAGTTTCGATGGGACGGTCTAACAAATGATATACAATAAGAAAATGGGTTGGGTCTACGACGATGATGATATTCGTGTACGGTTGATGTACTTGATGATTCATGCACTACCTGACGCATTCCAAAAGGCTCCGAACCGTAATAAATCATGCGCGACTTTTAACGGAACCGAGCGAATATACACACGGCCTGCGTCACCGTGGTCATCCGGAATTGATAGCAGACGACAGGTTGTTAGAGGTTATGTCGTGTCGAGGTCACCTAAATCGGATTAATTTTACGCAATAAGAGAGGATGCAGCGTAATTGTTTGGCCACTGGGGGCCTCAGGACTGTGTTTCAGCCGTTGCTAGTTACACGATGTGTACCGCGGACGCGTGGAGAATAGCGAAAACTACGAATTACGGGATTTTACCTCGGATTATGGCGTTCAGGCGACAGCGGACGGACGGGTTACGCACGGCGCTACGAACGAACTCGTTCGCCGCCTTTACAGGTCAAAGTGATTCGTGTGCAACTTACAACTCGACGATCCGGCAGGTGCATCATTTACTGATAATTACCCCGTTATCTCCCTCCCATTGAAAAAATCATCGATCATCACACGCTGATACGAAAAATGGAAACGTAGCGCGGAATCAACAATTTTTTTAAGTATGTCGTGCACAACATTCTACTCTACGTCAACCTTTTTTATAATGTGTAGCTTTGAACGTCTGTACGTGTGTAGTGTTTCGATTTTTTCTCTCATTTTTTTTTTTTTTTTTTTTTTAGAATTATCACATTCGTTCTTTTCTCTCTACTTAGCAATCGCAATACTTTGTGCGCATATAGTTCGCGTAAAATGAAAATAGCCTGCTGTAATTTGTAAGTGTAAAAATAGTATTAAAGTATCTGCGGAAAAATCATTGAATTCAACTTCTCTTTGTTCGACATTTATATTTTACATTTACGTTTTCAAATTTTATATGACCTCGCTGTGATTTTGTCATCTCTTGCGATTTCCTTGCCAACTTGTAAATTGTAATTAATTTGTCGTAGCTTTAGTTATCACATTCAAATCTGTCGACTTAGCGCCATTAACCGTTACATATATACAGCTGTTCTCGTGAATACATATTATGTAATCACCTTCTTTCATTTCTGTACATAACTTAACAAAGATTTTCATTATTAACCGACTTAATGAAATATTAAAAACTTATTAGCTATTTTCATTTCAACTATCCTTTAATATCCATCTGCGCATTTAGTGCGTAAATCGTATCTTCACGAGTTATCTTCACAATACACATAAAGAAGAAATTATCTTATTGTAAATACATCTCATTCGTTTGCAATTTAAATAAAGATTAGATGCATGTATTACGAGTATACATTGCAGATGTGTTTACGTAAATTCATATTTCTATGAATGCTATGAATTGAAGGTACAGAACCTAAACAGAAATTCCCTTTGTCCACTATTATTGTAAGTACAACGAGTACTTAAGTATTCTTTGTATATTTCGCATAAACGCATAAATATTCGCAGGCTAGTTATAACATTTAACTGGATGAACCAAATCTCTTCGTGGAGCCTGTAATTCATGAAATATGAATTTGCTTAAATATTTGATTATAACGAGTACTATGCTTCAATATGTTTTGCACATTGTGCATTTATTTTTTTGCACATTGAAATTTCTTGGAAACGTACGTGTGAATACACATACGTAATCCAATCATGACATACGAATGGCCGAAAAATCATAGGAACAGTTCGATTTTCTGCATTGGCACACCTGCCTGCAGGTTAACCTTATTCAATGAGCGGTTCCTAGCGTGCGGTGAGGTTCGCATTGTGGTGATAGTGTCGAATTGGTATTCAAATGACAAGTTGTGTCGGTATTTCAGCTAAGTAATAACAATATTTTTGAATTATCCGGCGTCTGTATTTGTATGAAACGTTGAGCACACCGTTGAAAATTTCAAGCGTGTTAGGTATGTTTTCTTTCTTCCTTCGATAACGAATACTTCGATCGGCGAACTACTTGATATCTCAATGGCTGTGTAACTTTTCAGTATTTCTTTTTTTTTTTTTTTTTTTTTTTTGAACAGCTTGTACGAAATTGTTTGTTTGAAAAAAAGCAATTTAGTAAAGGACAATTTGATATATCTGAAATTAATTGTAATCGTTAAGTATACATTGTTTCAAGATAATATATAATTATTATTACATTATAATTCTTGCAACTTTTGCTGCGTAATGTATGTTTTGCATTGTATATACAAATGCTGGCGATTGACAAACGAATTTTTATTGCTGCTTAAAAACAGTTTCAACGATTGAAATAAATTTTGATTTAAAAAACAGAAATAATTTTGATTATTGTTTAATGACACAGTGATGTAAAGAACCCAGTGATGAGTATTTTAAAAAATGAAATTATAGGTAAAAATTGATCGTCGTAAAGGATTATTGATTTTATTGATAAGTTGACAAATTCCTTTTTTTTCTATTTTTCTAGTTAATCATGGAATTGGAGAATTGTAATTCACATGGGGATCACGTTCCCACTACACCTCAACACGAAAATGATAGCGGAAATAAAAAGTGGTACCGACAAGCTAGTCAAAGGTTAGTGATTAATTTCTCATTAACCGTATGCAAAATTTTGAAATGTTAAAATTTGCCAATGTAGCTTGACTAAGAAATTGATAAGACAGAGCAGTGTCATTTAAAAAATATTCAATGATAAATTTTATATTGAAATTTAATATTGAATTTTATATTGAAATTTAATTCTAATGCAGTAGAGCCTCTGTCATCCAAACCACTGTTTTCTTTAAACACATTAATATCCGAATGTTGTATTACAAATATTCTATTCTAATGACACAATGTTCAGATAATGAAATATTTGTACAAAGGAGTGTAGTACAATATTTGTACTATAGTAAAAAACTGATCTTCATTTTATAATTACCATGTATATTCCAATGGATATATTTATTTACTTTAGTATATATTTTATTTGTTATTTGTTGAAAAGAAACTTAAATATACCCATAGAACTTAAGCATCTTGAATTCAACATCTTGTGTTCTCCGATATTCTTCATTAAATTGCGGAAGTTTATGGGAAATTTAAACGTACAAGAATGCACGCACGTTATGTAAAAATGAGTATAAAACATTCCAGATCAAGTTACATTTACTTGGCGGATGAAATAAACGTTGGTCCCACAAGGTCCCGTTGTTTCTAATACTCTGTATTTATGAAAAACATGAATTTGCATGAACATCCTCAGTCTACTTATTATTATCTTCGTCGAGTCACCCCAAAGCGCAGAATTTTACGGTATTCAGTGATCCTCAAGGCCGCGCCAACAGCCTACGCAGCTCATGCTACGCGAAAATAACTTTATGTGTAGGTATTTCAATCTTTAAGAGGTCTTGTAGAAACAAATTTTCTACATTTCCTCCGTCGTCGTTGTTTTTCCCGATATTGAGACGATTTCAGAATTATTCGGGCGTACGATGTTTTTCTATACTTTCTTCTGAACCATGCTATCATCGGGGCTCAGATAACGCAGACGACTGTTAAAACATCTCACTGATAATGGTAACATTTCCTATTCCATCACGAAGACTCGTGTTTTTAATCATTGGCAAGCAGCTAATGAGAAATTAAGATACACTTCTTTAAATCGCCTCGATTATGTATTATATCAATTTCAAATTCGAACATTATTATTACTTATTATTTATTTATATATAATCCTTGCCTAGACGGCTTAGAATGGCTTCCGGTTTACAATGGGTCTGCATGTTTCTTATTTTCTACTTCTATAGCTAATCCTTAGTATCTACGTCTTATGGATCTAATTTGCCTTTTGCTCATCTTCTTAATTCGAGCATTATTATAGAAACATTCAAAATTAAATTTATCTTTCTTTTTTTCTTTATTATATCGCACCAGGGATCGTTTGTCTTAAATACACGCAAATATCAATTTCTAATCTTCTGTTATTTCTGTTTTTATATACGTAAAACGTAAGCTTCATAATTTTCTCGACTATCTTTCTGAAAACACGCATCGCTGTCTGTTATCAGAATCCGCGTACAGCTTTATTAGCCTTGAACGACTTAACATGCAACGTGTGTACAATTTACAAAAACAGAGCGAGTTTCGCGCGACAACGAGCGAAAAGTAATAATTAAAATCCTTAACTTAACGTTGCCATCATCCTTCCAAACAGAAAAACGAACAATGTCCAAATCTCTCCGGATTTTTTTTCGATCGTAAAACGAGTGTACGTGATATTTCAGCTCAATCGATTTTTGATTATATCAGTAGACTCGGCTCGCGTACTTTTCCTTCTAGCCTATCATCGTCACGCGAATGACCCCTGCAGCCTTCTTATCGTTGTTGCCATTCCCGCCATATTTTCGTGTTATATTCGCTGGGTGTCTAACACGACTTGAGAATTTTCATTGAACTCATTACGTCGTTGTCATTCGCGCTGGTCAGTTAACGAGCTACGTAAATAACTCTTGATCTCATTTTCTATTCCCCCCCCCCCTCTCTCTCTCTCTCTCTGTTTATCTGTCTCTCTTTTTCAAACGTTCTGTGATCGATCACCCGACAGTTCAGTTTCAATCGATCCGTTATGAGCTGTGAAAATGTGAACGTGCCGGTCGCAACGCCAGGCAGAACTGGTAATTCTTCATCCATTTTTTTCTACTTCGCGTTCCTCTTATCACGCGTGCAACGTACCGAAACGATAAAGCACAATACTGCTATTAATACGCCGTACGAGACGAAAACGAGTGTTCAAATTGGCTAAAATTAGAGGCCGTGAAATTTCAAGTCCTCTCCCCCATCGAATCGTTTTGCTTGCTTTCGCTCAGCTTTCCTTTGGAACGGAAGGGAGTCGAGTCAAACGGTGGGGAAAATCGTCGATTCACGTGCTTTCTTTTTTTTCTTTTTTTTTTTTCTTATATTTTTCACACAAAACGCGCGACAAAGTCTCTTCGGTTAGTAACCAGCATTCTGGAATGTGTTCTGGAGCAGGGTACAAAGTCCGGTTCCCGGATGAGTCGAACTTCTTTTACGAAGAGTCCTTTTATCGATCGATGCTTGGCAACCCCCTAAATCACGGTTTAGTAGCAATGAATGATCGTAGCGAACAAGACCTGGATAGCTACAATGAGGGTGGCCACGGCCTACGAACAGATAAGCGTGAATTAGGTCACAGGTAATTTTTTTTCTTTTCCTTTTTGTTCACTTCATTCTTTTTGTGAATCATCCGTCACGATTGCGAATCATTCATCCGTGATTACATCATCTTTGAATGACGATTATTTAATTTTGTACAAAGATGGAATATCATTTAGTTATTTTGTACAAAGGTGGAATATTAGTTATTTTGTACAAAGGTGGAATATTATTTAGTTATTTTGTACAAAAATGGAATATTATTTAGTTATTTTGTACAAAGGTGGAATATTATTCAGTTATCTTGTATAAAGGTGGAATATTATTTAGTTATTTTGTACAAAGATGGAATATCATTTAATTATTTTGTACAAAGGTGGAATATCATTTAGTTATTTTGTACAAAGATGGAATATCATTTAATTATTTTGTACAAATATGAAATATCATTTAATTATTTTGTACAAAGATGGAATATCATTTAGTTATTTTGTACAAAGGTGGAATATCATTTAGTTATTTTGTACAAAGGTGGAATATTATTTAGTTATTTTGTACAAAGGTGGAATATTATTCAGTTATCTTGTATAAAGGTGGAATATTATTTAGTTATTTTGTACAAAGATGGAATATCATTTAATTATTTTGTACAAAGGTGGAATATCATTTAGTTATTTTGTACAAAGATGGAATATCATTTAATTATTTTGTACAAATATGAAATATCATTTAATTATTTTGTACAAAGATGAAATATCATTTAGTTATTTTGTACAAAAATGGAATATCATTTAATTATTTTGTACAAAGATGGAATATTATTTAATTATTTTGTATAAAGATGAAATATCATTTAATTATTTTCATTGCCGTCGAGATAGATTAAATTTATAGACAAAGTTCTTCATCATTCCTGAGGGAGGAATTCTCTCTATCTGTCTAATGTGAGAATAATGCGCGCGCGTATCTACAACGATCTGCCGTGTAATTCCTATCGTGTAATTCCTGTAAAATGATCCTGTAAAAGGACGGACAATTATCAGAGCGTACAATTCCGCGTGACGAGTGCGTCTCTGCACTAATTTTCATGCAAATTACGGAGAATTTCTTCCTTCCGGGTTTCGTATCCTCCTATAGTTTACGTAACTTCTCACTGCAATGCAGATGTTAGCGCCAGAGGCGATAAAAAGAGCTTGTAGCACCTCTACAAGTGTAAATAAAGAGAAATCGCATACCATATTCAATTTGTAGTATTCGTAATATTAAATTTATTGATCGTGTGTGATTTTTACGGAAATTCAGATTTTTGAAAACAAATAAAAGCATCATAGAAAATTGTTTTATCTAGCGACTGTACTTTAGGCATTTTACGTTTTTTTTTTTTTTTTTTATATCGTGTGCTTATAAATGTATAAAAATTCACAGTCCATTGATAACAATTATTTATCTCCGCTCGTGCTCTGTTTTCGTTTTTTTTTTTTTTTTTTTTTTTTTTTTTTTTTTTTTCTTTTCAAACATACGAATGTAGTAGATTAATACCTGCTCTCTATCTAGAGGTTTGCGATAACAAGTTGAAAACAAATTCCATCGGACCACCAGCCGATATTTTTTTTAAATGCATGATGGAAACGTCAAACAGATTGCAAAACACAGATATTTCGCAATCACTCCGTTAACCCAGCCTGGTGGCCAGTTCCTTTATCTCAACTCGAATATTCCATGTTTCACCTAAAATTTCCATCGTTCGAACAACGTTCCGAAAATTACTTCGTTACGACCCGTACGATCGCTTGATTTTATTAGATTCTTATCATTTAAAGCTTTCGAAAAATGCACACAAATCGGACCAATTAACTACAATTAAATTATAATCATTGGCGGATTTTTATACGAAATTTAAGAATTCAATAATGTACAAAATGATATATAAAAATATCTAAAGTGTACTATTCATTATGAAACTTATTCTCTACTTATTAATTAATATATAATTCCTAACTGGTTAGGACCATTGGACATTGGGAGCTATAAAAGTTTTGCATTGCACAATCTTGGAATTTTTATTTTGGTTTAATCTGTAGCCAGAGAGAACATGAAAATGAAATTGAATACATTAAATTTTTCTAACGTAATATAAATTATATTTATAATTTTAAAATTGTAATATAATTTTTTAAAATTGGAAAATTTTTAATTTAATTTAAAATTACAATATAATTTTAAATTTTTGTAATATACTATAAATTATATTTATATTAAGTGACTCCACAATTAAGCCCAATTCCTATAATTCACACTCAGAAAAATCCATAAAAACCCAGAATTTATTATACAAAAATCCCCCAATGACTATATAATAATTAATAAACACAATATATAAAATATCTGTCTATTTAATCTTAGAGAGTCTGTCTTAAGTACACAATAATTTGGAATTTTGATTTAATTTGATTGGGATTTTGTATTGCTTCCTTCCAACGTATTTGAAATTGATATGCATACATTTCTATTTCTACATCGTATGCAATTTGGAAAGGGTACAACATCGTATGAAAAATCTCGGACTATTTGCCAAAAGGAAATGTTTTACCTTTATGAATGAGAGTATAGATAGCCGGTGTTATTTTAGAACTGTTGTCACCTATTAATGAGCGTTTAATTCAAGAATTAGTCATGAGACGTTGATTAATTTGAAATATTTTACGCTTAATTATACAACAATTAATTGCCGAGGAATATTTTTCAATAATTCCAGAACAACTCGTTCCACATTATCACGTCATTCTGTTTCTGTGCATGTCAAACAATTTATTTTTGACTTCTTCTTCATCGATTCAGATTGTCTACAATTCGTTTAATTTACAAAATTTATATATCCATTGAGATATTGTTGATTCAACAACATTAACAAACAGAGGTATCAATCAATATGATTAATTATTGCGATTAATTAATATCGTGAAATCAGACTATCAGAAGTCACATGATAAGATTGAACAAAAATAAATATCGACTAGTTTGGAATACACGAATGATTAAACTAAGCGAGGATCGTCGAGAATTTGAGGAGGTATCGCGGTTTCTCTATCCTATAATAAAACCACGACCTCGACCATGTTCCAAAAGTGGAATTCCGAACTCAAGTTGTGCTAGCCTCCGTTCGATTCAAATATTCTTCCTATTTAAACACCTTGCGTGTTACGTGCCATTCATAGCGTGTCTTCAAGTTTCGGAGAACGCCCACTCCCTCCGGGGAGAAATCTGCGAAAGATGTTCGAGGGCATAGCTACGTGCCTATTCTCACGTTGCAGCTTCACCTTGAGGCAAAGAAAAAGCATCGCCCTTTTGTGAATCGTGAGAGATTTATCTGAAAGTTCTTCGACCATATTATGAACACGTTTAAAAGGAAGAGAGATCTCGTGCACATTTTTTTTTTTTTTTAGGAAACTAGGTTAATCCTTTCGGTCTCAATATGGGACACG